TGTTTCTATTCTATCTTCCTAAAGTATACTTCCTGGTTTTGTCACTGTGTGTAGCTGAAACGGCTGACTTCCTCTGCAGCCGTAAGAAATCCATCGTAATTGAGGGATTGCCCAGTGATCGCTTTTGGCTCTTATACAAGATCTGTTGCACATGATTACCCTTGTTTCTTGCGCCATTTATCTAACCCTCAACTTTTCGGGACGACAGCTCTTTGCATACAGGTGACTAACCGATCTCTATGGTTGAGCTGGAAAAAATAGAATTGGTAGCGCCTTTCTCTTTTCCGTAAGTTGTACAGCCAATCACTGCCAATTTCAGAAGAAGAACATTAACAATTCAACGTTTCTACGCACCTGGGCTGAATGAGTAGCATTTGCTAGAAAAAGTGACATCTAATTTACCCTGAGATTGAAGGCACGGCTGGCGCGGCGTAGATATACATTTTCTTTGGCAAATAACTTATTCCAGATTCCCAGTGGAAAACAAATTGCGACACAAGATCGAATACAACAGCACTGTACGGTCGCTTAGACCTCTTACAAAAATACTTTTTAATGAAAAATTGAATAGCAGGAAAGTATGCAGGTTTCATTACTCCTGGAATTCACTATAAAATAGGTTAACTTCATTCCATAGGCCAGTCAAAGTGGATTAAAATGACTGTAATATCCTTTGTTTATAGCAATAATTTTCTTCTATGCTATAGCAGTCACAAAGGCAAACATTTGAATACCGAGGTACCGCAATTCTTAAAAAGGTTATCTTGTCAATCCGATTTTTGAGCTACTTACGAGTAGACTTAGCAAAACCTCTTTAGCAAAATTATGTTACGGTGTAGATATTATATATCAACTGAATTGAATCTATCACAAAAAAATGTATATTATCTTGTACAGTATTTAAAATATTTATTTGGAAATAACGATGCTGCTCTTTATACAATAGTAAAATCCATACAGATAAATTGGATTCCATCATTATTCAAAATCCTATCACAAAATGAACGGCTATATCGCTGTCTATAATCGAATTACCAAAATAGATGGGCGAAAGAGCTAAGATTGTCAAAACAATATAGTTTAAACAAACTATAGAAAAATATTTTTGGCTTCGAACAAAGTTTTTTGAGTTTTTTAGATAATTCTTAACAGAAAAGGTCCTTAAGACCATATAGTTGTAGTCCCCGCTCTTGGAGGTTACGTCACCAACGCCATATGGAATAAGTAAACAGATCGAGTCTCCGTACCATGGGCGGAACACTACGCAGACTAATCTGAAGTGGGTTCATTTTCTTCCTGGAAATACTCTAATAAATTTAGCACGAGCTGTAGACCTTCTCTATTGTTCGTATCTACGGGCATTGTACAATTTTATATTGAAGATTGATAACAGGACAGCTCAAATTGCATGCCGATGTCAAGTCAGTTGTCACTCTGACGAATATAATTGAAGGGCACTCTCGTAACCACAAAGTTTTCGAGACGCAGACACACAACTATGTCTTTGAGCTTACCGAACAAACGTTCACACAAAGTGGTAGGTTGCATGTGTATGTGTGACAGAGATGGAGATATATAAAGGGATACTGGTAGTCTTACTCTGGCCCGCCAAGAACGGTGACTACAACTACTCGTATATCGTCAGTCATTCCTACAATTACTTTAGGTAGCCTTTATGGCCTCCTGATTTTTATGGTACCCGTATTTCCTCTCCTTCAGTAAGGCTGGGATATTTCTAGATTTTTACTGTTCCATATCACCATCAGCGCTCTCATATTGCCAGGCTATGTTTCCTTCTTGAATTGTAGGAAATTTCGGTTGAAGTTGACATGTATGCAAATTAAAATTCAATATTTTAGAGCATTTTATTAATGACGCGCTGTTTGCTAGAAATAACAATGCTTCAAAATGAGCTAAGCTCAAAACTCTTTTCGGAGCCTTGTAGGAGAAGATCTAAAATTTAAAGACATCACCACCTCAAAAATAAAGATTTTCAACAATGTTTTTAAGCGTTGCAAATGGCCACTTCTAGAATTTTTCAGACTTACCTGTATATTGTTTACGTAACGAAATAAGACAGCGCAAAGCGCCATTTAATACCAGAATCAACCACTGCGAGAGTGTATAGTAGCTATTTTTGTTTGTTGTTGTAAATACCAAGCGCAGACCATGCTGATGAGTTGTCAAAAAAGCACGAAACAGCTGTGCATGGTAGTCGATCTGTGGTCGGACAGACGAAAGCAGTATGTTTAGTTACTCTACTTATAACTCGAAAACGGTCAACTTTATAGAAAACGTACTGAGACTCTTTTACTTAGTACGCCTCTAGGCTAGGACGTAATGTAATCACGAAAAACCATGTCCGTCATTTTCTTTGGTCTGTCTGTCAGTTTGCCTGTCTGTCGGTCTGTCTGTCCGCTAATCATTGCCCCGTTTATAACTTGAAAAGTACCTCTCGAATTTTGACAAAATTCTTACAAAAGGATGCTACTATACTAAGGACGAAAGAGCTTTGTAGTTTTAAAGAGCGGTCCAGTGGCGGCGGAGAAAAAAGTCAAAAATGAAAGAAATCGCTCAAACTTCGATTTTTGACGTTGCACAGGATCCTGATCATTTTTAGAAAAATTATTGTAAGAGTTGGCATTCGAGGGTTAGTATATTTATACGCTCCCAACCCCGGTAAAATCTATGCACCTATTAGAAAAATTTCAAACATCAAAGGTTTCTCCGTACATTTGCCTTTAAAACCTAGAAGATAAATGTTTTCGATCTGCGTACTCCTGCTATCTGAGCTTACCGCCCGGCGAACGGGTCCGGCTGACTAGACTATTCGTACCGCAGCGCAAAAAAAAATATACACGGACCACTCACGAAATGAACGATAACTTGCTGCAGCGATGCGGCGCTGGGCGCATCCGCGCAGATGTGGATAGAAACGACGTTGCCAGATTGACAGAAACTACCAGTAGGGCAGGGAAAGAATATCTATAGACTAACTATGTGCCTGTTTGACTGATTCAATTTCTCTGTTGTACGTATTTGTAACTAATTTTGTGGTTGTGGTGAGTTAACTTGTGATGAATTAATGATGTATGAACTGATGACGTAGAGTCAATCTCCTTGAGGCCAAACTTTTTGTAGTTCATTTAAATAAATTTTTTCAAGCAAATTCGCGCTGGTTAACTTATTGATTTGGGCCGCACCTAAATCGAAACAAAAAAAAGGTACTATTTAGTTTGGGGTATCAGTTTCCTACCGAAAAATCTCCCGCCTTTTGATTGACAGCACGTATACGTTTGGGGTAGCTGATTCCGATGCGGCATGTCCGTGTCCCAAACGAGGCCAATTCAAACGGCAAGGCCTTCTACGACTACGTGATCAATCAATCCACACGGCCCAGAAATAATTGAAACCGGTATGGAGTTTGAGTGGATTGATTTCATACGGCGGTGTACATGCTCGATCAAAATGTTGCTGTTCGGTGCACAATATGGTGCTGATGTATTTTTGTGTTGGCAAGATTGCGGAATGAATTCCGATAGAATTTTGCGGGTGGTGAAGGTGTCGAAAGGTTCCTGTTCCAAAGATGAAATAAGAGTCAGAGTCGGTTTGAAAGCTATTTTTATACTCAAGCAGCCACGTAGACAGAAACCTAAATACCATGACCCCGCGACTGCTATAAGGATCTTAAAGAGGTCTTGTTAATCCGATTTTTGAACTGCCTATGGTTAGCAGAACTAGAAAAAGCCTCCCCAAGCAGATTGTTTCACAATGTCGATACGCTAGGAACGAAGGGGTGGTCGTACCTGCCAGTTCTCGATGTGCGAAGTCCGACAGACTTGGGACGGGGACAGAGGCTTGGTGGGTCCGTCTGATAGACCCAACGCGTGGCGGCACCATGGCGGAGAGCTCTGACGAGCAAAACCTGACATAGCGGTAGAAGAGAGCGAGATTTTCGACAGCCCGTCGGTGCGAAAAGATCCTGAGATTATCCGTTAGAAAAGTCTCATTGATCAGTCGAATCTTATTGCTCTGAACAGCATCGAATATGGGCAACTAAGTCGGGTCGAGGATGGAAGCTTGCGTAAGAGGGCAGCATGCCACATCTGAATGTACTCCACGGTTGTGTGACCGGCTAGAAATGGCCAAATTTCCAATTCTTTAGGAAAGTAGCAGTTTTGGAAGAAATCTGGAAGAGACGCGATAAAACTGGGGCAAGCTTCGCTGCACATCTCTTAGCACAATAGCAGGAATCAGGTCAGGACTAGAAACTTTGTTGATGTCGAGAGATAGGAGCATCGGTCTTACGGACTTAGGTATGGAAGGTTTCTTCCCGCTTAGTCAAGGGAACTCTTGGGGTCGACGGCACACGAGCGTTTGGGGGGACGTCCATGGTAGAGTTCGCGGCAAAGATCTTGGCAAGCCGCTGCGACATTACCCTGTACCTGATTTTTGCATCGTGCTGCTCATTGGCATTGCGAACGGTGTCGTTATATTTATTTCTAGACTCGCCATCGGCTTGTCTGTTCTCCAGGAAGGTTCGGTGTGCATTGATCTTCTGGAAATGAGCTGTGTCGCTCGAAGTGTTGAACCAGCCGTTAGACCTTGGTTTTGGCCCTTCCAATTTAAACGGAATGTATTCCTCCATCCCAACGTGGATAACTTCAGTTATTGATGAACAGACCCATGCACCCAAGCTTCTAAAGTTTCACCCGTGATACTTCAAAATGATTTAAAAAGTGTTTTCTGGACCTGTACAGGAGTAAAGGCAAATTGAAAGTTTCATTTTGATACATTTTGTGAATTATTACCGGGTGCTCAACGCGTTCGTCTGAAATATGGAAAGTTGAGGATTAGAATAACTGATTATGATTTTTTTCTTCCTGCCTCTTGTAACTCAAATGTTCGATCCGAAGAGATGTTTTTTAAATGTGTAGATTAACGATATTATCTTGTACAACGTACAACTTTGCCTGGTATTTTTGATTCTGGAATACTTACTACCACTTCTTCAACAGATGATTACTTTCAGGGGCGGCCTGGAATACCTGGAATCGAAGGCCCAAAAGGAGAAAAAGGAGATTCTGGAGGGGTGAGTCATAAACTCTGAAAATGTTCTCAAAATTTAGCCTTTTCTTCAATGCAAAAAGCCATAACGCTATCTAGTGCATGGAATCTATGGTGGTTAATCCTTTATTTAGCCTAAAGGTGATAAGGGCGACAGGGGACAAGATGGAACTCCAGGCAAAGACGGTGCCCCCGGTCCTCCTGGACCCCCAGGCCCCGCTGGACCCACTGGACCCCAAGGAATTCCTGGGCCTCCAGCATCCGGAGATGCCGTCAAGTATGTTCCGGTGCCTGGACCTCCGGGGCCCCCAGGGCCTCCCGGTCACCCTGGACTATCCATCCAGGGCCCCAAAGGAGAACCTGGCATCGTAGCTGCTTATGGGGAAGCTGTGAGATACAACTTGAGGCCAGGTGAGTGGCTTAGCATTTTTTATGTGTAAGTTGACTGTGGAATATTTTTACCACCAAAACTGATATGTCCAATAGGGTTGTGTCGTTCTGGTCCAACTTGTTCCGATTCAATGAATTCAAGAGATGGAAATACAAAACAATTCCAACGCATCGAATTTGTTCTGTGGACGAAACACACGGTTCCGTTAGATCAGGTGTTCGCAGACAGCCAATGTGTCCAATCTAGTGGTCAGGGTAATACCATATTATAACTTTAATAAGGTAGATCGTTCATTCAATTGAAAGTAATGTCATCATCTCCATACTATCATGATATTCTAGATAATGTTCAATATCTATTTACCCCTTTGTTGTTCTTGATTAACCAATATTTGAATTTCAATGTCAATGTATGAAATCAAGAAACGGAGAGTCCTGAATTTGTGTCCACTAGGACCTTACCCTTTTCTACAACCTCCCTAGTTGATTGGGAGCCCTTACCCTTTTCTGCAACCTCCCTTGCTGATTGGCTCTAGTACATGATGGAGTGTTTTTAATATGATAAAAATTACTTTGGAAAACAATATTTTTTTCGTATGTCCAAACCTGTGTGTGATTTGTTGCAACACCTTTAGCTTCGTCGCTTGTTCTGGATACGAAACACTATATAAAAATATTTCATGAATCTCCGCTTGGATCGTTTGGGATTCATAACCACGTTTTTTACAGAATCTTGAGCTTCTTTGTTAATGGTATATCATTAGGCAAACTGTTGGTGCATTCATTATGAGAAGCTGCTGAAAAGGTAACGGATATGCTAGACAGCGAAGTGAGAACAGCTCCTTTTGTCGTTATTTATGAAACGATTAAATGAAAAAGCAGCTATAGAAATTATAAACGATGCAGCACATTACTTGGTGCTGAACGGGCAGTTAAGGTTTGAACATTTTGTGCCAGTTTCACAGATTGATTTTTATCCAAAAGAAGTTGATAAGTATGTAAGCAGTGAGGCAGTACAAGGTATCCTAATATCCTATGCCAAAAGTTTTAAAACAAAGTACTTTTAAGGAAGTATTTCAGGTGCGATAGACAAAATACTTTCTGGAATTGTATCTAAAATACTAGATACAAAATCCGTATCTTTTAAATACTGTTTGTTCCAGTATTCTATCATCTGTATACATCAGATATTTCTGCTATGACCGATGTAACAATTGCAGTATTTGCAGATGATACGGCGTTCATTGCAACTGACTTTGAACTATTAAGTTCCCTTAATAAAGTATAAACTGCTACCAATAATTTACTGAAATGGAAACGGGAAACATACTGAATGAATTTAAATCGATCCTGGTTTGCTTTATGCACCGAAGACTGGAAGATCGCATCAAAAATCATACCGTAGCATTGGAAGCAAAAGAGGGAATATCTAAACCATCTCTCCAAGCATTGTTATCGGTTATTAGAAAGCTATTGCTCGATGATAAAAACATGATCTATAATCAGATTTCAAAACCTAGGTGACTCTATGATTGTAAACTATGGGGCTGTTCCAAGAATTGGAACAACGAAATTATTCAAAGTGTCCTCGCCCCGTCGACGCCCTGAAACAGGTTCGACATTTTCGTGCAACAAAGCTCGAATGCGACATTTGAGAATGCCCTCGCCCCACTACCAAAATAAACTACATCAACAACACCCAAATGCGGAAGCTCTTCATCTACTGGACAACCACAACGCTGTCCGACACGATTGGAGAACACCAAAATCTATGACCTTCTGTGTTGTGTTTAAAACAGAGGATGTACGGAAATTCTTAGTGATTCCAATGACTATATTAAGATTATCTACATGGATCTGATCTAAAATTTCTAAACTAGAAATCTAATAGTTCTAATGCGTCAAATGCATGAAGTGCTTCAAATAGTCCGACATAATTTTTGTTGTATCTGACTGACAGCATAAAATTGAGTAGTAGTGCAACGTCAAAACTTCAATTGCAGTTCAACCCCAGCTGATATTACCAATGTATTTTTCACACAGCATATGTTCATGCAGCGGTCAATCTATCAGTCCTGTGTATAAATATTTCCAGGAAATCACTTATCCTTGTTTGTGTTAGCTTTAAACGTTACATATCATAAACATGATTCAGTGTTATTAATTCATCTATTGCAGGATATTACATTATGGACAAGCTGTGCATTATACGAATACCTGCTGTTGATACAAGCCTCATTTAGTGTTCAGCTAAATAATTTATATGCTATAGTACGCGGGCAATACTAAAAATGTCTATGGATGCTACCACTTTGGTAGTCTAGGAACCCCTTGTTAGTTTTACGTCCATCATTTTTCAAATAAGACTAATTGTACTTCTTTTGAAAATTTCTATTGCACTATTGCATGAATGCATGATCAAAGAGTCACGCTGAAGTGCTTAAAATGTGGTTCACACAGGGCTTGAGCTCCAAACTTTGATTGACGCTTTATTCACAATACTTCAGGAACCATCAAAGAATTCAGAAAAACAACACCAAATGTACACATATAGAAAGTTTCCTAATTTTATATTTATACTCGACTGAGCAGCGTTGACTATGACAGAAAATTTGATTTTCATCGGATCTGAAGAAATGTTCGAATCTTATCTTGTGGTTATCTTTCTAATCCATCGCGCCTTCCCATGCTAATGATGCAGCATCTGTGGTTTTGTTTTTAATAAAACTGGCTAATGAAATAGTTGAACGGATGTACTTTAATCGGGCTTGGCTAAGCAAATCGGTCACACCTAGGCTTCACCAGAACAAAGGTAGGCAAATTTCGAAACCCATAAACCCATGTCCATACTGATAGTAGACTGCTAAGTGCTGAGAGTGGATTTTCAGAATTTTTTCCAAAATGTTCATGATTTTCAAAATTTTCAAAATTGTCACGTTTTCAAAACACACAAAATTCTCGACATTTTCAAGGGTTCCAAAAGTTTCACGAATTTCAATTATCAAATATTTCAGAATTTTTGAGTTTTCAAAAACCTTTCCAGGATATCAAAATTTTTAGAATTCTCTAAGTTTTACTCGACTGCCCAATCGCTGGTTCATAGTGAGTAGGAGTTGAGTAGGAGGCGCCTACTCATTTGAAATTTAATAAATATCTGCGACATGATAAGCAATTTAAATATAAAGGTTTAAAATAACAATACCCCTGAAATGCTACAGGATTCGGTTAATGGATGTTAATGAAGAATATTTAGAAACTTTAGCAGAATTCAAAAATGTCTTGCACGTTTTCAAATATTAAGTCGCTTATATCTCGCATCAGAAATACCTAAAAATATTTAATATCGGTTGTTGGGCACAATTTTTTTTTGCTAGACTGTATCATTCCTAGAAGACTTGCACACAGCATGATCTTCGTAATACCGAATCTAATAGTTACGTGACGCAGAGCTCAAATGTAGCAGTAAGATGTGCTCGTGACATATTGATGAAACACTATATTGCATCTTAGCAAAATTAATCGACCGATTATAGTTAGCAAGTCGATCCATTCCGTTCCCTGAACTAGAACTGTTCCGACAACTGCCATTAACGGTATGTTAATGCAATTGGACAATTAACCTCTGAGATTAACCACAGACAGTAGTTTGCTATATGAGGCATATTAATACGAATGCTATACAACCCAAGCATCATAGGAAGTGAATTCGCAACACGAGTTTGCTTTTGTCTACCCAGCAGCGCATGCTGCATTAAAATCGTTGATTAATTTATTATGCAAGAAAGTATACAAACCTTTGGTGTATTTGGACGTTCACATACAATTTCCATCATCACAACCGTGTTTCTTAGAAGTAATAATGACATCAAATTTTCCATCCTATTTCTTTAACAAAAATACCGTTTAATGCTTAAATTCTCTAGCTGTATACTATTCCAGTTGCATTAATTGTATATAAGAGGAATATGGTATCTAAAATTGCCCTGGATGATAATCAAACTGTAGTTACCATATGTTTAAATGCAAAAAGCTGCAATTTAAGGCTTTTGTCAAACAAGAATTTAATTCCGCAAAACATAGATGCACTAATCGATCTACGTGAACTTGTTTTCAGAAAATGGTGAGAGTGTTAAGAATTTATTACGAGTTGTAATTGTTAAAAATGGTGAATGTGTGGGGCAAACGGTCCATACGTTCATACGACGATAAATAATATGTGACTTGGGAATTAGTATCTCACAAACATATTTCACTTTCATTGTCGTAGAAATCAAACTAATGACTTTTTTAGATATTATTTATGCATTGTTACTGATAATACAATCAACGTGTTTCATTCTGCTCATTAAAGGACACAAAAGCAGTTTGGATGAACTGCGGGCTCTCAGGGAACTAGAGGACCTTAAAGAGTATTCAGGTAAATCACTTAAATCTATCGCTCCACAGAGTGTCCCATTTTAATCTCACCACCTAAAGATTGCTGCACATTCTGTAAACAAGTTTTAAACAAAAGTTGTAGGATTTCAGATCATTTCGGGGTAAAATAAATATTTTCAAATAGAAAACTTCTGTTTCACATCGGCATTGAGAAGAGGAAGAAATCTTGCGTCCGAATATTAGCTTGGCCCTGACCTTGTCCATCACATTGAAGGCCATTGCAAGCTCAAATCAAGACTTCGAAATCAGTTTGCTCTAGCAAAAATGTCCGGCAGAATAGTTTTGAGATTTGTCGGGATACCCCAAAGGTGACCTTTATCAGGACCTTCAAGGTCAACTCAAAATTTCGAAAGGAGCCCTCTCATTCTTATTCTGGAAATGGAAAAAGCAAGAAATTTCACATCCTAATGTAATATTGACCTCAAATAACATTTAATCTTGACACGACCTTGACTTTGAGGTCAAGGTCACGTTTAGACGTAACATTTCACGCTTTTACAATTTCCAGTGTAAAAATGATTAACTTTCTTTGAAAATTTCGACTTGATTTTGTAGAAAATGGTCGAGGTCAAATTTGTTGGAGCAAATTGTTTCTGACGTCTTGATTAGACATTGAAGTGACCTTAAGGGAAATAGTCAAGGTCATGATGATGGTCATATTCAGAAGTAAAATTGTCTCTTTTGTTCAATTCCGTAGTAAAAAATGAGGGGTTTTATCCGAAAAGGTCAAACTGACCTTAACCGCGACCTTTTAATGACTTTAAAGGTCGTGGTCAAGGTCATTGTTGAAAACACTTTCATTTTATCCCCTCGAAACCGTACAAGTTTTGTTTACAACTTTTTAGAAACATTTTGGTGGGAAGATTAAAATGGGAGACCACCTCTAATATGATTTATTTTCACCCTAATTTAGACACCTTCAAAGATAATATTTCAACGCTACTGGATGAACAAACCTTTTAAATGTACTTATCAAATTATTCGCATTTTTCCACGAATATTTCTGAGGCATTCCGAGTTCCTTTGTGCAACACGCCAAACAAAACTTGACGATAAAGGAAAGACATCACAATTTTTATCCTTTTCATCTGAAGAATGGAAGTTTTCGTAATCGCAGAAAAAGTAACACAAATGGAGAACAATAAGAGTCTCGTTAGAGCGTCTCTTCACTTCTCTCAAAACGGGAAAAGATTAGAAGGGATTGTGATGTGGCGATTCATCTGGAACGAAGGAAAATAAGAAAAATTCCCTGAAATTAGGGACTGAGAACTTTTAACTGAAACGGGCAAAGCGGAAAATTTGTCAAGTCGCTAGCCGGCTACTGGCCGTACGATATATACCTAAAGGATGTAATATGAAGAAGTACAGATTACAGACCACTCAAATCTAACGTATACACAGTGTCCAACAGTGTAGATTTCAGAAAAGCCCTCTCCACTTCTTAACTAATTTTTGGAACGAGTCAAGTTACTTATCTGAAATTTGGGGTAACTAAATAGATGCGTCAATAATGTAGTTTAGCTAAGTGCAGAAGTTGAAAGTTCCAAAATGGCGGCTAGACACCAATTTGGAACTTTTGTTGAATAGAAATGGGGTTCGTGTTATATCCCATTTTAAAGCTCCTCGTGAGTATTCTATAATCCTATAATATAAAATCGCTATCTTTCCAAACGGCGAACTCACAGGCTGTCAAAGTTGAGCGTTTTGTACATTGAGCCGCTTATTGCTATAGTAATATATATATATATATATATATATATACAATTACTTGTTAATTGGGAAATTGGCAAAACTTTTAGGCTTAAGTTGACTCTTTTGACGATAAAATCAAGCTTTCGGCATTCTCTATGGAGCCATCATCAGGATTTCGTCGGTGAGGTTGTAGCCACAAGGTGTTTCAGAAAGAACGTAGAGAAGATCGAACTTGTGATCAGTATAAAAACAAAAGGACGGGGACATTGGGCTTGTTGAAAAACGACAGATACCTTCGTTAAAAGTTAAGAAAAAATAAAAATTATATCAATACACCCGAACAAGTTAAAAATATTACATATTTATATATATATATACGTATATATCTATATATAATAGGAAAATAATGGGCAAAATCCGCAAAAAGGAGGAAAGTAGATTCGAGCAGAAAATATAATAGGTAACCCGAGCGATTCGTATTTCTGCTGGTTGGCTTCATCAGGTCCGAAATGAATGTACATATGCCACTACAAAGGTAGATACACATGCCCATACATCCGGATACGGGTGTAACCTGGGGAAACGAAGATGAAGAGGGGAAAAATGACACAGGAAGTCCGCAACAAGTTCCAACCTACACATTGTAGCTCCCATCTTGAAAATTTCAATTGTTATTTTTTACTCTTATACAGGGTGATTCATCAGTCGTGACCAAAAATGAAACATCACGCACAGGACCGTAAGTCAAGGCGAAAGTTTCGTTTTTCCATGTTTCAGTGCTGTGAAATGGAATTTAAAAGTCGAAAATTCTGACGTCTAACAATACACATGTGTTCCAAATTTGATTCAAATCGGACTATCGGTTCCAAAAATATCTGAAGAAATGTATTTTGAATAGAAAACTGACGCCCTCTAACGGACAAACGAAGCACTTTGCATAAAGGTAAATCATGTCCAGTCAACTTATTTTGAGTCTAAAAATAAAAATACGTGTTACTTCTATGTCTATATATAATATTGGGACACCCTAAAACTGCAAAATTCAAAATTATGTATTTTTAGAGGTCAGTAAGGTATTACAAAATCTACACACACGCAATGCCTTCTGCGGATTTTTCATATTTATTTGCCCATTTTTAAACAATTTTGTATTTTGGTGAATAAATATTATTCTTATTATCAACATTATTTTATTATATTTTAATAGGAAGAGCAACAGCAGCTCCACCTCTAGCGACTCACTCTAAAGAGGAGCTTCCAGTTAAAGTGGTTCCCGGAGCTTTGACATTCCACAATAAGGAGGTCCTGGGCAGGATGACGGAGTCAAGTCCTTTAGGTACGATGGCTTTCATCATAGAAGAGGATGCGCTTGTGATCAGGGTTAGAAGAGGATGGCAATATATCGCGGTAAGTATCTAAGTTTTTATTTCATGGGCAAGAGATCTTGTTTTCTTAGCCAATAAACAAAAATATGGCGAAATATCTACCTGAAAGGCGACAATTAAAATGATGTGTGTTAAGGTAATAGAATGAACGTTCCACAAGCAGTGCCGGATTAACAACCCAACTAGCAGTTTTGTTAAAATAGGCTACCGCCCAAGAAAAAGTTACCTATATTTGTCAAATCTTAGTAATAAATGCTGACCTCAAAAGTTGAATCGTTTAGATACTTGAATCCATTGTCGAAAATTGGTAACTACTTACCAAATTAAGGCCCTAATAGACCTTTGACGGAGAAGTTAAACTGGTTGGTTCAAAACAACAAAAAGCACACCTCTAAAAAGTACTTGAAGGATTCTTAACCTCGACGGCAAATCCAGAGGTTTTAGCTTACCTAATACTAACCTAAAATATGCCCTCAATGTTAGGTTCTTTTTTGGTCATATTGGTGAGTAAAAATAATCTTATTTATGACCAATAAAATTATCTGTAACTTTGCAACACAAATTGGTAAAAATCAAGTCGATACGTCTACACCTTGAGGTTACAAGGATGCTTTTAGTAAATATTCATCTAGATTTCGACATTGACACTAACTTTGAAGGCAAAATGTTTTCTTTCACAAACTGTTTGAAATGAACCAGAAGAGACATAAGGTCTATGTTTATAGGCATACCTCACAATACTACCGGGTCATTAAAAGAGACTCAATCACGATTGTTTTAAACGCGCATGCACAATTCGGAAGTACTGTAGTAACGGTGCGTCCTGCTCAATATTCGGACTGTATAATACAGAACGTAATTTTGAAGTGATCTTTTCTTCTCTATGACACGTTTCATAACCTAACCTATTTTTTCTTTGGAACAAACTGAATACGGGATTTTAAAAAACCACACAGTATAACAGCGTATAAACCATAGAACTATCAAAATCAAACACCGAATGGTACTAAGGAACACACCTCCATACGTAGATCTCTCTCTCACTCTCTCCTTCTCTTTTATTAGGCAACTACTGTAATTTAAAAAAAAGAGAATGATCCCTGTCAGGATGCTTTTCCTCCGCATACACGCAATACAAAGTGGTATTGTAGGATAAATGGTGCACGTCTTGTTAGCTACGACAAGCTAATAAATAGAGCCTACTTACGTAAATCTGAAAAATTATTCAATGTCAAGTTGATTGTTCATAAAAACCAAGGCCTAGTTTCGCCTTGATTTGGAGTTTGGCCTCTAAGTAATTATTATGTCTGAAATACGGTAAACTCAACAAGTTCAGGGCTCAGGGCGATTCTCTTTTTAATTTTAAAACATGAACATTAATGATGTGTTTACATATTATGTTACCTTTTCCAAAAATACCTAAGTGACCCAAAAACTCACATTATTTTGCGCATAATTAACAACTTCGCGCCTTAAAACAAAGCATTCTTATAATTTGAGGTAATATTGGTAACATACTTGGCTATAGATAAGAGCATCACCAGCTCATATTATTTTTAACCATTAGGCAAGACTCATGTTTGATTGCATGACCTAAATAGTTCTTTATATCTTTCGACCTATTAGTAATAAATTCCTCAAAGACCTAATACTGACTTCTAAGTTACTTCAGTTTTATTACCCACTTTGGTGAAAGGCAAACGGTTGGAAGTAAATATAAACTTTTTTGAAATAGTCATGTAATCTTCTTAACCTGTTGTATGGTCGAATTAACGTAATTATAACAATTATAGCTTAAAATGTTTGTTGGTAAGTACGGGCCCCGTGCGCATTCGAGAGCCCCGAGGTCTCCCAGCACTGATGCAACCACAGCCACCCCTCTCCCCCCTCCTGCGCTGTTCAATTTTCAATCGTCGAGTTTGATCACTTTCAAAGGTTCTAATGCAATCTCAATCACCGCCCCTTGGTCCCATCATAGAATTTGCTACAGCGCCCGCGCTGGCTTAAATCGGAACTGTCCACGAGACTATTAGTGGCAGACAGTATTTTCACACTAATGAAAATAGTTCGTGACTGTCTCTAATTAGGGAAGAATGAAAACTAACAGAATCAAGTCCCTACTTGACGTTTCCAACAACTTTGTCCTTCTTCACAGGTGTCAAAACTCTCAAACTCACCTTTTTAAGTTGATGGTTGTATTTTAGATTGTTTAGGATTTTATTCTTTCCAAGAGGCTAACCATGAAGTCAATAAATATATTTTTACATCACATTTGTGGCATGCATAATGGTCAAAATATTGCCTAGCCCTATTAGTACCCTGACCTCATGGAGTGTTTTAATAATTCCCTATTGTCGATTGAAAAATGCTTAAAAATGCCATTTCGAAACGTGAGGCATGTCATACATACAGATGCGACAGTGACTGTCGTTCGCTGTGATCTTGGTGCCACCAACTATTTGACACCTATCCTTACAATCACCATGGGCGCCCGCATGATTTTTCCCAGGAGAGCCAGTATGAAGAAACGAATGTTCTCGCGAAGATCAAAAACCAGCTCCGACACAGAATATCGTGAGAATGTGTGAGCTTTCAAAACTTATCGAAAAGGGTGAAGCCAAATTTTCGCTAGGACGAACCAATCTTAAAGATCCCGCCAAAAGTTTTATGATTTACGAGAAAATCTGCTTTCTTATATTACAGTAATTACATGTAATATTAGATAATCTTTTGGGGAAAATATTTCTGAAAATTACAACACGCATGTTTTTATTGCTTGATATAGTTTTTCAAATTATTTTTAGAATGTGTCACAGTCGCGGTGACGAAAATCCCACCAAACTTAACGTAGCTGATTTTTGACAGGTTTTTATCTGTGTATCATAAACACAGAGTAAGTAATATCAGAGACGACAACCTGTCAAAAACCTGGTACATCGATGGTAGGATTTCCATCATTGTCACTGTGACACATTCTAACAATAATGAAGATCAAGCAATATAAGCATAAGCGTTGAAATATTATCAGGAATAAATTAGTATTAGCTAATGTTACTAATATGAGAAAGCATATTTTTTGTGAATCATATAACTTCTAGTAGTATCTTCAAGGTTTGGCGGCTCCAGGGGAAATTAGCTCCTCCCGGAGTCTTCCAGGCTCACACATGTTTACAGTACTTCTCCCGGAACTGTTTTTTCTTTGGAGCACATTCGTATATTGGTACTAGTCAACTTGGAATAAATGCTTGCGGGCGCCCATGGTAACTGGTAGGATAGTTGTCAAATATTTGTGATAACGAGATCGACAATGTATGACATATGTGACGATGACCTGTTGGGTGCAACAAAAATTGTTTGGTACACTGTTGCAGTTGTCTAAAAATATACTTACTACAAAAACTTGCGTATTATGATATTATTTACATTTTCAGCTTGGTTCTTTGTTGACTACATATACCCCACCCCCTCTAACAACTATGAGTCCTCCATTAAAGCTGCCGTTTGAAGCTAGTAATTTAGTAAATCATGCAGTAAGGTCTGCAGATGGATCACACGTAAGTATATTTACAATTTTCTAGCCAATTTTTGTCCAAAGGGACTGCTCCAACAAAAACATTTTAGGATATCAAATACCTCAATAAGCGCACACGCACATTTGCAATTTCGATTCATAATAGCCCAGGAACATTAAGTTTTTCTGCTAAAAAATACCAGTTACTATATTTTTCACGAGTACACATTACGATAAAACAACAGCGTAATATCTAATAATATTTCAAAGATCCCCATATCGAGAAGTGACACAATTTTGATAGATCCGTCAATGCTAGGTAGACAGAGCCGTATTTTGTTCTGGTTTTTTGTACGCTACGGATTCATTTTGTACATGCTAACAACTTTTTTATTTATAAAAGTTTCTTCGCATTCAAAAAACACGCTACATTCAAAATGACTGCTACTGATTATTGCTACATTTTAAAACAGGTAGGAATAGAACAAGCTAGACAGTTGTTAACTATATTAATAATCTCTACTTTTTTGAACTTAACTCCATATGATTTTAAAGGGCAATGAAACAGCCATACAATTAATTCAAAATGTGCGGCAGTATATGACCGAACTGATGGAGGTTCGATTCCCTAAATTAGATCGCCACATTGCTCAGGTAATTCTAAAAAATTAGAAATTAGAAAAATGTAAGCGACATGTACAACTGTTGTTTAAAGTCGTGAAATGTCCTCAACTAGGACAATGCAGTGTTCATAAATACAGGCATGAGTCAACTGTAAAAAAATCCAGAACTCACGAAAACGTCGTGTGGAAGCTGATAGCGCTTGTGAGGAAATAATATGTAGTTGGTGGTTTCTACAAAGGGAGCGAAATATTAAAAAATATCAAATTTAATCATTTGACTATTGGAAGAAGCCAAAAGAATGCAAGGTGTTGTAACGTGCAAGATCATTTTTTTACATCAGTGGTGCTGTATTCTTTATTAATTTTTACAAGAGACTCTGCGCATACTTAACCTGTATTTGAATTACATTTCACTGATGATGGAGAACTGACCAGAAACACGTGTGTATTATTTCTACAGGTAAAATTACAGCTACTATACTACAATTATTTAAAACTGTAATGACTCATGTGCGTGATCAACACGTGATCAGAGCTCGATCCCGGCTTCCTTCCAGTACAGCCGTATAGCGTACGACATATGTCGTTACTGTGGCTTTGCGGTGGTCAACAGCACAGACAGATATGGAAATAATGGCTGATTGTTCTCCGCCGGTAGAACCAATGAAATCAAAGACGCGCCTCAACCGGCAGACTCATAGGCGTCGGCAACGCATTGGAACGTGTTTCGTTGAGCGACCGCATATTGTGTGTTTTTATAAGAATTGTTGTGTGATTTTTATTGTTGTGATTTCTGTGGTTACTGTTTTGGTTATACTTAACCATGGAGAGTACAAATGGCACGAGTGGAAGTACTGAAAGCCAGAGAACAAGTAGACGGCTTCGTAAAGCACTGAAGAGGGACGCGAAAGAAATCGTGCTCAACGTGTTCAATTATCTGATCAGAACTATGTCGCAGGGAGATGCACTCGCGCGTTGTGAAAGTATGACAGGCATCCAAGAGTGGACCATTCGCAGGGTGGTGCATGAAAAGAAGAATATAGAAAGGACAATGGAGTTTATTCTATTGACTTACCTCATAATCAATAATTCCCAGATGTACTATTACTATAATAATTTTACAATAAGCAATTTCTTATGTGTACATCGTATACATATCTTATGCTCAAAATTCCCAGTCACTAAAAGTCTCTGGATATGTGAACAACAGCTCTGACCACGATTCTAAGTTTTATCAGATTTCTATCCGATTCATTATTGCCAACGTGACAGACTAATACAAAGACGTCACTTGATGATCAGCTGTTCACCTCAGTAGACGTCAAAACGTAATGAATACTCGTGAAATAGGCTGTACGATTTCTTCCGCAAAATATCTAATATGCCTGGGCTATCCGAACCCGAAACGCGAAACAAATACCACGGCGCTAAAATATATTTGCTTGGTTTTTTTCTAGGTGCAGGGGTATCTCGGAAAAATGTTACTTGTGTTGCTTATTCTGAACAAACTACATGCACAAAATTTCTTTCATCAGCTCTGATGGTACATTTTTTCATTTCCCACGCCCACTGGCAAAGGAGTATTGTAATCGCAAAAAATTTTGAAAATGATATGTTATGTTTTTTTGATGTTTTAGGACATGCACAAAAAAAAACGTGTAATCCATGTCCCTCAACCCCCAAGCTAGAGCGATTTTTATTTTTTCGTGTTTCAACTGAACCAATTTTCAAAAACTTAAACTTATATATACATATATAATAGTAACCTTGTGTGAAAATTCCATCCAAATCCAGGGAGTTTTTCACATGTTATAGACGGGCCAAAGATTGGCAGACAGACAGACCGACAGAAATGAATGGCATGGTTTATCGTGATGAAGGTATAAGATCAAAAAAATATAATAACCCATTTTCAAAAACTGTCAGGATTACAATCCTTCCTCGCCAGTGGCGTAGAAAGTAAAAGCTGTTCTACGAGTACATCAAGCCAAGAAGTGTAAACAACTATTTCGCGCATTTATGTAAAAGATATATCTTTGCGTTGTTGGAAATAAAACTGATCGTAGATACCCCAGATTGCACGTGGGTGTAAGCAATGAGACTCACTTTTGACTTTGATCAAAACTCAATACCTTCCCTATATCTCGTAAATATGATTCCAATTTAAGCCATATTTACACAACAAAAAATGCCACCTACAGTTAATCGAATCGAAATCACTATTTAAACTGACGTACTCTCTCTCTTTAGGCCGATCTTGCAATTTCCATATAAACCACATCCGAACACCCGTTAGAACGATATCTGAGTCGTAATATTTTTTTTTCTATTTCTATCTCCAGAACGACGTTTAATATTTCTCTGCACCGCAGGCAATCTGGATATTCGAATAGAGCAGTTCGGCGAATTCTAAGAAATTCCTTCCCCAAGGCACAATCACTTGGGTTGTCGACACACATACCGGGTGTTTCAAATTCGATTCTCACCATTGGGATCTCGGACTCTGTAAGAGATACGAAGTCGCTTAAATGGGGGCAAAGTTGCGTATTTATGTTATTAAAAAATGCCGCTTAGAAAGTTTCGAAAATCAAAGTACTTCCGGAGAGAGACGGAAAAAAACGAATTTTCCCAAAATCGTTTTAGATTTTGGTAAGCTTTATCTGTCGTGGGATTTCAAATTAAATTGCATATTACCATTGCCAATTTTTCTTCGCTAAACGCTGGCATAATTATAATCTCAATATGACGTTTCGTGTCTTGTCCTCCAGCATCAACTTCATTTTTTATCATGAACGCCATATTGGATTATCGCGCAGATGAATAGAGTTTCTAATTCTGATTTCAAAAATGTATAATACGTGGTACATTGACATTGCCAAACTTTAGTTATTTCGAAATAAGCAGAAATTATCAGATTTTGTATACCAGATTTATCCAAAAATTTTCAATTCGATGTTTCTTCTTTTGACTTCTATCACCAACTTTATTTTTTCATATGGACGCTGTATTGGAATTTTGTACATTTAAATGGAGTTAATTTATTGATGATAATAATAATCATAAATCCTCGTAAGCAGTGGTAAATCATAGCAGATGTTTGAAATGTTGTTTATTATTTTGCTGGCGAAGACTGAATTGTTAACATTGCTCACTGCTCGATTAATTTCCCTTCTACCCGTCTTCCAAGCGCTGTGCTATATTCAATTTGAGGTCTGGTCTGGTAAACGAAACAAATTAAATCTGATAATTGCAAGGCCTACCTAGGAACTTCTGTTTTTCTAAAATAACTAAGCTTTGGCATCGTCAATATATGACATTAAACATTTTAAAAATCAGAATTAAAAACTCCTTTTATCTGCGCAAAAATCAAGTATGGCGCCCATAAGAAAAAATGAAGTTGATGCTGAAGTAGAAGAGACGAATCGTCACATTGAAATTCTAATTATGCCATTTTGTAGAGGAGAAAAAGCAGCAATGTTAATATGCAGTATTTTAACATCCCACTACAAATGAACTCTGGAAAAAATTAAAACAATTTTAGGAAAATTAAGCAACTTTGCCCCCATTTAAGCGACTTCGTACCCAGTGAACATGATGACGCCAAAAAGACGTCATTATTTGGTCACTCATGGTCGGAAACGTCATTGACTAAGAAATGCCGTCTTTATTGACGCCATTTTTATGACGACAAAAAGACTTCCTTTAAAAGGTCATTTTGACTTTTTTTAGGACAGCCAGTAAACTGGACATCCAAATACTAATAACTACTTTATTGCTATTTATGAAAAGTTAACAGGAATTCTCCGACCAAAAATATCTTGTTAATATAACTTTTCTAATAATAATATTTCCTGCTCAGATATTTTAAATAGCCAGTTTACATCATGTTTTATTCCCGTAAAAAACAAATTTATTAGAAACTCCTCTGTATAACAAGGTAGGTAAGTAGAATATGAGTTTCGGCGCCCTTCTACCACTCCTGAGCTCACTGCTTATACTTACGCGATTATTTTTGCAGGCGACTGTACGTCACATCGAGGTCATATAGACGTCATATCGACCTCAGATGGACGTCATATCGACTTTGTATTTTGTCTTTTATACGACATACTATGACGTCATATAATGATGTGAATTGAGTGTGATATTAGACCGTCATAATGACATCATTTCTACGTCATCTGGACGGCCTGGAAATGCCGACATGTCGTCACTATGTTCACTGGGTATTTCTTTCCGTTACCGAGATTCCAATGATAGGGTAGAATTTGAAACACCCGGTATATATCTTAGCATTTCAACCCTCGCATTTATTGAAGTTTTCAAATAATAGAAGTTCAAAGTCGTATGAGGTAATATCAGCGCACCTTCCACTTTGTCGCCTATCGTGTTTTATCTTTTTACTTCCCACGAACAGAAAGTAGGCTTTGGTTTTAACTTGTTTCGTATGTTGGTTGTAAAGCAAGATTTTGACCTGAATTCGCCGATTTCTATCAAGGCGGTCCGTCGGACCGTTTTCTTTATGTAAACAAGATTGTGATATTGCCACAGCTTAAATAACAATCAGTTATGAAACTCTCCTATCAGTGTTAAAATCGGCTGCGATTTTGGAGGAGAAAATCGCACGTAAATTCGCCTAGTACAACGATGAAATAGGTTTTTGTGTTCCGTGTTTAGCAGTCCTAGCCGATGTAGCAACATACCATGTCAGCGGTCGCAGATATTCTTTGCAATCTTAAATAAATAATATTCCGATATGATCTAGTGTATTTTATGTGAACCAATAATAAAGAACAGTCTGTCCAAAAAGAGGAGCCGGAGTATTGATGAAAATTTGTTTGTCTCAATCTATTGCTTTTTTTATGTAAACATAGAACTTAAATTACGGGACTGTCGATATCTGAGATGTCGGTGCCAGGAACTATGGGATATGAATTGTACACATATAGGAATCCTGAAACCAAATGGCCATGGAGATGAGTATATCAACCGGAAAGGGAAACCTACCTTAAATGTGCAAGCCACTTGTAATGCCAGAGAGATGTTCACATGTGTTGATGTCAGTTGGCCTGGATCAGTGCATGATTCCAGAATATGGAGAAATTCACAAACTAGATCACAACTAACTAGCCATGCTTTATGACCCCCTACAGAAATCCTACTCCAGGTGCATAAATAAATTATAATAAGCTTTTAAAACAACAAAGAGTTATAATTGCACGCTGTTTCGGTCAACTGAAACGCCGGTTTCCTATCCTACAGTATGTTTGCCGCGTACAGTTGGAAAATGTACCGAAAATAATTATTGCTTGTATTGTACTCCATAATGTTGCGAAGAGCTTGGGCGATCCTGACTTTGAGTTAGTTGAACAAGACCCAGATGAAGATGAAGGAAATCATGAAAATGACGAACTTCCTCTCCGCCAACTAGGTCAACAAATAAGAAGAAACTTGAGTATTATAATAAATAGTTTTACTGATTAAAGAATATTTATAAGTTATAATAAGTTTTATTTTCGTGAACATCATAAGTTACAGATGGCTTCTGACGCTGCATCATTTCTAATTTTGTTTTATAATACTCTTGTTGTGAAATACTTGTTTGGTACTGCTGTAATAGCACTAGACATTGTAGTTCTTTTGTAGTTAACCCTTTGGTCTCCTCAGTTTCGTATTTCTCTGTTGCTAATTTTTTTTTCTGGTGGCAATGTCTTCTGAATTGCTGGCGCTGTAATACTAACTGTTTGCTCACTGCGCTCGGTATATTGTTCACTTCCTTCTTCTTGAACACTACCAACCTTTAGTATCTAATGGTTTACCGAATGTTGATTCGTATTTTTTCAACATCTTCTTCAGGGCATCGTCCTTTCTCATTTTTATTTTTGGAACTTGTGAAATAATGGGAGCAATGGCAATTTCATCTGCGATGAACTGCAGGTCGTTGCCATTATTTTCTATAGTTTCTTCATCACTTGAGGATGACATGCTTATTAATTTGATAAAAAACTGTATCCAGTAAAAATACGGAACGGTCTGTGTAAGCTCTGGAGTACAACTGTCAGTGATACTGAGTGAACGAACTCCTACGTCAACGATCCACAGGGGACCTCCTAGCTTACGTCACGCAACTGTGGAGTAAACTCATCCAGTCTCATGGTGAGGCTCATGTCGTTGCTCTTGACATCACGAAAGCGTTCGATCAGCTGTGGCACGCTGCCCTCTTAAGCAAACTTCCATCCTACGGCCTCCCAGAAAAGCTTTGCAGATGGGTGGCTGACTTTATCTCTGGCCGCAAGATATCCGTCGTAATTGACGGATTCTCCTCTTCATCCCACAACGTCAACGCGGGTGTTCCCCAGGGATCGGTCTTGGCTCCAACACTGTTTCTCTTACATATCAACGACCTCATTTCCTGCACGATCAACCCAATCCACAGCTTCGCTGATGACAGCACTCTACATGCAGGAATTCAGAGTGACAAGCCGATGTCTGCCGCTGAGCTGGAAAAAAGAAAACTAGCGACGACTTCTTCTCTGACAAGAGACCTGGAAGCTATCACTGCTTGGGGACGCAACAATCTTGTACAGTTCAATGCTTCCAAAACACAGTACTGTACTTTGACGAACAAAAAGCGTCCTAGCGCTCATACAGTTTCGATGGACGGTCGAGTTCTACCAAAGAGCCATTCATTTCGGCTGGTCGGAGTCCAGATCACCGAGGAACTGATCTGGCACGAACACATCTCTTCAATAGCTGCAGCTGCTGGGAAAAAGCTAGGCTATTGGTTTAGGGCTAAGAAGTACTTTTCTCCGCATGACCTTCTCACTCTATACAAGGCCCAGATAAGGCCTAGCCTCGAGTATTGCTCACACATTTGGGGTGCTGCCGCCCCGACTACATTGTCCATGCTCGATGCTGTCCAGAGGAGGGCGGTCCGACTGATCGATGACTCTTCTCTAACAGACAGTCTCGGGACTCTTTCGCACCGGCGGGCCGTCGGCGATCTAGCTCTTTTCTATCGCTACACCAACGGGCTTTGCTCCTCAGAGCTCTCTTCCATGATGCCGCCGCGCGATGTGCCTGCCAGACAGACCCGCCTGACTTCGGCGTCCCATCCTAACCGTGTCAAACTTCGTACATCCAGTACTGGCCGATACGACCGCTCCTTTGTTCCGAGGGTGTCTAGATTGTGGAACAATCTACGGGAGGAAGCTTTTCCCAGTTCTACTAACCTTAGGCAGTTCAAAAATCGTATTAACAATATTTCTTTGGGATCATCATAGCAGCCGCGGTGTTCCGGCATTTAGGCTTTGGCCTGCGCGGCTGTTTCGATATAAAAAAAAAACTACCAGCTAGAACAAGTCAGGACATGTCGCTCAAGATACAAATACGAGTCAACCTTTTACTTCTTCTTGGAGGATATCTTCGCGAGTATAAGTTAATCATTATGAATATGAAAACAAGGATATGCTTATACTTCTACCTTTTTCTTCGAAGCAAGACCTTATACTTTTACCTTATGCTTCCGAGGATATGCTTCTCTTTTATGAATACGGTTCATTAAAACCTCTCCCATCGTTGTACTGGGACAATTTACATGCAATTTTCTCCGACGAAATGGCGGCTGTTTTTAACACTGACAGGAGGGTTTCACAGGATTGTTATCTTAGGCCCGTATCGTCAGTCGTCCCTACAATTCTAGGGCGCGTTTATGGCCTCCTTGATTGTCATACTCCTTTCTCTCCTTCAAAAATGTCTAGATTACACTTGTACCGTGTCAGCGTCAGCGCTCTCCTATTGTGAAGATATGTTTTCTTTTTAAATTGTAGGAAATTTCAGGCTGATAAAACATGATATAACTCAAAAGCAAGCATTTGATGCAAATAGATGTTTGTGACATAACCTCAAAATAGAGCGCTGACACGGAGAAGTAGAAAACTATGACAATCAAGGAGGCCATAAAGGCGCCCTACAATTGTAGGGACGACTGACGATACGGGCCTAAGCTGTGGTATTACTTCAAGAATGATATTGACACGCCTTTACGAGCATTACTACAACATGCTGCTTTCAAAGCGAAACTCAAGGGCGTGCTGAACTAAATAGTGAATCGCAAAATAGCATCAAGTAGATTACCCTATACTTTCCACGGTTCCAAAGTCAAGTCTTTTCAAAAGAATTCACTCCACCTTCCTCAGGCACGACGAATCGTCAACCTGTATCAAACTGTATAAAATAAGTGTACCATATGTCTATCTCCATAGTACATGTTTGGAAGATAAGTGCCACTTATTATATCTAACAGGTGGGTAGTATCACCGGGATCAGCAGCTTCTAGGAGGTATTCCACTGACACCAAACATGCAACAACTTACAACCACTTGCCCCATACAGCTTCCAATTCACAATTTTCAACTCCTCCAAGCAATGTTTGAAACACGATGTCAGAATTTTTTTGTATGTAGCTCACGCATCAGGCGTGATAAGTACTGAGTCAATCTACTTGGCGTAACTCCGTCCTTTTTATCACGCCCCTGAGAGCAGTTTTCTTACCCACGGAAATATGTGTAACTTACTTATCCAGAAAACCACCTTATAGCTAGGTATTGAAGTAACAGTAATTAAAGGTTCTGCGAAATGCTTACATTTGAGGATCATGAAATTCAGAAAAAAATATGTGTCAAAGTAAAAACAGATGACGATTTAAGAGTTCCACGGTCAGTTCCACCGATAGATACGTTTCGCAAAACGTTTAATACCCATATTCCTAGGCGTGTTAGAACACCTTGCGCTTTAATACTATTCGTCGAGAGGTAAATACGAGAAGAGCAAAGAAAACAGAACTGTATCAGTTTAAGAGCAAACACCTAGGCTTTTTGACTTTGTACATGGATTAATTTTAAGGTGTACTAAAAACAAATTTTGGGACAGGTTTTGCTAATGTGTAATTTTGGGTGTACCAAAAACTGTCACTAATCTGTTATCAAAGATAACAGAGTGCGAGCAGGCTCCTTGAATGTTTATGAACTTGGTCCATCACTGAGTCGCGCAACAGAGGGTTGCTGTGCGATTTTACGCCGTAAACCATAAACACTCACTGAACGCCCTAGTTGCATAAAGAACTATTGTGTTCCAGTTACGTTTAGCAGCCCTAAACGAACCCTCTACAGGAAACGCCCATGGCGTGAGCGGCGCCGACTACGCGTGCTACAGAGAAGCACGAAGAGCGGGTCTGCGCGCCACCTTCCGGGCGATGTTGTCATCAAGAACGCAGAACGTCGATTCGCTCGTCAGGCTGCAAGATAGGAAACTACCTGTTGTTAACTTGCACGGGGAGTTGCTGTATCACTCGTGGTAAGTTGGGGTTGCGTCAAGACATGAAATATCAAAAGCTCGTGATCAGAAGAAGCAGATGACCTGGTACTTTCTCGTCTATATAACAGATGGCGCTGGCAGTCAGCAAGGTACAAAATGAAGCAGTGGCGGTAGAAGAATTCTGGTCTAAGAGCAGTTTGTACCTCCTTGCTTAACTGGATCTTAATCTAAGGTGGACCTTATCCCACAAATTTCTGTTGCACCGCTATAGGTAATACTTCTCTAGCTGGTAATACTCTAGCTGGTATTTCTCTAGCTTAGCTACACCAGTCTTTTTTTATTCTCCGTCCGCATAGGCACTAGGTTTGGGTTATAAATGATGGAAATGAGAATAAAAATTCCGGCAAATGAATTAATTTCGGAATATTGGGTAATTATCTAGCCGTTTTTGATGAAAAAATGATTTCAGACCCTGTTTTTTGGGTGTAGATGAAATAAATGGGACTGAAAATGCGCAAACATGAAAGTTTTGAAATATTTTACTATATGAAAGGTTTTTATTGAATGTTTGCTTTCAAAGGCTGTGCGATGTTGCCAGATTACTTCATTGATTTTTTTGTTTGATGGATATGTCTAATAATCAAATTTGTATATATGACTTCGAACTCCACACAACCCTACATAACACTCAAAGGCGGCGACTGACTAAAGCCGAGCGGTGTAATGTAATGCTCACATCGAGCGTTACATTACAAAGTTCGTGGTTTAAGTCTGACGACTGTTCACTTGAAATGCTCGGCTCAAAAGTGCTCCAAATTTTTCTGTTGCAGTCTGTGTCGAAATGTTAGACCTGTAGTAGAAGTATCTAGTGCTGCGTTCATATTATTGGGATATTGCAACCCAATAAAAAAGAAAAAAAATAGAGATGGTGGTAGCAGACAGATTTATTTAGGGGAAGAGATGTAAATGGTGGTGCGACAATAATGGATATCTTAAAAAAACCAAGAGCTGTAGCAACGCATCATGTTTTGTGATTTTGTTATAATACTCCGCATATTGCGGATCCCATAGAATATGAATCAATACAAAATAAAGTTTTACCTGGCACCACTCCATTAATAACGTGTGTTCAAAACTCTATCTCAACTAATAAGATAAGAAGACTGCAGAGACTGTGCTCATAGACGAAATAGTCGCCACCTGTACTGACTTGTAATGTAACCATCAAAGGGATTCGTCAAAAAAACAGACAGTCAAGTGGAGTACGATTTGCTCGATGTGAGCGGCTCTATGGCAACATCGCGGAATGTATAGGATCCGTTTATACCTTTTAAAACCGAATTAATATCATCAATATTCTGCAACTAACCCATTTGCGGGCATTTTTAATCTTATTTTCATCATTTACAAACCAAAGCTAGTGCCTATTCGGACGGAGAAACAGAAAAGGCTGGTACAGCTAAGCTGGAGAATTACCAATAGCGGTGCCATGTATGGGATAACGCCCACCTTAGATTAAGCTCCAGTTAAGCAAGGAGGTGCTGTAGCATTTTTCTGGGTTCTTTTGGGTGTGAATTAAAACACTGGATTCCACAAAAAGTAATGCACTAATTTATTTAACTTGATAAAACATTTACTTACACCACTATTTATATCTGACTAATTCTTATGTCACCATTGACTGCAGTATACTTCACTCCGCACTGCTACTCTACGGTATTCAGTACTCTCTCCCCCATCTCTCGGCCGCCGAGTTATACCTATACAGGGTGACTTTGAAGTTGAGTCATTAATTTTCAGATAATGATTGTAGAAGGAAGATAAACCAAAATATGTGTGTAAAAATAAAAAAAAAATAAAAAAAAATGTTTACCTTGTTTTATAAAGTATCCTCCCGACAAGTATTTCAGTGCGGACCTGTATTTGATCGTGAGGTCCCCTGTGAGGTCTTAAGTCACCTGATTCACGAGCCCGTTGTACTACATTAACAAAGGCACGAGGGGTTGGTTGCACTCGATTGGGAAACCGATCCGCATAAACATGTGCCATTTTTTATTTCGTTTGAGCCACGCAACAGACACTATTCGCACGCGTAACCGACTGACACTGACTGTATGTACAACTGAACTGAATAAAATAATTGTAAAAACATCGTTCCAAATTCTTTCGCTTTTTTGTTTCCGATGCGATGAACCGATAAGGCGGATTATATCCGTTGTTGCCAAACACGAGCACATGATATTATTATTGAGACAGGGCGGTACTCAAACTTCCAAAGGGCTATAACTTTGTTACTTTAATTTTACCAGAAAAATGGTAAAGGAAAAAAACATTTCTTTTATCAGATCTACTCACTGTTAAAATAAATGACTCAACTTCGAAGTCACCCTGTATAGTCCCTACAACTACTTCGAGAAAGAACGAGTGTCCCACAAAGCGACATCTAGAATGTTGGAGATCACTTCGCGTCGATCTAGAGGGCGATCCACTGTCACGGTCTTCACAGAAGCCAGGCGTTTTGACACGAGACCACAAAACAGTTTTATCAGTACAAATCAATTATCTGGCCTACATGCATTTGGGGAAATAAACACAAATTTCTTCATTCTGTTGATTGATATATGACATTCGTGACGTCAGGCTGATAACGCGTTACAACCCCTAGGAAAAAATCCTCCGGACGCTAGTGAACATAAGAGGGCAATGTGGTAAGCAGTTGGGGACACGAAGATCAAAGGGACCGACAGCAGGTGTCGCATCTGCATAATCTGTGCTTTCAGTGTTTTTGAACTCCCAGGTGTCATGACAAAATGACAAATAAACAAAACTCAAAATGTTGTGTTCTGAACGCAGGCAGCCATCCAAAATTTGCTAGTTGAATAATAAAATTCATCTCTGAAGTGTCATAAGAATTTATAGTAGCTACGCGTATATATATAGCTTTCGGCACGCTATAGAGGAGTCGATGTAGGAGGTTAGAAGGGACTCTGCCGTTTTTTCCACAAAATGCAGTACTTTTAATATTTCTAAAATGTTCGATAATTTTTTATTTGTTCGTGTGTATTGATATATAGAGGTAACACCTATGATTGCCAAAAAAAACCCAATGTGTCCATCCTTTTGGTTTTACATTTGCAAGAAGTGCTCTCATCCACGCTTTCATTTTGAAACACCATTTGGCTGCAACCTCAGCGACGACTCCTGATGATGGCTCCATAGCGTGCCGAAAGCTCCAGATTATCGTTAAAAGAGTTTACTAAAGCCTAAAATTTTGTCAATTTCTCAATTAATAGTTAATTTATTATTATTTTTTCTTGCTAAACTGATGGTCGGCAATGGCAATGACTACTGCTCGCATATATATATATATATATGTTTTTATGATCTAGCTTATGCTCGTATAAAATGTTTATTGTAAAATAAGCAGACCAGTGGCGTAGCGTGCATTGGCGGGGCCCCGTATAAAAAATTGTTTGGGGGCCCTTATATTCTTTGGGGGTAAAGATTTTTCACAAAAGAAAAAAAATATTGTGAAAAGAAATATTTATTTATCATAACATAATTTAACCATTTTACAAATAAAAATCAAATTTTAAACATTCATTCTCCTTGCCTTTTTTTCGGCAAACTGATTTATTAAATCATTTATGGCTGATGATGATTTTAGTTTTTCTAAAGTTTCTACCTCTATGGACAATAGTGAGAGGTCTGACAGCCGTTCTTGTCCCATCGAAGTTCTTAAGTAATTTTTTATCAGTTTTAATTTTGAAAAACTTCTTTCAGCAGTTGCGGTTGTAACTGGAAGGGTCAAGAATAAAAAGCATGCTGTGATTACCTCGGGAAAACTAGATGCAAGACTATTGAATTTTACTAGCAATAATTCAATGAGTTCTTTAATGGAATAAATTTTTTGAATTTCAGATTTTAAACATGTTTTTAGAGCCTTTAATTGGTCACAAAGATTAACTGAGATGTCTTTACTGTATTTAACGGACAGTTTTCCGGAAGCGATTAATATCTCTTCGTTTGAAGAAGATAGGAGTTTCTCCGGTTGTAATATTTCGAACATACTACTCAGATCGCAAAGGCTCTGAAATCTTTCTTTAGTTTGAGAAATTAATATATCTAAACAGCAATAGTATACATTGACTTTGAAATAGGATTCCGGGTCGGAAATTCTCTCATCTTGTGATAACTCATCAAAAAAACGCTTCGTTATCTTTCGCCTACTGTTTTTAAAAACAGTTGTTACCCCCCACTCTTTTGCTAAATCTTTGGACTCATTTAGCAAACTATTAAATGAAATCTGATTTCTTAATTGGCACAGTCTATTTAAAAGATTACTTAATAAAATACTAGATTTCTGTAAGTCATTATTTTCATGCTGTAGAGCTTTAGAAATAGGATTAATAATTTCAAATAGTGAAGAAAAAAATGTAACGAGCACTAAGAAATCATAACTCTCTAAAATATTAATTATATTTTTACATTCTTCACGTTCATCTTTTTTATTTGAAATTAAATTTAGTTGGTACAAAGTTTTCATGATTAGTAAAAAATTTTTCTTTACCGCTAATAAAGCGTCGTTCCTAGAAGACCATCTGGTTGGACATACCTTTTTAAGGGTAATCAAATATTTTTCAGACGGATCGTCACTTAGCATAGCCCAGCGTTTTATACTATTGCCAAAAAAAGTATATACTTTTTCTAAATTATCGAAAAAAGTCGATATTTCACGAACGTGTCTCGCAGCATCGTTTAAAACTAAGTTTAAAGCGTGCGCAGCACAATGAACATAATCGGCATTTGGAGCATGCTCTTTTATTAGGGTTTGTAATCCTCCATAAATACCCGACATAACATTTGCTCCATCGTAACCCTGTCCTCTACATTTAGTCAAATCAATTCCATATTCTTTAGTCAAATTTAAAAAGGCAGTTTTCAGACCTGCAGCACTGCAATCGGTTACTGCTATAAATCCTAAAAAGGACTCACAGATTTTTATTTCTTTAGGCACATTATCATCATTTTCTGTAACCGAGATATATCGAAAAACTACAGAAAGTTGGTCAATTTTTGACAAGTCTTGTGTTGTATCCAGAATTATTGTCAGAAATGGAGCTTTTTTAATTTCTGAGATAATATTGTTCCTAACGGTGGTACCAAGCAAACTAATAATTTCGTTTTGAATCGTAGGGCTTAAATAATTTATTTCGCCTTTCGGTTTTAGAAGAAGTTCTTTTAAAGTTGCATCATAGTTAGATAGCAAACGTAAAATTGCCATAAAATTTCCAGAATCAGAATCATGCCCTCTCAAAGATAGATTACAAGATGCTAAAGTAATTATAACATTAATTATACGATGCAGTACATCTCTCCAGAATGTAATTTTACTATTGATTTCACTTTGCAATAGAGTATCGATGGTATTTCCTTGCAACCAATTATTATAAGAGAGTGAGGCATTCATATGCTGCTGTGACTTTTCATGGTCAAGTATAGTTTGCGTAAAATTGCTTCTAACCGAAACACCGTTAACCCAAGCAGAGGAGTACGATTTGTTTTGACGATCTGCTAATAACCAACAGAAGTGACAGTACGGTTTGTTTAAAACGTTAGAATAACATAACCATGGTCTTACAAGTTTTATGCCTGCCTGATTGAAATATGAATAATAATAGGCCGAAAAAGGTCGGTTACTTTCTGAATCTTTTGGAAATGGTCCTTGTGGTTTAAATGGACCCAATTTAAAAATTATTTTTCGTTCGCATTCAGATAAATTGTCACCAAAATTTCCTCTATCTGATGAAATTATATTACAATCTTCAAATATATCAGAATCGTTGACTTGGTGTTCTTCAATTTCTGGATGGACATCCGATGAAGTATGTGCTTGGCTTTCTTCTATTTCCGAATGGATATTTGACGAAGAACGTGCTTCAGAAGAATCTAAAAATAAACGAGTATTTGTTAAAAAATAAATACGAATGCTTTGATACTAAACTAAAAAGAGTTATATATAAATAAATAACTTTACTAAGGGTCACAGTTAGAGAGTGTTCAGTTCAGACGCACACAGACTCTACGCGGATTGTGCTCGTATTAGTAGATACAAAATCACCTGCAGCCCGTCCGTGCGTTACATTACACCTGCGTGCTATTTGAACGCAGCGCGTAGTGTAGTGGCCATACAAAACGAGAACAACCCGAAAGCGAGTCTGCACATCTGAAGTTCTCAACACGCAATTTACGATACGATACAGACTGATAGACAAACAACAAAACAAATTGATCTTATAGATAAGTTAGAGTTTTGGTTTTTTTTTGTTTCGAGGCACGGAACCCTAAAAACAAAATTCACCCTTCGCTACAGGTAAATAATAAACCAACCACGCGTATCTAACCACGCAGATCCACATTAGCGTCGTGTAAAATAGTACTTGTGTAAATTAGTAAGTACTTCGGTTTTTCGAAGAAGTAATTTTACAAATTGTCATTTATTTTTAAACCTTATCCGTTTTAAGATTTTTGCCAAACCAATTTCATGTAAAAGTTTAATTAGTAAGGAGTCTCCAATATCTTTTTTAGATTTTTGGACCAGTAGTTGTGAAAATCGAAGGGGGGAGACCACTTTTTGTGACGGACAGATTGACAGGCCGAAATTAAAAGATTTCCTTGTTTATCACTACGGACCCCGAATAAATGGGTTGGGTAGTACTTACCTTTCCAATCTAAATCACTCACAGTATCTTGTCTATGAAAAAATGAAGAAATTTTGGGCACTTTTTTTATAACCTCTTCCCTTTTCCGTTTACTTTTTCTTTTCTCAGCACCGCTGGGATAATCTCTTTTCCTTTCACTCATTTCTTTTACAAATCGCTACTAATATTGTTAAACCACCAGAACAATATTGTTTGTACTGAATTACAATGTAATGCACAATTACATAAAACGCGTAAATAAACACTGCACTGCACTCCGTGGTTTAACATCCAATATAGAGTATGTACGTACACGTTCGCGATATCGATTTTATTATTGAGGGATTCCCCGCTGAGTTGCAGATGAAGTAAGTAAAACGGGGAAGTCCCACAGCCCGCCATAACGATGTACAGTGTTGCCAACTTTTGAACGCACGCTTAAGGCGGTATAAAAAGTAATTGCTTTATAGAATTTTGTCATTTGTAAAATAAAATAAATTAGGAAGTTTTTATTTCTTTTTCCTTACACACTTTGGGGGCCCCCGTGGCCCGGGGGCCCCGTATAATTGATACGGCAGATACGGCGGTAGCTACGCCCCTGAAGCAGACACATTGAATCATATCAATGTACATATGTATTTTTAGTGGCTATAAGAAAATACCACAGCTTTTTTCATCAATCAAATAATATGAATTTGTTTAATCCAGTAGAATATTTCGTTTGAAAATACAGACATAACATAGATAATTTAATCTGTACACTTAAAAAAATGTTCGAAGTACTATACAACGAGTACAAGCACTTAAAAGCCTAATTTGCTGTCCGGAAAAGTACGAGCAATTACGTAAGCAGTCTATTTATTTGTTATGATCTTAAAAAATGTAACGGCCTGATATTAAAAATCCGTCGGGACATTGAGATTTCATATCTATGTAGTGGCAAGATTAATTGGAATTATTTACTTAATATAGCATTTATACTGATAAGATTGTTCGCGAAACATCGATTCTCGAAAGATACATCGTGCATTATACGAATTGTATACCTAACATATATGTATATTGTCACGATCAGATCACTCATACGAGAAAATTTTCTGTGTAATTAAAGTATTTACACAAACAAAATAAACTCTATCGTGCTTATTTTGATAACTTTGACATTTTCCAATCTTATTTCATTTCATAAGAAACATATATACCTTTGAAAATGTTTAAATTATTCCTAATTATATAAAACTTAAAGAACAATATTTAAAATATGCATTTCCGACTGGATGGTCGTATAGTCGTATAGTATATCAAAATTTATAGGAGGGTCCACCCATATGTGGCGAATCCAAAATGGAGGATAAAATTTGAAGTATAGATTTTTACAAAAGAAACATACACGCTTGCATCAAACAATATGAAATATCAGGTCCGCACTTTACACTGTCAATACGAATGAACAACTAAATCAACAGACAACTATGCACTCATGGACGTCTCAGCATAAAGTAACATGCGGCCTCCTGCGTCCGTTGTTAAGTTATTTCAAACAATTTATAGTACCATTTGTATTAGCACAGCTTAGATGAAAATTAGCTATGAAACTCTCCTGTCAGTGTCAAACACGGCCGCCATTTGGGGAAGAAAGTCGAATGTAAATTCCCCCAGTACAACGATGAAAGAGGTTTTAGTACTCAGCAGCAGCTGGTGTTGCCTCGTATCATGGCAGAGGCCGCAGATATTATTTTCAATCTTAAAATGATAATATTTCGATCTGATATAGTGTACCGGCTGTTGCTAAGCGCTAAAACCTCTTTCATCGTTGTACTAAGGAAATTAACGTTCGACTTTCTCCGCAAAAATAGCGGCCGTTTTTGACACTTACAGGAGAGTTTCATAGCTGATTGTTATCTAAGCTATGGATTAGTATATAGTCAAAGTTGCCTCATGTAAATCCTAAAACTTTTTTACTACTTTTAATTTCGAAAGGTGTCCTTTCAGCTGTTGCATTATTTGTAATCTAGAGGGTTACAAATAGGAAACATACTACTATCATCTAGCCGTACAATCTAAGGTTTAGCGCTTGAAATTTTTAATTTAGCGTACAGCCTAAAAACTTGCGTTAGATTGTGAAAAACATTTTAAGCATTTTTTTTCCGGTGGGCCCCTGTAAAGTATGGTTGATACGGCGGTAGCTACGCCACTCGTAAAAGGCAACAGCTGCAACTAACCAAGGCTTGGCAATACAGTAGGGTCAATTATTTCATTAATCTACGACCAGGCGAAAAGGAGTACTTTATGAACAAGTCTTTCGGGCGTTATGCCCTCTTTTCAGCCCGTGGTTGCTTTTGTGCCCAAGTGTAACCAAAGAAACCGTCCTGCTAGGCGACAACGCAGGTACCGAAGGCAATAGTATGGTCAACTAATTTTTATTTTTAATTCTACTCGAAAGCAACTCTAATAGTCCAATATCTCAGGGCTACCTGACATTACTTATGACTAGACAAAGCGTGGGGCAATAAATAGCATTTATATGTACGTTTAACTTTAACACCTGGATAGCTGCTAAGTTGGGCAAATGGCCAATTTACTGGTATCAGGTGAGAAGGATTAAGTAAAAATAAAAATAACTTTAATTAGGGCCGTATCGTCAGTCGTTCCTACAATTGTAGTACGCCTTTATGGCTTCCTTGATTGTCATAGTATTTTCTCTCCTTCAGACGTTTCTAGATTTCACCTGTTCCGTGTCAGCGTCAGCTCTCTCCTATTGTGAAGTTTTTGAATTGTCGGCAATTTCAGACTGATAAAACAGATGTTAAAAATTAAAAACATGAACAATTTGATGCAAATAGACATTTGTGACATAACCTCAAAATAGAGCGCTTACATGGAAAAGTAGAAAACTATGAGAATCAAGGCGGCCATAAAGGCGTCCTACAATTGTAGGAACTATACTGACGATACGGCCTTTAGATTCCAATTTGTACCATATACACTTTGTAAAACATTATTACAAAGGAATACTTAGCACCTGCCAGACACTTCCAACCAGTCATATAGGCATCCCTTGGTATAAATTAACCTCCTCTAACTTATTTGTATGAGCATTTAGAAAAAAATTGTTTTTAACAAACGTGATCTTTATTTTGCTTTTAAAATGTGAACTTTTGCATGCAATGTATTTTTTGTATACAGGGTAAGTTGTTAGTACCGTCGAATAAAGTGTATCGTTAGAAAAATACAAACTTATTCTATAGGACTTCAGCGAGTCATCAATAACGTTTACGGTTTTTCTTCAGGGCTGAAATGTTCAAAGGCGATGGCGCACCGTTTCCTCAGCAACCAGCGAAAATCTACTCGTTCAGTGGTAAAAACGTTCTGAACGACCCAACGTGGCCACTAAAGGCGGTGTGGCATGGGGCACTGCCTAATGGTGAACGGGCGCTTGATTTTTCGTGCGATTCTTGGCACAATTCATCCAGAGATAAGGTGAGACATAAGGAATATAGGCGTATCTACAACTAAGATCTATAACTGAGAAAGACCTACCAAGGACTAGTTATATATCAAGAGAAGACACTTCGTGGAGTGCATTTATAATCCGCTGGTCGGCCTCACTGACTTCGGGAGTCATCTGAATTATAGTAGCGAAGCCGATTTTTTGTCATCTTCGCGTACTGATAGATACTATACAAACTACTCACAGATTTTGTGTTTAACATTCTATACCAGTGCGTGACCAAAACTTTACGGTCGGTCGTAGACTATTACTGGTCATATTTATTATAAAATGAAAGCAGCGATCTATGAGTGGACCATCCTTGGCTACCGAGACGGTATTGCCAAGCCGCCGTAAAATAAATATTTTTTATAAAACGCCACGTTTATACTAAGTTGAATGTGGTTCAACTCTTTTCACGGTTTCCGGGTTTAACGTCAAAAAGTCCTGCGAAATAAATAAACATCATGTCAAATAGATCGATGATTGGTTAGTAAGCAAGTTGAGGTTAGAAAGCTTATGAATTTCAAGCTGACGTAATTTTCTTATTATTAAACTAAATCGTGAGGTGTTCCGGATAGAATAGAAAATACCTTTCGTAGGTTGCAAATGCGTTCACTACAAGTAATCGTCAATGAATTCAACGAAAAAGGATTATCTCTCGGGCAACAACCCATTTATTTCCGATTAAATGAGAACGGCCGTGTATAGACGCCACCAGCTGTTTTGTGGACGCCATGTTTTTGGAGTCATCTCTTATCGATCTCTAATTGTATTCGCCTTGTCTAACTGTCTTCTCTTTATATTGCTACTCTTTGCTCCAACTTCCAACATTGGAAGGTGATAGATAAAGCATTGATGGATATGGATATGGAAAATCTTTATTGACTGTATTTAGAATTCATTTATTTTGCCATTAAGACAGATATCGAGAAGCGGCATTAAATAGAAGCTGGTTTTCAAGTGTTTTACAACCTCCTACTTCCAACTGCCAATTAGCCAGACATATTAGGTTTGGAATGTGACTCATTTCCGTCGGTTTGTCTGTTCGTTTGATTTGGATTGGATTTTGAAGAGATTTTTACACAAAGTCACTCCTATACCAAAAACAAAAAGCTTTGTACGATTCGAAATTAATCTTTTATTCAAGTTTCTTGTCATTTATTTTTGGGCGTATAACAGTTATTTTTGAAATTTTTCAATTTTGAGAGAATCGTAAAATCGGGTATTTGTTGTATTTCATTTATTATTGATGGCACTTTCGTAACCCATTGCGAACATTAAATATACTAAGTGACATATAAATCCGAACACCCAGTTTAAATGGTTTTATTTTAATAAAAGTTGGTGAATGTATTTATCTTACTGTAAATAACATGTGAAAAAATGTTCAGCCTTATCAGTTGGACATTCCGGTTTTTATACTGCTTTTTTTTTAATTCACTAACGCTCTAAAAATGAATATTTCAGCCGCAGTAAAGAATCAACGTTGGCGGATTTTGGTTCTTGACATCCTTTACGATCGGTTACGATGCCTAGAGTACGGAGACCTGTACGATTTCGTCAACTTGGTGAGTTTGATAGGGGCCGTATAGTGGGACTTCGGGAAGCTGGACTTTCTTTTCGGGCAATTGCAGTTAGAGTGCAAAGAAGTGTAGACACTGTGGTTAGGTGTTGTCAGGCATGGCTTCGAGAAGGCCGTACGCAAAGAGCAAGGGGCACTGGACGCCGCCGTAGAACAACAGACCGTGAAGATCGCCGCCTAAGATTATTGGCCTTAAGGGACCGTTTCTCCACTACCAGGTCCATTGCAAATGAATGGTTTGTAGAACACGGAAGACCTATTGGCATGCGAAGTATTTACCGACGAATGAGAAGTTTTGGCTTGTTTTCATACCGGCCACACTGGGTCCTCCCTTTAACTCGAGAACACCGACGTAATCGCCTTGAGTGGTGCAGACAATGGTCACTCTGGGATCAGGAATGGAACAGTATTGTCTTTAGTGACGAGTCTCGATTTTGTTTAGGCATGCACGATGGTCGTGCCAGGGTTAGAAGGTGACGTGGTGAAAGGAGGAATCCACAGTTTTTTGTTGAAAGGCATGTTCATCACACTGTTGGAGTTATGGTTTGGGGTGCTATAGCTTATGGTTCCAGGTCACCTTTAATCTTCATCAGAGGTAACATGAACGCGCAGCGTTATATCCACGAAGTTCTAGAACCCCATCTTTTACCCTATCTTGACACCCTGGCAGATCCAACTTTCCAACAAGATAATGCCCTACCACATGTTGCAAGAGTCACAATAGACTTCTTTCAACAGAATGATGTCACATTGTTACCATGGCCACCAAGATCTCCCGACTTTATCCCCAATTGAGCACGTGTGGGATATGATGGGTAGGAGATTGCTCAATTTGCAACGTCCTCCTCAGACTCTAGAAGCACTTCGTGAGGAGTTGGTGGTTGCCGGGAATGAGATACCACAGGAGGACATTGACCACCTGATCAGAAGCACGCCTAGGCGCCTTGGAGAATGCGTAGCACATCAGGGTGCATCCACACATTATTAAAGGTCAAAGGGCTTTAAAGCAGTGCAATCATTTTGAAATTTTTATCATTTACTTATTATGCTTCGTTAAGTAGTTATACAAAATTTTATTAAAATAAAACCATTTAAACTGGGTGTTCGGATTTATATGTCACTTAGTATAGATTCACATCAATGCCTGCAATTCTCTCTATCTATCGGTTTACTTGGCACTAAAAGTATTGACGTTACCCAATCATTACTTTATACGCTACCCAAAATTGAAATGTTCAATTTGTTCCGTTTTGTTGTATGAAGCTCTACCAAGATTTGTTTCTTTATAGGTGGGTCTGGCATTGTAATACTTCGTTTTGAAAGTTTCCTACTTGAAATGTTATCCATCCATTACTTAGTATGCCACTAAAAATTGAAATGTTAAATTTATTCCTTTTCCTATCATACGAAGCCCTACTCAGATTTTTTCTTGATAGGTTGGTCTGGCAGCCAGTCTTCGTGGTACAGGATTACTTGAACAGACTCCCTTCTCGTGTGATAAGAAACTGATAATGCTCTGTATCGAAGCCACAAGTGAAGGTCAGAAGAGAAAAAGGAGAGATATAAATTTGTAAGTATCTGAAAAACGGGAAAAAAGCCTACCAGACTTTGCAAGCAGTTGAACTGGTCCAGTATACGTTATAGGGTGTCTGCGAAAGGTTGGATCTTAGTCCAAAAGTTGATAGTTTGCGAGGTACAGGGTGTCAAAGTTACAATTTTATTTTCTGTTTTTCCTTATTGGTTGAGAAGTGTTTCAGATTTTGGCATAAACCTCGGTATGGTGAGGTTTTCTAGTATGACAAACAAGAATCCGTTATTTTTTATGGCCAAACTTCGAGAGGGCGCCACTCACAGCACTATTTCGGTAAATAACTTATCATAACTTTTTTGTGCTACCCTGTATTCAACAACTGACCGAAAAATCTTATTTTCACGTATTTCCACAACAAAAAAGGTTTACTTGTTAGAAGAATCTAAGGATAATAGTTTGCGAGATATTTGTTTTTAAAGCAGCAACTTTTGGACTAACGTATGTTTAGGTCAATTCACATATTTTGGTCTGTAGTATCTCCAGTTTCGAGATTTCCCAACCTTTCGCATGTGGATTCACCAATGACAAAAGTACTAGCATCGTGTGCTGCTGGATGTCGCGAAGGTTTTTGATAAGGTGTGGCATGATGGCCTCTATAAATTCCCTTCCTGGCTTCTAACACATCTTAACTACTTTCTCGAAGAAAGGAAATTTACTGTCAACAACACGGCCTATAAGTGCCGGTGTTCCTCAGGGTTCGGTCCTTGGACCAATCCCTTATTCTTTGTTCATTCACGTCTCTAACCCCAACAACTGTGAAGTTTATCTCTACGCTTATGACACTGCATCAGTAGCCCAGTCCTGTTCTGGTAACCTGATCCATGACTGGCTACAAAATGTGCGGTGGAGGAAGTGTTAGAGTAAGCAGATCGGTGGCTGATCAAAACTGCAAATGCATCTATGGTTCCAACAAGCGTCGTGGCGCCTCGTTAGCGATTTGATTTTGAATCCCGTATTTAGCTTGTTCCAATAAAAAAGTGCAAGTGCTGAAACGTATCATAGAGAAGAAAACGATCAGTTCAAAACGGCACTCTGTATTACACAGTCCGAATAATGAGAGGGGCGCACGATTACCACCCATTAATACAATACTTCCGAATTGATCGCGCATGCACGCTTAAAAAAATTGTGATAGCTGAGTATCTTTTAATAACCCAGTAGTATTGTGAGGTATATCTCTTCTGGTTAAAATTTCCAGACAAGTCGTGAAATGTGTCGTGCAAGTAACAATGTTAACTCAATGTTAATGTCGATGTCGATATCTAGAAAAACATTTACTAAAAGCATCCTTGTTACCTTGAAGTGTACAGTAGGATTATTTGGTAAACATATTGACTTGCTTTTTACCTTACGTTTCAAGCTCACAAGGAATATTTATTAATCAGATAATTTTTACTTACAAATATGTCCAAAAAAGAATCTAACATTGAGCACATATTTTAGGTTAATATTAAGTAAGCTATATATAACCTCTGGATTTATCTTCGAACTCAAGAATACTTTAAGGACTTTCAAGAGGTGTTTAGCTTTTAACTCAGTTCGGTGATTATACGAGCAGGATGTTGTCGTAGAACCTTTTTCATCTCGTGTCACAAAGTTTCAATAGGTGACAGATCTGGACTGCTAGAAACCCATTTCAAAAGTGGTACATTATTTTCTTCCATCCATTTTATAGCCTTTTTTGAGGTATGGCACGCTGCATCATCTTGCTGAAACACAAAATCTTGGCCGGATGTCAAACATTCTTCCAGTACTGGTAAAAGCGATTCTTCTAAAATTGCCAAATATTTGTTTGTATCCACATTTCCATCAATAAAATGAAGTTTTCCTACTCCTTTTGATGACATACTGCCCCAGACCATAATGGATGCTGGAAATTTCACTTTTCTCTTCAGACAGTCATCATGGAATGCTTGATTTTTTTGCGAATAATGCGACTGTCACCAACACAAACTTCGAACCGGGCCTCATCACTCCATTGTATTGCACACCATTGTTGAGGTGTCCATTGTCTATGCTCTTTAGCCCATCTAAGCCGATTTTTCTTTTGCAGTGGAGTTAATAGTGGCTTTTCTTTGGCCTAAAAACAAGTTATGCAACTTTAGGGTTTTTACTTCACTTTTTTTATAAGAAAACTTACCTTGCAAGTTTGTGGACCTCGAAATTCTCTTTCCAACAGCGTCACTCCACAGAGCACTTAATTGTAAATAATTGGCAGGCCTGTTTTTCACGATTATTCTTCTTAATGCTCTTCGGTCGGCATTTGTGATATTACTTTTTTTCACATATCGTGGCTTAATATTAACTGAACCAGTTACGTTATATCTTCTAACAATATTTCTTACACTGTACCGCGACAAGTCTAACAAAGTTGCAATTTCTGAGTTTGATTTCCCAGAATTAAAAAATTTAATTATCAGTAACCGAATTTTCTCACTAATAACCTTTCCTCTACCCATTTTGAAAACCTTAACTACCCAAAACTATTTTAACCATATTCTGACAGCTGTAATTGATAAAAACAATTGTCATGGCTTTTATTTTTCACAGCCACCTATGCGTTATAGACTTATTTTGCATTGGAATGAAAATAGGTTGATATGCTGTAATTGCAACATGTGTTATTTTTATGCTGCAAATTTGATTAGGGAGTGATAAAGTTGGTGTTTTCTACTATATATTATCAAAATATTCATTATTAATATTTTAAACCTATAACACCCTGCTACATTTTTATTATTTGTATTTGATAAGAAAAGAACTAAGATTTCAATAGTAGGGCCAACTGAAGTCGGAAGGGGCTCGTATATGTTGTTAACTTTTCGCCGACAACAGATACATTGCTTATAGATATTCCTGTAATTTTATAAAAAAAATATTAATGGAAAAGGTGCTATTTTGCCAGTACTCGGACAGAAGGTGCTACTAGTTGGCCGGCTAGTTTAGACAGAACGGTATTTAAAAGTTTGTAATAGTAGAATAGAAATTTCAAATCAGCTGTCATCAAGACTTTGAGAAAAAGAACTCATATTGAGTTCTTTTAATATAGATATTAGCTAGGTAAAAATGAACAAGAACTATTTTTTTTTCTTTAATCCCGTCCTGCACTGTCGACTTTGAACTACATATTTCAAGCTATTTCCCAACATTTTTCACAACTCACTATATATAAATGTTTTTTTCTTAGCAATTTTCTATGTTTATAGAGAAAAAGATTGATAACGACCACGCCATTCCGATTTTGACTAGTATGGTGATCCAACCAGCGGCCAGTCTAATTTGACCTCAAAATGTTAGACTCATTTATTCCGTAAATTTTGAATATCTTATGCATATGTAACAAAAACAGTATTTACATATTGTCAGCTGACGATTCAACTTGCCTTTAAACTTGATGTCACTCACTACACAAGTGACAAAGATTGAGGAATCGAATGCATGTTGTTTTTAACGCGCCAATACTGTTGTCAGTTTGCCAACTGTGGATGTGAAATTCTTGTAAACTGTTACAAATTAGTTGATAAATCTGGTACCAATTACCAACAAATATAGGATTTCAAATGTTCAAGTTTTCACCAATCTCGTATAACATTTGTCCGACCCACCGGTCCGACCACTGGTAGTATCCGGGTTACTAGCACATCAACCCTACGTAGTTACTAATTTTTAACAAAGGATTCAACTCTTAAGACTTTTGGGGACAGCAGTCAAGGATATAATTTCCATAATTTGATAAATACAGGAACATTTTCTTTGGTGGTAGCTCATTTTAACAAAAGCTAGTTGGGAAGGGATGAAAATCTGGGTTCCAACTAAAAATGGAACTATAATTCCATAAATGACAGTTAACTAATTCCGAGTCGATTCCGAACCCTTTTCTGAACAGGTTCTAACGGTTTGGTTCTGAGAACAGAGAACAGAGAGCTCAAAATTTGATAGCTCATTCGCATTTGCGGGATAAATGGCGTTGAAGAGCTGTTCATGCTGGCAATCTGGATTTGGTGGCTGCCATTTTGTGCCTTTTTAACTTTTAAATCTCTTCTTATCTCAAATCTAAATCCGAACCGCTTATTGTGCCGTTTATTAGAAACAAAAGTGGAGATACAGATCCTGAGCTATTAGAGGAATTCCAAGAACAGAAAATTACATAGTCAAGAGTTAGTAGTTTGTTTCATTCATGTTATAGTAGTATTAATCTTATATATTCCTGTCATTTCAAGTCAATTAATAGCTTAGTGTTGTCAACATTCTACTCAATTTCCTCCACTGCTACTGTATCAGAGCATGCTTCCTCTAAAAGCAAAATGATAATTTGTTCCAGCTTAAAAAATGCAAAGTTTCTCACTATTTCTTTAAAATATTTCACCAAGCTTGTTAAATCTGCCATCTAGTTTTCCCAACTTTTTTTAGAAAGACATACAGTACATCAAAAAACAATAAATTTTTCTTAGATTACACGTATAGCATACGGAAATTTATAAATATTTACGGCCTATCATTCAGTGACACTCTGCATTATTTTGAAGATCCTGATGAAACCCTTGTGTTACAGGAAAGACGAAAATCAACTGCTGTCTGAAGAAGAATATCACAAACTACTAGGATCCATTCGTTGAAAATAATCTTCAACATCTTCAACAGCTCCATCCACGTCCAGTTCATTAGCAAATATGTTGTAACAATGCCGATTTGAAGTATAAAAACTATTACAGATGTTTTGGAAAAATACCAAATAATTGCTGTAAATAGGTAAATTCGTAAAGGTTTTAGTTTTATTGAATGCCATTTTATACGTTTTATACATTGTTTGTTTTATTGATAATGATGTGTGTACCGTTGTTTTGATACTACTTTACAGTGAAAAAATTACTTCATAAAAATGTTACACTTTCATCCAAATACTTATTTTATTCTTCATTTTCATTGGTTTGTTCTGTAATGATATCAAACATCGAATTTTATTAGAATGTCAAACCATAAGTTTCTAACTCATTTCTTGGATCTTATTCATACCATGGTATTTATTTCATTCATATCATTAATAGCATTCATTAACACATTCTACCTGAAGATAGCCAACCTAATGCTATAATTATATATACATATAAAAATTAATAAACAGAGAAACAGTTGTGACAAATTTTCGTGGATGACGCTACGATATCTTATTTTAATATTTTTTTCGACAGGCGAATATATCATTAGGTTGGCTATCTCCACGTGGAATACGTTCAACAATCGTAATATAGTTGTGTAGAAATTTTTACATGTTCCCGGTCCCTTTTAAATAATATATCAGTAGGTTTTTAAAATGGGTTTTATGTGTGACATATCGGACGTGCTAGCAAAATATTCCTGTGTTAATTTTGAATTGAATGTAAATAGACTCTATGTGTAAATGTTTCAAATCAGATATTAGCTATTTGATGCCATGTATTTGTAATAAATTATTTATAAATGTTAAATACAACTAGGTTATAGGTAAATAACGAGTTTTATTACTCCGTCCTTCGATAGTATAATTTATATTATTGATTTGACTGATCATCCAAACACCATTTCAAATGCAAACATGACTGTCAAAAAATAATGAAATATCGAGGAGTCGAATTTATGGTAAAAGATAGGCTACGTGGGACCTCCGTGCGTTTTTGCGGTCAAAGTGAAGACAGATACAAAAGTTGTACCTATGTCCAAAGTTGTCTCAGATAAAATACTTTGGATGTTGTCAAGAGTGGTGTTGGTAGAGACTGTTGCAGGTCAAAGCATACTACCACTGTATTTGTTGAAAGTCTGTATTTTTCGATGTCGCTTTTCTTCATGTTTATGGCATTTTCGAAACGTTTCTGATGAAGAGCTACCTGAACCTTACTGTGTGAGACTTTAGAATCATCATTCGGATATTTGATAATATTTTGATGGGAGTCACAGCGGAAACAGGTGACTGAGTGTGGACGATGAAATCTTAAGTTGAATTCGCTATTGAAAATATATCTATAATAAGAGAGCTTCACAGGAATCTTTTTTTCGTCTTTGCAAGTGGTTTTGTATAAGTCATACACAATCTTAATATTTGAATCTGATGACAAGTATTTCGTCTGAGAATTCGCTTTTCTAGAATAATGGCTTGTGTATCTAGGAAACCTTTTGATGTGATTTATTACAAAAGTTCGTTGCTCATTTCCCATCCTCCTGTGAGTTTGTCCTTTTCCTCTTTTGTCTGGCTCGGCTATACGAAGGTGACTTGTTTTAGCACTTTCAGATGTAAATCTTTTAGTTGAAATATGAAACGTTTTAGGAAAAATTGTTGCAAACGCGCTTTTCTAGTAAAAATATATTTGCGCTAAATTTTCTTTCGATGGTGCTGTCAATTTTTTTTCTAATTACATTGGTTTTTTTTAAACAAGATGATAAAAAAGCAGTCTGATGATCATATCGTCGGCTTTCTCACGAAGTGTGCTAACCAACGGTTAGTGAATTTTACAGGAGAGCAAGAAAACAAAATCAGCGTGTTGTTGACTGAGCATTGTATGGAAAGCTTAGATATTTCCGAATTGAAAATTCACGTGTATTAGCCTATATTCATTGTGAATCATATATGCCGTTTCAATATTTGCGGTAGCTTATCAAGCTATTTTGGAAAAAAAATGGAAAACGCACGTAGGTCACTTTGTGAGAATTTTCAGAAGATTTTTGTCAGACAGAGCTAAAATATATTTTCATTGAAGTTCTTGTTATTATAATTTTTTAAGATATACAGAATTTGTTTCATTTACTTATAAGCAAAGAATCATATTTCCAGCCAAGGCGGCGATTATCTCAGAAAATTTGTTGATTGTTAAATTTTTTAAGTAATCGTTGGTCTGCTGACAGCAAAGTTTATGTAAAAAAGTTCAGATCGGCTTTTGAAGTTTGGCTACCCCTAAAATATTTTCCTCAATGTCCATGCCTAAAATTGATGTAGATTCTGACAAAAATATTACGTGATTAGATGAAGAAAACAACTCGAAACGTCAAACCAATTTTTATTGAAATAAAAACTAAAAGAAAAGCAACTGACTTAAACATTATATTTTGACATATTACCAGCAAATGTTGATGTGTTGTGATACACAAAAAAAGGCAAAATTATCAATAATTCATTCCGTTTCATAGGCCATTTGTAAAAGTTTTGGAATTCTGGTAAGCGTACAATTAACTGGCGTTTTTCGGATTTTACATAACGAAATTAAGTCAGAGTACTTCTTTTTTGTTATTTTTAAGTTGTTCTAGTTTAATATCATTTATATTATTACTATTTCTCAGCCTTTTTAACTCAATACTGTCATAACTAGTATCGTGGTCGCTAGACTTAAAAAATATTTTGGTGGGCGTGTCTTTTATTACAATAAACTCCGTTTAATCTTTTGCCCCTCCTCAGCTTGCCGTGTGGACAATATTCTTAAATCTTTTGAAAGTTTCCTGAAGTCAAAAAAATCATTGGGAATTACTAAATAAGGTTGACGTTTTCTGGCGAATCAAAAAACCGGATAGAGTTATGAGGGTTCAAAAAGATCTCCAACTCCCGTTATCGCAGTAGGAATGCACTGTGAGCAGATTCTCCCTCACTTTGGACATGATTCCACCACCGAGGAGTGTACACTAATAAGGATTATTGGACACTAAGGACTTATCTTCATTTAGGTCTCTTTGTGGGAATCATAAATTTACCTTTGCAGATAAGACACCCAGGGGCTAACGGTGTGTTGCCCACACTAATAGATATATAGTTATGCTTCTTCGTCAGATCAACCAGTATGGAATAATACACCTATATGCGGGTTATCTCAATTTTTGGTATTTTGTCAGTTAGAACACTTCGTGAGAAAGGCGACGATATGACGGTAAATCATAGAAGGCTTTGAAAAGTTCTCGCCTTTTTTTCTTCACAAATATTTATATTGCATTTGCTGATACGGTCGCAGCGACTTATTTTTATGCACCTTGTTGTTAGACACATCCTCTTTCCCTGCAGCTCTAGAGCATTTTATTTTGTTGATCTTCCATTCAGATGGACGTCGTAGCCTTTTTCTTGTCTTATCTGGAGTGATATGTACCGCCTCATCTATTGAAACTACTTCAGCGGTATCAGAGTCAGGATTGTCTTCGCTTGCATCTGATTCGGAAGTGGATGATGGAACGTATTCTTTGTCTTCGTCCTTGTAGTAAGGGTCTGAAAGTAGAACCATAATAAAATTTGTAACTTTCTATAACTACTCAAAATAATAAAAAGCGATATTGCTCTCAACTAATTATGCAGATTTAATATGATAAGCAATAAATATAACCACAAATTTTTGTTGTTAACTTATTTTGGTACTAATCATAACTATAATATAAAATATAGCAAAGAGGCTTACCTTCGTCGTTCCAAATGTATTAAAAATCACTTAGGTCTTTTTTATTCTAATAATTATACACCTTATCTTTTCCGAGCCGTACTTATCTCGAAATATGTTAAAAATGCATTTGTACCCTTTTTATTCTAACCCCTTCAATTGTCGTATCTGGGCATTAGAGAACCCTTCGTGTCATCCATCAGCGACCACTACATCCACGTCAAGTCACAGTTTGGTGCGGTGTTTGGTATGGAGGTATCATTGGATCTTCTTCTTTAAAGACGCTGCAGGTAATTCTCTTACTGTCACTGGCGAGCGCTACCGTGATATGGTGAAAAACTTTCTGACACCTCAAATCCAACAATTTAAACAGCATATGTGGTTCCAGCAGAGGACGGTGCAACTTGTCACACAGCTAAGGAAACAATGAACATATGAACAATATTTCCGAGACGTTTAATTTCTCGATTTGGTTATGTCAACTGGCCACCAAGGTCACCGGATTTAACGGTTCCTGACTTTTTCATGGGGATTTTTGAAAAATAGAGTTTATGCCAAAAAACCAAATAGAGCAGCTGAAGAACAATATTATGGGAGCGATTGAAAATATTCCTTCCGAAACCTACCAAAAAGTGATTGAAAATGTAATCGAGAGGGCTCAGGTTTAAGCGGCATCTAGAGGCGGACATTTATCTGATATTATTTTTCATATATAATTTCTAAGTTTCAATGAAAGATTCAGATGAAAAGATACAAACCAGTCAGTTACCCTGTATATTCTATTGTACATTCAGAGAGACCCTTCCAAAAGAAAAAGATTGATATGAATGATATGACTCTCAATTTTGACAACCTGCCTCTCCAAAGGTATTATTTTATTAGTACCCACGGAAATTTGTAAGGATCTTCTATTCCAGAATTCAGATTTTTTTGCAATTTGTTTAGAAAAAAATGTTAAAACAAATTGTGTACGTGGTTACCGCCCGGCTACCTCTTGATTCATGTTGAAAGGTATCCAACAAACGTGATTATGACAAAGAAAATCGAAACTGAAAATTTCTCCTGGGTTTGCCAGGTTGTCGTAATATTGGGGGACGCCCCTCGTTTGATGAAATATCATTTTCCTTTGACTTATGCAACACACAGCGCTCACAACAATAATAAACGAACCCATTTTCCAGTAATTTTAAGTCATTCATAATCAAAAATTAAACAAATATACAAAGTACAACCAGATTATTGAATTATTTAAATATTCATAAGCACAATTACAAGGAAAATAAAATGAGATAAAGCTGAAATTTTGGCAAATTCCTGAACCATAACTTAGGTTTATATAGGCTATACCTACCCTATGCCTATATTTGAACACCTTACTTTTTCTTTTTTCATCATCTAGAATTCTAGCTGGTCATTCAAGGAAACAATTCTAGTCGCTTCACTAATTAGATAAATATTTAGAAGTTCTCCAAAATCAATACGAGATGGGAGCGTACATACATACATACCTACGGACCTAGACGGGTGTGGTCACTGGTCAGGAATCCAGGTATCAATGAGAAACAAATACTGGCAGTCCCTGGTCCCTGCTACCAAGGTACTTAAACCTGTGCCTAAACGATATTCAAGTTTCACTGTATTGATATCTAGAAATTCAAATTACGTAATGTACCTACATAGGTATGTATGTACCTATCTATATTCGCATAATTGAACATTTTGAAACGGATGGAGACATTTGGAATATTACCTAGCCCATAAAATAAAACTACAAGCGAGATGCTGGATGTTAAATAAACAGTCAGAAGCGCTAGTCTATGTTGAATTTTTAAAAATGTTGAGATAGGTTAATTTCAGGCACTTTAAATTCTGGTACACGTATGAAATGCGTTTAGATCTATCCTGGAATTTCTATGTAGGTAGGGGTTTCTACCTTTTTCATCAAGTTCACACGTGTATACATGTGCTACCTAAAACACAAATAACTAGGCTTAGATACCTAGGAACCTACCTATCTAGGTACAGATTGCTGGCCAAGAATATACCCTTACTCTTGTCTGAGGACTCAAAAAAAGCATTCTTTGCTTTAAAAACGTTGTTACATTACACATAATTTGACGAAAATTCTAAATTAATATCCTCCGAAAGGCAGCACATAATTGCTACAAAAAGTACTATATAAAACGCTATTTTTTGGGATGAAAATACGAATTATATTCGTATAAAGCTATTATTGTATTTTTAGGTGTACGTCTACACTCTACAGTCACGCATTTCGTATGATGTCCAAAAAACGAAAATATGTAAGAATACGTATTTTTCCGTTAGGTTTTGCTAATTTTTGCATCTGTTCGGTCAAGGACCTGGAATGTTCTCGAATGCGGGCGGAGCTCAATTGCACGCATCACGGATAGTTTAATATTTGCCTGTAATGTACACGTCTATACCAATGCTTCTAATGCATTTTGATCGTATTATTCTGATTAAAACCCGATATTTTGTCCCATATGGTATGACGGTATTACGTAGACAAAAATAAACAATTTAAATCTGTAAATTTGATGAAAAGTTTCCCAAATAAGGATTATAAGTATGTGGCATGCTGGAGAAGTACGTTCCAGCTTTTGATGCACTAGCACTTGCCTGCCACAGATGACAGTCCCGTATTTGCGTTTTGTGTCTGGCACCCGAAATACGTAACTTAAAAAGTGACAATATAACGATTTTTCATGACATGATGTACGTTTTTTGACAGTTTATAGGTTTTAATATAAATTGCCAGCTTTGAACTAGATGACATGCTTCGTGCACATCTGTAATAGGCGCGAAATGAGCTAGCGCCAGACTATAGCGACTACCTAGTGCACAAGTTGACATTTTAGAGGTTGTTTTGCATTACATAGGTTTTCTATATGATAACCTTACCGGCATCTTCACCCATCTTATTAGTGCGAAAAAACTCTTCTTGATTATAGCGAATCACAAGTTGATGAAAAAGTCAGTCAAAAATATCCATATTTTTTCTTGTCAGGCAATTAGATATACGTGTTTTTCAGTTATCTTTCCAACATATATCTCGTTTCCTTTTTTTAAGGACGTGAATTCTGTGGATATATCATTATCAAAGAAAATGTAATATGAGAGCCTTATAAAAAGATAGAGAATAAAAATACGTTAATCAATGCTTCGATGCATAGAAAATTGATTACAATACAACAAATCAAACACTTGAATAACAAATAAATATGGATTGTAGATGGTAGCCTTTAACTCCCGATTTTATCAAATTAGTGGTTAGGTTTGATAACATTTGGTCGTGTTAAACTTTTGTGTCTAGAAAATTAGAGATAATATTTCGATCAGTTTTTTCCTGTCAGTCAATACGAAGTGCCAATTCGGCCTTCGGCTGGAGCAACCGCTTTGCTGAGACTATGCGTCACTGAAAAAGCATCTGGTTTCTGGGAAGGATAGCGACACCGCTTATTAAGAAGTCCAAATATACACTAATATTTCAAGACATATCAGAAATTGGACTGCCTTGACGTTGCACTGATTAACGTATTCTATCTGAAGTTAGCTAACCTAATGATATTTCCGCGCGTCCAAAGGTTGTCCAATATACATACAGGGTGACTTTGAAGTTGAGTCATTAATTTTCAGATAATGATTGTAGAAGGAAGATAAACCAAAATATGTGTGTAAAAATAAAAAAAAATTAAAAAAAATGTTTACCTTGTTTTATAAAGTATCCTCCCGACAAGTATTTCAGTGCGGACCTGTATTTGATCGTGAGGTCCCCTGTGAGGTCTTAAGTCACCTGATTCACGAGCCCGTTGTACTACATTAACAAAGGCACGAGGGGTTGGTTGCACTCGATTGGGAAACCGATCCGCATAAACATGTGCCATTTTTTATTTCGTTTGAGCCACGCAACAGACACTATTCACACGCGTTACCGACTGACACTTACTGTATGTATAACTGAACTGAATAAAATAATTGTAAAAACATCGTTCCAAATTCTTTCGCTTTTTTGTTTCCGATGCGATGAACCGATAAGGCGGATTATATCCGTTGTTGCCAAACACGAGCACATGATATTATTATTGAGACAGGGCGATACTCAAACTTCCAAAGGGCTATAACTTTGTTACTTTAATTTTACCAGAAAAATGGTAAAGGAAAACAACATTTCTTTTGATCAGATCTACTCACTGTTAAAATAAATGACTCAACTTCGAAGTCACCCTGTATATGAGCATTTAGCTGCAGCGCCATATAGAAGACCATCTTGGAAACACTAACCTTTTCAAAGTAGAATATGATTAACGCGGAGAGGAAAGACATAGCTGTGAATAACTCTCATGCTCGCAATGGTTTTTCAGTTCATCTCGGATAATTTTACGGACGCATGTATATGGCAAAAGGTTAGGTAGCTTCAAGTAGTATACTTTAATCAATGGTACTAGATACGTAATTCATAAAATCAAACGATTTACGTATTATCTTGTCAATAACAGAAGTTTTTGATTAAGAATAATTGAAAAGTTATCGAAATTCTTGATACCTATTTTTTACCTTTTGTGCATCAAGTCAAAGTAGACCCTTTGGTATATCTTAGCTCATTTAATATTGAAATTCATCAAGATGCGACTTTCTGTTCAATATTCACACGTCTATCTTTCATGTCCACTCACAAAAATGTTCCATTTTCCTAAAGTGACTTAATCTTTGTTACTACCACTGTGCAGTTGAACCTGACCCGAGCAAAGCATCCAGACCGCCACCAAGCGGAATACTCTGGTATTGTTCGATCGCATTCGAGAAAATTCTGGAAATTTGACAGGAGTATAAAAGCTCGACGGTTACGTCAACTCTTCAGTGAATTAATAGACAAGCGAGAGTATACAACTCAGCAAGCAAAGCGACTTCAAAGCGACTGAATTCAAAGCGTTTAAACAGTTTAAGCAGTGCATTTTTCTAAGTTTAGTGATCAACAAAGTACAAATCAAGAAGCAAACAAGATGGTGAACGCTCCAGCAGTTGGTATTGACTTGGGTACTACCTACTCCTGCGTTGGTGTCTGGCAGCACGGAAAAGTTGAGATCATCGCCAACGACCAAGGCAACAGAACAACACCCAGCTATGTTGCCTTCACAGATACAGAACGTCTCATCGGAGACGCCGCCAAGAACCAGGTAGCCATGAACCCCAGCAACACAGTATTCGACGCCAAAAGACTGATCGGCCGAAGATTCGACGACCCCAAAATCCAGCAAGACATCAAACACTGGCCCTTCAAGGTAATCAGTGACTGTGGCAAACCTAAGATCCAAGTAGAGTACAAAGGTGAAGTCAAAAAATTCGCCCCAGAAGAAATCAGCTCGATGGTACTCACAAAAATGAAAGAAATTGCAGAGGCGTACCTGGGTGCTACAGTTAAAGATGCAGTTGTCACAGTTCCAGCATACTTCAATGACTCACAAAGGCAAGCTACAAAAGATGCTGGTGCCATCGCAGGTTTGAATGTGCTAAGGATTATCAATGAACCAACAGCAGCCGCACTAGCATATGGTCTAGACAAGAATCTCAAGGGTGAGAAGAATGTACTCATCTTCGACTTGGGTGGTGGTACATTTGATGTATCCATCCTGACCATTGATGAAGGTTCATTGTTCGAGGTAAAAGCCACTGCAGGTGACACACACTTGGGTGGTGAAGACTTCGACAACAGACTTGTCAACCACCTGGCAGATGAATTCAAGAGAAAATACAAGAAAGACCTCCGATCCAACCCTAGAGCAGTCAGAAGGCTAAGAACAGCAGCCGAGAGAGCCAAACGCACACTATCATCAAGCACAGAAGCCACCATTGAAATCGATGCACTCTTTGAGGGCATTGATTTCTACACCAAAGTCAGCAGGGCACGCTTCGAGGAACTCTGCTCAGACTTGTTCCGTTCGACACTCCAACCAGTCGAAAAGGCCCTCAACGATGCCAAATTAGACAAGGGACAGATACATGATGTTGTCTTGGTCGGAGGCTCCACTCGTATTCCAAAGATCCAGTCGATGCTCCAGAACTTCTTCAATGGCAAACAGCTGAATCTGTCCATCAACCCGGATGAGGCTGTTGCCTATGGTGCAGCTGTCCAGGCGGCGGTTCTTACTGGCAACACAGACTCCAAGATCCAGGATGTGCTGTTGGTGGATGTCGCTCCACTGTCCCTGGGTATCGAGACGGCCGGTGGTGTTATGACTAAGATCATTGAAAGAAACAGCAGAATCCCATGCAAGCAGACGCAGACCTTCACGACGTATGCAGACAACCAACCTGCTGTCACCATCCAAGTATATGAGGGTGAGAGAGCTATGACCAAGGACAACAACCTGCTAGGCACCTTTGACTTGACTGGCATTCCTCCAGCACCTCGGGGTGTACCCAAGATTGAAGTCACATTTGATCTTGATGCCAATGGTATTCTAAACGTCTCTGCCAAAGACACCAGCTCGGGCAACTCGCGCAACATCACAATCAAGAACGACAAGGGCCGACTCTCTCAGAAGGACATTGACAGAATGGTGGAAGAAGCCGAAAGGTACAAGGATGAAGACGAGAAACAACGACAGAGAATTGCAGCCAAGAACAAACTCGAGGCCTACATCTTCCAACTCAAACAGGCTGTACAGGACTGCGGAGACAAACTGTCTTCTGAAGACAAATCCACCATTGAGAGAGAATGTGAGTCTTGCCTGAGGTGGCTTGACAGCAACAACTTGGCTGAAAAGGAAGAATTTGAAGACAAAGAAAAAGAACTCACCAGAATTTGCAGTCCAATCATGGCTAAACTGTATGGAGGCGGACAGAACAACCAGTATGGTGGCATGCCTGGAGCAGGAGGAATGGGAGGCATGCCAGGAGGCAGCTGCGGCCAACAAGCAGGAGGATTTGGTGGCCATGGACAAGGACCAACCATCGAAGAAGTTGATTAAATTGTTTAAATATTTTTGTAACTAGTCCTGGGAAGTGCAGTCAATGGAAGGCCTGTTCCATGGGAAAATCTTCGGATTCTTCCATGAAACATCCATCCTGAGGTTGTACTTTCTCGCTAGCTACAAAGCTGTCGTCTTGATATCTCTGAAAAATCTAATTTTTCAGAGACACCATGGCCACATCTTTGGTTTTAACATCTGCTGCTGAAGTTATTCACTCAAATAAAAAATACCTTTTGGAGGGATTTAAAGTGTTTGTGCCTAATTTCGATTGAGTGCAAACATTTTGAAACACCTTATCAAGGGTATTTTTTGTTTTTACCATCTTAACATCTTTTTGGTTTGTAAATACAGCAAAATGGAAAAATTTTCAAGTAGTTTAAGCTTTCAAAAAGTGATGTTACTTGAATGGTTTTTTGGTTTTGTTGTATATTTTTTTTTGTAGATTATTGATCAAACAACATCATGAGATCAATAAATAACATCAATTTTTCTACAATTCCTGGTTTTATTCCCTCTCCAAAAATTCAAATGTATCGAATTGAAACTGTCTCTGGAAAACTGAAGTTACTTTTTTCCCATTTCCACAAAAGCTGCTTGGAATTTTCAGTATAATTCCTATAGGTAATGAAAAAAAATTAAGCATTCTCTGAAAAAGCTGCTACACACAGTGCCGGCGGCAATGCCGCCGACAATACAAGTCGCGCAAAGCCGTCAAGCATCATTCCGGTTGTGACACTCACATAGAAAGGTAGTGAAGTGCTGCATTTCTGGTATTCCATAAAGGCTGTTACACACAGTGCCGGCTGGAAAAATTTCATGAAAATGATATATTATGGAATCCGAGAAATGCAGCACTTCACTAGCTTTCTATGTGACTGTCACAACCGGAATGATGCCTGTCGGCTTTGCGCGGCTTGTAATGCCGGCGGCACTGTGTGTAGCAGCTTTAATATATCATTTTCATGAAATTTTTCAATTAAGAGCAGCACAGCTTCGTCGTCCCAATTAAACGACATTTTAATTTGTTTAAACACACAAACCGCACAACACTACCGCTCGAATGCCAGGAACGAAGTGCCGCCGGCACACCACGGCGGCTCCTTTGCGCGGCAAGGCCGGCGGCTTTGTATGCCGCCGGACTGTGTATAGCAGCCTAAAGACTTCCTCTTGGAGTTCTTCCATTTTTAAGCCAAAACAAACCAGTTTCTCGGAGGATATTTTGCCCCATCCATTATCTGTTTGAATCTAACAAAATTAGATGCTTTTTTGAAATTTTCCTTGTCAACAAATGTTTCAAATGCCTATCCATTTTCTAAAGAATTAATTATCAATAGCTTAATGATAAATCCTCATAATACCTATTTCAAAAAAAACATTTCATCTTTGGAAAACGTTTGTTGGAGGAAATTTTACAAAGCAACAAAGTTCGCCTGTAGAAAGAATAAAATCGATAAATATAGTTATTCTGCCGGAAACGTAAGCGGAATCAATTTTGTCTGGATAAAATTTCCCTCGTGAAAATTAGTGAGTAAGAAGTTGAGGCCTTGAAAATGTTTCTGCAGATTTTTCACAAAAGTAGTTAGAAATTCCTATCGACTACTATGATTCGGCCCCCAAAAACGTAGGCATTCCCTGTTTTGAATAGAAAATGTTTAATCTCAAAATAAATTAAAGACTTCTTGACCAATCAGAAATTCATAAAACGTAATAAGTATTGTGGTAATAGCTAAAGAAAATGTGTTCCTTTCCAATTCAAGAATAAATTTTTAGAATAGCATCGCTGGCAACACCGTAATACACGTTGAAAAAATTTGACACCGAAGGACAATGCCTAAACCTAACCTCAATTTTGTTTTTCGTTACGTTAACGATTCGTACAAAAAATGCTTTCGTTGATTCGCCGAAGCTTAAACCCAGTATTAAAAGAAAGTCTAACGAGAGCGATACCAATTTCCACCTGTAGTCAGCTCAACAACCAAGTGCAAGACGATGGAACATACTTAGAAGTTAAGGATATCACCAAAGACAGGTCCGAAAAGGTCCCTGTCGACACCAGTATAAGGTACCTCAAAAGCCTTGCCTACCAAAAAACATACGAAGGACAGCCCGTTTGGGTATCCTACAGAAGGAACCACAAAGGACTTTATCCTCCTAAGAAAACTAGGAAGACCTGCATAAGAGGAGGACAAATATCTACTGGTAACCCTTGTCCCATTTGTAGAGACGAATACTTGGTACTGCATGAGGAAAACGTCGATTTGCTGAAACAGTTTATCTGTCAACATACTGGCAGTATCTTGAGTTACTCTAAAACTGGACTATGCCAAAAAAAGCATCAAGAACTTGTAGTTAGTATTAAGCGAGCATATGATAGAGGTCTGATTACTATGGATGTGCCTTTAAGAAAATACAACTACTCAGACTATTATAAAGAATAAAAATGGAGGCCTTTTTTGTCATTGTAGGAGGAGGTATAGCTGGTGTTAGCTGTGCTGAAACTTTAGCCTTTTTAGAACCAGATAGGTCTATAATATTGTTAAGCGAGTCTGCTCTTATCAAAACTGTGGTTAATCTACATGCTATCACTAGAACATTACAAGATTTTGACATTCAGGAAGTGGGAATACAAGATTTTAGTTCCAAGCATATAAACTTGAAAGTCATTCATGATGTTTTAACACATATCAATGATACAACAAAACAAGTCCAAACTCAAGGTGGTTTGAATATAAAATATACTTATCTCTGTATATGTACAGGAGCTGAACCAAAACTTATACCCCAAGCCAAGCACTTTGAAGAAATTGTTGGAATTAGAGATACAGACTCTGTAGATACCTTTATCCAGAGAATAAGCAAGGCAAAAACAGTAGTAATTGTGGGCAATGGAGGCATTGCTACTGAGCTAGTATTCAAAATAAAAAATGCTGAAATACATTGGTCTATAAAAGATAAACACATGTCAGCAACTTTTGTTGATCCTGGTGCAGCAGAATTCTTCCAGCCATGTCTCTATGTCAAAGATGTTTCTGCACCTCCAGTTACAAAAAGGATGAGAGTTCAGGAAGAAGAATATCGCAAGAGAGGAGCAGCACTAGGACCAGACTGGTACAAGAATTTGATCATCAGTGGGGCCAACGCTGATATTCCTAAATCTGTTAATCTGCATTATGAAACTGAGATCAAAGATGTGAAGAGATTGGAGAGATCTGAGTTCCCTATTGAGGCAATCCTAAGTAATGATGAGAAGATTCCTTGTGATTTGATTGTTTCTGCTACAGGTATGTGAAAAATATGGCCCTTTCAAGAAAAACCTCTGTATCTCCACTTGAACAAGTTTTGAGAAAACTGCAGATAATGATTTTTGCTGTTTATGTTGTACTTGACTAATAAAATAAGATCATTCATCATATAATTTATATCATAGAAATCATTTTTAAGACAAAAATATGCAAAACTAGGCCAGAGCTATTAGTTATGCAATATATTCAAAAAAACACATGTATTCATATAAAAATAACTTAAAAAGTAAGTTTAGAAAATTGCAGGCCACTTTGAAAAGAAAATATCTTCTGTTAATTAATACTTCTGCTGGTCAGAAGTAGGGAATTCTTGCCAAAAGTGATGATGATTAGCTGGTATAATTTCTCCTAAATCCTTTAAAGGTTGCGGTTTCCTACTACTGGCAATCCCAGAAAGCTTTTGCATTGTAATAGCGTCATTTATTCCATTTATTTCCTTCAACTCCTCTGTTTCATACAGTCTCAACTTTTGAAATATGGCTTCCTTTCTCGACAATTACCTTAACTACTTGCGACAGGTAAACACATGGCTTAATGTTTTTCAATTTTGCTTGTGAAGAAAAGTCTTTCCAGTTTAAAAAATCAGCAACTGTCATTTCTTTAACTACCTCACACTTCAAGTTTACAAGTTTCTACAGCCTCAATGAAATCATGAAAATCTTAAACTTTCTTCTTCCTCTTTAAGGACAGTTACACCTAGTGGTGGAAACTGTCAGCGGACATAAATGTATGGCTTGATCCGAAGTAACTTATGGTTATATCCTTAGCTGCTATTTTATTGGAATTTATAACATAAATTAAAAAAAAGTTCAGTACCTACATTATTTGGCAACATTGAATTTGTCATCAGTTGATCAGTATGAAATTCCATTGAATGTTTTCTGAACATTATTTTAGTATTGGGTGCTTTGGGGATACTGTTACAAAGTATGGCAAAATAATATGTATAAAATAGGCCCTTCTATACTTTTTCTCGTAAAACCCAATGCCAGTGATAATAAGCTTTTGGACTTGTAAACTATTCCCTTTTGCCATGTCTATTTTATCATCAATCATACATTTGGTAACAAAAACGAAAACTTTCTGTTAATTTATCATCAAAGCAAATAACTGAAATAACCCATCAGGAAATTAAAAAAAACAAACAGGAAAGCAAGGATAGTTTTATTTAAAACTAAGAGTTTAATAAATTATGTAAGTTTAAAAACATAAATAATCCTCATCAGTATTGCCAAATACTCGCTTTTTTCTACCGCCCCTTCGGCGTATTTCATTTCTTTTGAAAACACACTATGATTTAAACAAGAAAGGGTAAGAAACAGAAAGACAATCTACTTATGAACATATAGGCAGACTATAAGTTGAAAGAAATGGTCCGTTTCGTATCATCCGTTCATTATAAAGACATATGAATTTTCTTGTTACGAAAGGAAAAAGTTTTTTGTATGTCGCCCAGGAGATTTTCTTAATATAAACATAAACAACGAACATTTATCTATAAATAATAATTGAAAAATAATTAAAATAATATTATCGCTATATTTGAGGAAAAAATCATTACAATTTGATAAAAATAAAAAAACACGATTTAATCGAAAAAATCGGTTTGTTTGAATTTATTAACAAAATCGTGATTTTTTTGCAACAGTGACACAGAGTCCACCATTGGCTTTAGCACTGAATTGGCATAGGATTCAGAATCTATGTGCCTGATTTACCCATAGTATCAGTTTTAATCTGGATCACAGATGTGCAAGGCTTTTTGAAATTATTTTATGATTAATTGTATAATGATTAGAATTCTTACTCTCAGAAGTGTCATATTGCCAAACCAAGTTGACTCTGGATTGACTTTATCATTCATTAATAGTTTTCTATAAGAATTAGTTTAGAATAATAAATGAAAACAGTGCATTTGAATTAATTTGATTATTATCACTCTCAGTGATCCATGAACATTCATGAAAAAATCCAAATGGATTTATTTATAGAAAAAATCATTTGATATAAATTATTGATTTGAATCAATTAACCCTGGCTTCAGTGACCCAAAGGATGCACTATAAATAAATGTACATGTATTAATGCTCCCGACTGACTCACTTTTAAGTTTTTTGTTACTGTTGTATTCCTTATACATGGTCAGTAAAAACAACAGAACAGTAGTTTTTTGCTCCCGATAAAGTTTTCTCTTAAGTTGTATGATCACTCTGTACTCTCTCATTGATCATTTTTGAGTTTTAAGTTATTCAAAATCTGACAGCTCTAAAAATGACCATATTAATGCTTAAAAACTCATTAAAGATTATTATTATTCAGGTTGCCTAATGTCTAAATTATAGTTCAAACTTAACCCTACAAGTCCTGAAGAGTAATATGGGCTTGCATGACTTTGAGATTTTTGCCTCCTCTATCTACAGTCGTCAGCTATTCTAATTCTTCTTATTTTAACATATATGAGAGAATAATTAAATCTGTTACTACTTTATTGTGGCAGTGAAGAACAAACATCTCTTAACTCTTTCTAGGTGTGTTGCCGAGAAAGAGCTTCACAACAGAAAACACATTTGACCTATCAGGAGATGGTGACATACAAGTTAATGAATTCATGCAGACTAGCGTACCATTTATCTACGCAGCGGGTGATGTCTGTAACTGCAACTGGAAGCTTGCAAAGCACTGGTTCCAAATGAAACTGTGGACACAGGCCAGACAGATGGGCTCTTATGCTGCAAAATCCATGGTAGGGCATCTCAACAATGAAGAGGTTTTACAAGACTTTTGTTTTGAGATGTTCGCTCATTCCACAAGGTTGTTCAACTTCAAAGTGATACTACTAGGATTGTTCAATGGGCAGAAGCTAGGTAGGAACTATGAAATGTTGCTGAGGATGACCAAAGGTGTGGAGTATGTTAAGTTTGTATTGGAGGATAACAAGTTGCAAGGTGCAGTTTTGATTGGGGAGACAGATTTGGAAGAAATGGCAGAAAATTTGATTTTGAATCAGATTGACTTGTCGCCTTATGGGGATGATATTCTTAATCCTGATATTGATATAGAGGACTACTTTGATTGATTTCTCATAAAGTGTGCATGGTAACGATTGATTTCTCATGAAGTGTGCATGGTAACAATTTTTTCATTCTTGTATTATTGTATGCTTGGATATATTATACATTTGTTCCTGTGAAGACTTTTTGATTATTTAACGGTTATTGTTCTGCCCGAGTTACAATACATAAAATTCTCATAGAGCACCGCGCCAACCATATGGCAAGAAGTTTTTCTCATTTCATGAGATATTTTCCAAAAATTTTATTTCGACAGCATATCCATAATTTGACACCATAAAGTACATTCTGGATTATTTGCTTATTTTTATAAACGTAGAGTGGTACAACTTGCTTTCAAAAGCTCAAATGTGAAATTTCTGTTACTTAATAAGTTCTAGAATGACTTAATAAGTTTTTGCAAACCTTCTCCTTTACTTGTGAATCTGCCTCTGCCATGCAGGTTAGACTTCCCTTAAGTATAAGGCAAATATCCATTATTCTCTGACAATGACAGTTTGACTTGAAATGTATGGTCACGTTTTATCGGTATTTTGAAAAAGTATGACTTCGTGCCAGCTAGCGAATTGAAATACTTTTGTCTCATTTGTGTACCAATGCCTACCAAAGTGACAGCTTTGTATCAACATAATAATAATACTTACCAGTGGAAACATCTACCTTCAGGCTTGTGCTGCACTTTGCAAGTTATGTAAGAAGTAGCAAGTCTTGAAACTGTCAAACTCCACAATTATCTGCAAATACTCACACTTTTAAACAATAACACAAAAAGTATGAATTTAATGACAGAACTGTCAAAAAATTTACTTATGTCATGTGCAGTTTGACTATGAGAATAAGGAGACAAACAAATCCTTAACTGGCTCCTATTGGTACTAGCAGATTCCTTGAGCGGGGAATACACAGGACTTCAATGAGTTCTCTTTGGATGTACAAAATTTCTTTCAACACACAAGCGAAAACAGAAGTGGATATACAGAAAAATATACGTAATCAATCGATATTTATTTTGCTACTAAATCTGCAATTTTGTGTAAGTGAAGAATACCCAAAAGTAATAGTTTTCAAGAAAAATTAAAAAATATATATAGAACCTTACAAATATATTTACAAAAAACACTAAATATACATTTTACGTATGAAAAAGGTCCTCCACTAACTGTTTCTTATTCACCTTTCCCATGATATTTTTCGGAATTTCATTCACAATTTTCAGAATCGAAGGCAAACTGTATTTCGGCATGTACTCGCCAGCCCAACGCCTTAAATCCTCCAATGTCATTTTTGAATTTTCTTCCAATACTACCAGAGCAGCTATTTTTTCTCCCCAGGTATCATCTTTAACACCTACAACAGCAATGTCTTTAATATCTGGATGAGCCAACAATTTGGTTTCAATCTGTAAGGCACTGATTTTGTAACCTCCAGACTTTATAATATCCACACTAGTTCGTCCTAGAATTCTGAATCTTCTCTTTTCATGAGAGTATTCGCAAGCGTCTCCTGTTATGAACCATCCATCTTCTGTAAACTCCTTTTTTGTAGCTTCTGGTTTGTTGTAATATTCTTTGAAAACGTTAGTGCCTTTGACCAGAAGATTACCTTTAACGTCTTCATTTATCGACTTATCGAAATTTAATTTATTACCGTCATTGTAACACTCCAACAATGTTTTATGATTTTTATTAGAATCGGCCAAGTGAATTGCAACTCCTGGCAATGGAACCCCAACGTAACCTGGTTCTCTGTCAGAATCATACTCGTTAGACAAGCATATTCCCATTTCTGTCATTCCATACCTTTCTAGAAGCTTATGACCTGTAATCTCATACCACTTCTGATATAATGGTATTGGTAACGGAGCAGAACCACTGACCATTAGTCTGACATTATTTTTCATATAGCTCCTTATATATTCTTTATCATTTTTGCAGTTCTTTTCAAATTCTTCGATCAGCTTGGCATATATTGTGGGAACAGCCATAAACACGGTTATCTTCTGCCCCTGCCTTCCTAGAAGGTGATCCCAAATAACTCCTGGTGAGAATCTGGGAATCATCACTGTACTGGCACCTATAAGTAGTGGGCTGAATAATGCACAAACTGTTCCGTGAACGTGGTGTAACGGCAAGGTGTGGAGCATAATGTCTTCAGAGGACCATTTCCATGCATTTACGAGGGTTTTGGTTTGCACCCAGACGTTTTTGTTGGTATGAACAACCCCTGAAAAAAGGTATACATATATACAATAGTTAAAAAGATATTCTGTCACGCACTAAATAGACGAGGCGAAAACTTCGTGAACGTGGGATAAACTTACCAACTCGTTTTTCTTTCAATAATCACGTTTGATGAACATGAATTTAGAGGTTGCTGGTACAAAGGACCAGCCATAAAACATGGAATATGGGTCCCAGTCGATTTGACTAAAAATATAGTATATTTCTTGCCTTCCCGAACAAAAGCGTCCATGGGACCAAAGCATGATTAGTTTCTGAGAAATAAACAAAGTTTGCCTGATTTGCAAAACGGTGAATGTGCCGATTGTGGTTATTAGACCAAAAACGCACAGAATCAGTATACTAAGGCAGCAGCGGTGGCCGCAGTAGTAGACTCTTCGGTCTCCTGATCAGTCGCCTTGCGCTGTGCAGGTTCGAATCCCGTCCCATGAGAAATTTTTCTCTTGGCTATGCATGTTGTGATTCTCCGTAGGTGGTAGACGGACTCTGACTGTCGAATGCAGAGGTACCACCCGGCGGATCTCGTAGGCGGGGCCAGAATGTGTGCATGGTGCATGCACACGTGTTCCCTCGCCAGAGTCCGTGTAGCGTTCCCCCTTTCCCCTGGAGCCCCCTATAGCCCCACGGTACCCCATGGGTGTTTAGGCCTTCGTGGTAGTTGGAATATATAAAAAAAACTAAGCGCCGTTTCGTCAGTCGTACCTACTCGTACAAATTGTAAGACGCCTTTATGGCCTCCTTAACTTTACAGTCTTTCGTCTCCTTCAGAAAGGCAGGGATATTTCTAGATTTCTACAGTTCCTTGTCAGCATTAGCGCTCTCCTATTGTCAGGCTATGTTTTTTTCTTGAATTGCAGGAAATTTGTAGGAACGACTGACGATACGGTCCTAAAAGAAAGATTTCGTTAAATTACGATAAAGGAAGGTGTTGGGAGATGTCATGTTGATCGTGGCCACGATCATTCTAAGGTTAGTTTCAGGGCTAGTTGATTTTTATATTTTTATGCTGGAATAGATCTGGCACGAGTTTATCGAGAATTCAGGAAACTCAATAATATACATAGCTTTTCAAGGGCACAGAAATCTCGTGATTGTTTCCTTGACTTTAATTATGATCTTTAAAAGGCCATGTTGATTTAGCAGGTGAAAGGAAAAGATTACATGCAAACATTGCATTACGTTGTTGCAACTTATTCATCTCACTACACCAGCTAATAAATGAAACTGACGTTTCGGCTACCTCGACATCATTTTGTCAAAGACCGAATGAAATTAGCACTGTGGTGACATACAAGCTTATGAAATTAATAATTAATTAGACAATGACTCTTATTAATTTAACTTTTTTTTTCAAAGTAAGAAAACTCAAATTAATAGACAATAAATTACCATGCCCTGAAGCTACGTTCACATTAGTGCACTTTTCTTCAACTCATGCCAGATTTATTCCAGCATAAAGATATGAAAATCAACTTGCCCTGAAACTGACCTTTTAAAGATCATTGTCACGATCAACATGACACCTACAAGGTGATGTAACGCAATATTTCTTTTAATATACCGGTTCTCCGAATTTTTGGTCCGAGAACAACAATCGGCACTTTCACCGTTTTTGTAAAACAGGCAAACTTTGTCCGTCTACTTCTCAGAAATTAATCATAGGATTGCTTTGATCCCATGGACACTTTTGTTCGAGAAAGCCAGAAATATATCATACTGATTTTTTTAGACAAATCGACCGAGGCCCATTTTCTATATGTTTTGTGCCTGGTCCTTCATTTGAACATTTTTTATCCGAACAAATTACAAAGAATGGTGCCAAGTAGACTAACTGCACTGCACTTCAGTGGTCGCTTCTGGTAATAGATGGCACTTTATACTGTCTTATTTGTATTATGCATCATGAATGGTATCTCAGTTAACTTTTGTACGCTCTTTTATCCGTATTGTTTGTTAGCTATGAAGTTCATTGTACCCTAGCATGAGGCCGTAGACTGCGTCGAAAAAGCTTCGTTGTTTGAGAAAAATTGTCGGCTTTGAATACGCACAATGTATATGACTTTCTTACGTTGTCATGTATAATGAACATGATTGGATAAAAAGTATTGTGATATTATTTTTTTTAAATAACTATAACTACTATTTTTGTACGTCCTAGTATTATTTTACAGAGGAAAAAGTACTAAAAACAGGTGAGATTCTTCAAAGCAAAAGACATGAACGCACATTCGTTATTTCAAAGTTGAATAACTCCAGTCCTAATGTTGCCACCCTATATGGTTTGTTATATTCAATAAATTATGTTGCCCTGGTAGTCACAATTGTTCCATCGCCGAGAAATCGTTGATCTTTTCTCAGCTGTAAATTCGTCACGTTAGTCGTGAGAGCGATCAGCGGGTAATTGTGCACTATGTACAAAATCATTTAGTCCTGAGGGCATATATACGGATTAATATATTCATGAAATATGCCTAATAGACGCGTAGAATTACTGGACTTAGAAGTTCATAAATATACTGCAGCCAAAAAATTACATTCTCCCCACTTCCCATTTTTTTACCCCAAAAAAGAAGTTTGAGCGATTTTTATTTTAAGGGTTTTCGGATTCTTTTCTCCGTCCCTACTAGACGGATTTTTAAAAACTACAAAGATTTTTCGTCCTTAGCATAGTAGTAACCTTGTGTGGAAATTGCTTCAAAACCTGAGCGGTGCTTTCCAAGTTATAAACTGGTTAAGGCCAATGATTTGACGACAGACCGACAGAAATGAGTGACATGATTTTTCGTGATGTAAATGTCACATAAGTTCCTAAAAACGTTATATCTTGTTTTCAAATTTTTCCCTGATTACATTACGTCCTCGCCAATAGGTGTAGGAAGTAAAACTTGTTTTTTACGTCCGAACAAAGTTTCTTTAGCTTTTAGATCATTGTGAGCAAGAAAGGTTCTCTAAATCTGAAAAGTCCAGTAAAACGTCCATTTGGATGTTTGAAAACTTTGTTAAAAATACTATTTTTGTTACTTGCCAAGTATCTAAATCAAAGTTCAAGCCTTCCCTACAAGATCCCGGAGAATAAGCATTGTTATTTAATTGTGTTGAACCACCCTACAAGATTTCGGAGAATACGCATTGTTATTTAATTGTGTTGAACACACCTTACAAAATGTCCCGTTCGTTTGATTTAAATCAGCTTTTTTAATGTACTAATTTCTAAATAGTTTACTCGCATTTCTAACGAAGAAACGAATAAAAAACGTATTTCAGCTATAATAAAATCAATTTTGTCTAGCTTTTGACACATACACTACCGCTCAAATATTTTGGGACAGAAACTTTTTTTAAGAGAACTTAAAATAAATAAGGCTTATATGACATTGATTGATTATTACCATCTATAATACGACTACTCAAGCTAAAGATGTAAAAGAATCAGTGAAAAACCACTTAAAAGGGAATAAATGTAAACATCTTTAGAGACGCCGATATTTTTATTAGTTCATTGCAGTCATAAATCGGCCGACTTCCTTCCGCTGCTTACTTTTTTTTGTACCGTGTATTATGTTCGGCGTAATGTGGTACATAAACATTCTGGGTATCAATGAAACAAAGTAAAAATTGTACGTAGTTTAGTATAAACTACTAGTCGAAGTGCTAGGGTCAGATTTTTTCAAAATAATGGAAAATGGTACAGACGGGTAACGTTTCTCTTGAAAAACGGGGTACAGTATGGACCTTACGTGATGAGGGATTGCCAATTCGAGCGATTGCTCAAAAGCTGTATTTGGTACGTAACACTGTGTCTCAAATTTTAAAGAAAAAGAAAGAGGCAGTGTCGTAGATCGTCCACGCTCTGGAAGACGCAGAGTTGCAACTGTTCCTGAGGATAGGTTTATAGTAATAACAAATATGCGAAATAGACACTTAACTTCGCCTGAACTCACACACAGCTTGAACAGAACGAGGGAAAACCCTGTATCCATGTCCACGGTAAAACGCCGCTTGCAAAGGGCTAACCCTAGAGGATGTGTAGCAGCATGCAAACCAGTCCTGCGACCTATGCATAACCTCAACCGGTTAGCATGGACTCGAAAACACAAGGATTGGACCACTGACGATTGGAATCGAGTCCTTTGGTCGGATGAATCCAAATTCGAAATGTTCGGATCTCGATGACTACAGTTTGTACGCCGCCAACCCCATAAACGCATGGCTCCGCAATGTTTGCAGTCCACTGTTAAACATGGAGGTGGGAGTGTAATGATTTTGGACTGTTTTGCTGGAAATCGAACAGGAGATTTGGTTCGTATTGAGGGTACAATGCGAAAAGAGCGGAATTTGGAAATATTGGAAAACCACGCTGTTCCCTCAGGACAAAGGATTGTTGGAAACAACTTCGAATTTCAGCAAGACAACAACCCTGAGCATTCATCTCGACTATGCTGCATTTATTTGGATCAGCGGCAAGAACTTGGTGCAATGAAAATCACGACATGGTCTTCCCAGTCCCCAGATTTGTCTCCTATTGAGTATTAGTGGGATGAATTAGACAGACAGGTGAAGCAACAAGAACCTACTAGTGCAGGAAGCGTGGGTATCCTTATCACCAACTATTCTTGAAAATTTGATACTTCGGATGAGTCGTGTCTCTCATGCTGTTATTCGGGCTCGTGTTGGACATTTCGATGAATCACGAATTTATAGTAAATTTTGATAGAAATAAGTTACCAACTAACTGAGTTCCAGTAGAAAATAGTTCCTGTCTTATTTTTTTGATTAAACACACTCTATTGTTTGATTTGATTTGATTTCCCTAAAAAAATCTGCTGTCCCAAAACTTTTGAGCGGTAGTGTAGCAAAATATATACTAAGTGACATATAAATCCGAACACCCAGTTTAAATGGTTTTATTTTGATAAAATTTTGTATAAGTACTTAATGAAGCATAATAAGTAAATGATAAAAATTTCAAAATGATTGCACTGCTTTAAAGCCCTTTGACCTTTAATAATGTGTGGATGCACCCTGATGTGCTACGCATTCTCCAGCGCGCCTAGGCATGCTTCTGATCAGGTGGTCAATGTCCTCCTGTGGTATCTCATTCCAGGCAACCACCAACTCCTCTCGAAGTGCTTCTAGAGTCTGAGGAGGACGTTGCAAATTGAGCAATCTCCTACCCATCATATCCCACACGTGCTCAATTGGGGATAAGTCGGGAGATCTTGGTGGCCATGGTAACAATGTGACATCATTATGTTGAAAGAAGTCTATTGTGACTCTTGCAACATGTGGTCGGACATTATCTTGTTGGAAAGTTGGATCTGCCAGGGTGTCAAGATAGGGTAAAAGATGGGGTTCTAGAACTTCGTGGATATAACGCTGCGCGTTCATGTTACCTCTGATGAAGATTAAAGGTGACCTGGAACCATAAGCTATAGCACCCCAAACCATAACTCCAACAGTGTGATGAACATGTCTTTCAACAAAAAACTGTGGATTCCTCCTTTCACCACGTCGCCTTCTAACCCTGGCACGACCATCGTGCATGCCTAAACAAAATCGAGACTCGTCACTAAAGACAATACTGTTCCATTCCTGATCCCAGAGTGACCGTTGTCTGCACCACTCAAGGCGATTACGTCGGTGTTCTCGAGTTAAAGGGAGGACCCAGTGTGGCCGGTATGAAAACAAGCCAAAACTTCTCATTCGTCGGTAAACACTTCGCATGGCAATAGGTCTTCCGTGTTCTGCAAACCATTCATTTGCAATGGACCCGGTAGTGGAGAAACGGTCCCTTAAGGCCAATAATCTTAGGCGGCGATCTTCACGGTCTGTTGTTCTACGGCGGCGTCCAGTGCCCCCTTCCACCTAACCACAGTGTCTACACTTCTTTGCACTCTAACTGCAATTGCCCGAAAAGAAAGTCCAGCTTCCCGAAGTCCCACTATACGGCCCCTATCAAACTCACTAAGTTGACGAAATCGTACAGGTCTCCGTACTCTAGGCATCATAACCGATCGTAACGGATGTCAAGAACCAAAATCCGCCAACGTTGATTCTTTACTGCGGCTGAAATATTCATTTTTAGAGCGTTAGTGAATTAAAAAAAAAGCAGTATAAAAACCTGAATGTCCAACTGATAAGGCTGAACATTTTTTCACTTGTTATTTACAGTAAGATAAATACATTCACCAACTTTTATTAAAATAAAACCATTTAAACTGGGTGTTCGGATTTATATGTCACTTAGTATAGTATTGTTTTCGAGCACATAAAAGAAATTTGTTCGTAAAATTATTCTGCGAGGTTCAGATTTATTTCCTACCATTTTGATCTTCTATTGATCTATTCAAAAGTCTTTGATCTTTTCAAGCATTGTAGTTTATATCCATTTTAATATGCAATAACTGTACCTTTTGGATTTCCCGTAGTTCCACTGGTATAAAGAATGAACGCATTATCATTCTCATCAAATTTGTGAAGAGTCTGTTCATGATTTGTAACATTGCTTTCATGTCCCACAATATGCAGTGTAACTTTATTTTGCTCAGCAATACGTTTCATCAGAGTCTCATGTTCTGGTGTAGCTATGAACAGTTTTGAATTTGTGTCCTTGGCGTAATAATGAAGAATATTTTCGGGATGTAGATGGCTTAGTGGTACAGCTAGAACAACATTTTCAGTTAAATTTTACGGTCCAATTCAGTTTGTTGAAATGCGTTCGACTGTTTAGTACTTCCATCAACACAGAATCTTACTACTAATACTATACACTTCATATGTCACAAGGATTGGACATCACTGTAAATGGCTTGATACTGCCGGTCCAGAGGTGAGTATTTTGCTTTTTTTGCACTTTTTCCTTCAAAAGTTGTCGCTATATGGTTTTAGTATTAACAGTCTGTTCTTAATTACGTCTTATTTATTAGACAGAAGAGAATGTTAGTCTTCAAAATCTTTTATCTAACACTGTATGTATTAATCACGGCGATCCCCAAGTTAAGTTTCTTAGGATCGATTCTCTTTTTTAATTTACATCAATGAGTTGCCAAATTATAGCATGGATCAATGTATATTATTTGCGAATGACACATCATATCTTCCAATAATAATTTTGAGCAGGTATTATTCGATTCTCAGCAGTGAAAACGCAATCTCTTTTACTCAGTACTCGTCCATATAAAAGTATCAGGTAACCAAATAAGTTCGTGCGGTTGCTGTATATCGTACATTGCCATGGATGTTGTTGATCGATAGCGATTGTTTGTTACATACCTAGTTTTGATAATTGAAAAATGGCGACGAATAAAACAGTAATTCGAAGTTGTTTACTGTATGAGTACAAACTTGTTACAAAAGCTGCAGCGGTGGCGCGAAAAATATTTACCGCATTCGGAGATGATGCCGTTAGTGATCGAGCAGCACAGAAGTGGTTCAAAAATTTTTCTCCGGGAGATCTCAGTTTGAGCGATGAACGGTGCTCAGGGAGACCAAAAATCATGAACAACGCGGATCTTCGACAGGTTGTGGACGCAAATTCCAAGACAACGTGCAAAGAACTTGCAGAAATGTTCAGAGTGAGTCCTGAAACTATCCGTTTGCATCTTCATCAGCTGGGAAAGACATAGAAGTTAAGCAAATGTGTCCCACATGAAGTGACAAATGATAACAAATTAATTCGTCTTACCATTTGTTCAGCAAAAATTTCACGCAACGCTAATGAACCATTTCTTAATGGGTTATTAACCTGCGACGAAAAATGGATCTTGTATTCGAATTCCAAGCGTTCGTACCATTGGTTGTCGCCTACTGATACGGGACCACACACGCCCAAGGCTTCCTTGCACCCAATCAAGGTTTTGTTGGGTGTTTGGTGGACAGCAACTGTAATTGTCCATTGAGTTTCTGGAAAGCGGTCAAACCATCACTGCTAACTTGTATTGTGAGCAGCTTCAACGAGTACAAGCAGCACTCATCCAGAAACAGCCTTCTTTGATCAATCGGAAGATAGTGATATTCCTGCAAGCCTCATACCGCAAAAGTGACCCGAGAAAAAATTTCTGAACTCGGCTGAGAAACGTTACCACACCCGCCATATTCTCCCGACATGTCGCCTAGTGATTATCACCTTTTTTTTGTCTCCTGACAACTGTATGAGGCACCGACACTTCACAACTCGAGATGATGTAATAAATGCAGTCCGCCATTTTTTTTTACTCCAAATCTTCAAAGTTCTACAATACCGGCATACAAAAATTGGTTCCACGTTGGCAAAAGGTTATTGAATGTGATGGCAATTACTTCGACGAATAAATAGTGTCTTATTGTTTCTCAGTAAAAATGTATATTTGTGTACTGAAAACCGCACGAACTTATTTGGTTACCTAATAGAATCGGACCCGTACAATTTCTTGGAGTTTATTGATGCAAACTTAAGTTGGGAGTCCACATCACTGTACCAAATAAGTTATCTAAAATAACTTATGCAATCCGTAGTTTAAATACCTAAGTAGAAAAATCGGCCTACACATGTTCGACACGTCTACGTTTCGAACATAAGGATGTGTTGTAAAAAAGTTTCAATAATTAACTAATCTTCAATTCTTTTAAGTCCGTTAGTGGTTTTTTGAAAAATATGGCTATGATTTTTTAATATTCTTTCTAAATGAACCTCATACTTTTTGCATAGTTTTAATATGTGGTCTGATCCACTTTCATCTAAGAACAACTCAGAAACAATCTCGCCGACTTACTCCTGATATCATAGACTACCGAAAGCTTGTGTTTTAAGTTAAGAGTACGCTTTGCAATTTTTTGTCAAGTTCCCAGATATATATATATATATATATATAAAATGGGCAAAATCCGCAAAAGAAGGAAAGTGGATTCGAGCAGAAAATAGGATAGGTAACCCGATCAATACGTATTTCTGCTTGTTAGCTTGGTCGATGATATGTAAGAGGAACAGTGTCATTTGTTTATTCATTTTATGTGTCAGTGCTATATTTGTGTTGTTTTTTATTTTATTTATTTCTCGACATGTATACAAACACGAATAAATTATTATTATACTACCCTTGATGCATGAGCTATGTAATAATAATGTTAACATACTGTATATTTAGTAATCTACTCACCAGTGTGCCCAGCCATCCAAATGCCCCACAGAACAAAAACATAGTTCGCATCGTTGGGACATAAAAACAAAATTCGTTCATTATTGCCTCGACCTAAAATTTTTACTATTTCATTTGATAGATTTTTCGCTTTGTCATAGATACTTCCAAAAGTTTGTTCGCCATTTTGATCGTATATTGCAACCGTATTTTTAAAAGTATTAGCATGTTCGTATAGAGGCGTTACTTGGCGACTTTCGGAAAATTTTCTGATGGACACTTTTATAAGTGATAATCTTGATACCTTTCTTAGCATGTTGGAAATTAAAATGCGCGTGTAAGTTGTTATCGTTTATCATAGCATTAGACTATCTAATGCGATAAAAGGTTTCAGATTGTGGAAAATATACACTGGTTATTGTTTTGTTTTTGGTATACCTACTTATTTTGGTATTTTAAGATTTAAATCATTATTCAATTCAATTCCATCGACTTTATTGTAACAAATACATACGGTAGTACAGTTAGAAATGGCGAAGTCTGGCCGTTGGCCATTCATACTTAACCACGTCGTAAGCTTATTGCTACCTTAACCCAAACTCAGCCTAAAGGAAAATAATTAATAAATTTAATGTAATCCAAAAGTGTATCGCTCAGTTGGCCTTTGTACCAGTCCCATCAGGAAGAGACATAAGATGGACATTCTCTAAGAATTGCCGAACCTTTTGAGGTATTTCAGGCAATAAAAAGCTTAAAGTCGGATTCTAAGGGCATCGATACCTTATCTTTAACCATGATTAAAGTCAGTTTGCCTATAACGTTTGCTCATATTGTACATCTAATCAATTCATGTATTGAGAAAGGCTACGTTCCCACTCTGTGGAAACATGCCTTAGTTATTCCTATCCCTAAAATTAACAAACCAACCCAGCTTTCAGATTTACGACCAATAAGTTTTTTGCCGGTGTTATCAAAAATCTTAGAAAAGATCGTTCAGATTCAAATAACTGCTTACATTGAAGAATGCAAAATCTTATCCACTAATCAGTCTGGTTTCAGAAAACACTAGTACAACAGCTGCCTTATTAAATCTATGCGACAATGTGCTACGTGCGCTTGATAAAAAGATCACAGTAGCTTTGATATCGGTTGATTACTCTAAGGCATTTGATAGAATCAATCATATCCTTCTTCTAGCTAAATTGAAATATATTGGCTTTGATAATACCTCACTTAAATTTTTCTGTGCGTATTTAACCGACCGAGTTCAGGAAGTTTCTCTATCTAGACACAGCTCTGTCCCAAGTATCATACCATCTGGAGTGCCTCAGAGTTCTATCCTAGGTCCTCTCTTATTCCTCATCTACACCTTCGATCTATATGCAGTAATGGAAAATTCTGAAATGCAATCTTTTGCAGACGATACCCAAATAGTACATTATTTTAAAGCTAGTGAATTACCAACAGCTAATATAGAGCTACAACATGATATTGACATGGTTTGTAAATATTCAGCCAATCATAATTTATTAGTTAATCCTGAGAAGTCAAAAATCATAGTTTTCTGTTCTGATAATAAAAGAAACTACGTCAAGTCAAAGGTAACCTTAATATCCTTATTGCCAGAAATCTTCTTCAGGTTGGTACTACTGCCAAGATTTTAGGTGTCGAGGTCGATGAGAAGTTAAGGTTTTATAATCATATCAACTGTCTTGCTCAAAAAACCTACCTCCGCCTACGCACTTTGTACTATTGTAGGTACTTACTGCACTATAAGCTCAGGAAAAAACTGTGTGAAACGCTAGTGATGTCTTGTTTGAACTACTGTAACATCCTTTATTTCCCATGCCTTGACAAAATAACGAAAAATAGAATTCAAATTATACAGAATAATTGTGTCCGTTTTATATGTGGATTGAGAAAATTTGACCATGTATCACAGAAAGACAGGACGCTGAAATGGCTCAAATTTGATAAATTGGTCGAATATCACCATCTAGTATTTATTCACAAAGTAATAACCACTTCAAAGCCCGCCTACTTGAGAGAAAAAATTCTATTTAACTTTGTTGTTCATGATCGGTTGCTTAGAGATAGGTTGAGTATCACAATTCCGTCTCACTCTACAGTCTTATTCATCCGCAGTTTTTCTTATAATTCGGCAGTTCTATATAATTCGTTGGAATATTCCTTTAAATGTATGACCTTAGCAAGTTTTCGTAAGCATGTAAGGATCAGGCTGCTTGACTGATACTATCCTTTCCACATTCATCATCCAATCAGACTTTATATTTATTACGTTGAGAAGCTAATATTACTTTTAGGCGCATGATATATAGGTATGTGTATATATATATATATATATATATATATATATATATATATATGTATATGTATATATATATGTTTTTAATTTATTTAACATCACTGCATTTATTGATTCAGCTGGTTAAGTGTAAGAGTAGCATTGCTAAACTTCGCCAGTTGAGTCCCACTTTCAGTATGTACCATGTACATATTTTTTTGTAATAAAGGCGTATATTATTATTATTATTATATAATTTAAAATGGAGAGAGAAAAAATATAAATAAAAAAAATAAGCATTTAATAAACATATCTTCTAGGTTTTTTGGAAAAGTTGCTAGTAAAGTTTTGGTCAAATGTATTGATCAATTTTACTGCATTGTACACGAAAGAGCGTTGAAAAATAGCTGTCCTGTATTGTGTCAGTATGACGAGGTGGTACTTACTCATATTCAAATTGTGAATCAAATTCACAAGCTTTAGCCTAATGTAAGAGGGAACAGATGTTTTCAGTATTTTGATGACAAATGTGACAAAGTTGAATTGGAACATATCGGATACTTTTAACCAATTCATGGAAGCTATTGAGTGAGAAACGTAATCGTACCTTCTTAAAGTGTTTATATGGCGGGAGTATGTTTTCTGAATTTTTTGCAGCTTGTATCTTGTTATTTCATTCAGACAGGAATAATAAACAATGTGTCAGTAATCTATTTTACTCAATATCAAATACTCACATCACATATCGACTTAATTTTTCTGTTTAATGTAGTTTGAGTTGCACATAGTCTTAGTCTGAGATAATTAGACTTACACACTCAGCTAACATGCTCCTGTAACCTGACATCTTCATCCAAATATAAAGATAAATAGGCGGCAGACGGTCTCTGACTGTCGTACGCGGAGGTACTACCCGGCGGATCTCGTAGGCGGGCCCAGAATGTGTGCACAAGTGTTCCCTCGCTAGAGTCGGTGTGAGCGCCACCCCTTTCACCCATAGCCCCACGGTACCCCAAGGCCCAAGGGTCTTTAGGCCTTAGGCCTTCGTGGTAGCAGGAATATAAAAACAAAATTCTTTGCGTAATGGGAAAACATAAGTAAGGTATTACTGATAGAGATTGATTTGAGGAAAGCACGCGTTTTCTTGGAGCAAAAAAGTAAAGCTGTCGATTTGGATACATCGTAAAGTCGTAAATTGTGCTTTGTGTCGTATATACATGTAGAATATAGATTAATAAGTTTGTGAGCCATGTGGTAGTTGTTCTATGGAAAACTATACTATAGAAAACTTGAATATCATCAGCATAAGTTTAACTTGAGCAGTGTAGAAGAATAAAGTTAGCAATATAAAAAGTTTATATGAGCAAGACGATTGGCTCTAAAATGGATCCCTGAGGCACGCCGGAACTAATAGGCCTTTTTTTCTGAATGTTTATTTTGTATCACGACATATTGATGACGTTCATTGAGATAACAATCTATTCAATATGTATTCTCTAGGTTTCAATAATCCTGCATTGACTACTTTTCCATTCGAATTTATTGGTTCAAAGCGAACACGACGAGATGTTTGAATATAGTGGCTAGACTTATAAAATTACCAGTTACTAAAAATAATATTTAAAGGTGGGTACCTATGTGAAAAGTTGTATTTATAATATTTGTATACATTTTTGGTGTGGGTGCGTCTGGCCTTTTGATTTATTTATTATTACATTTTCATAATGTATAATACTTCCTTTATTTTCTTTAATTACAACAGTATACCGTAAAATGCCCAGATAAGACGTCGTAGCCTTGAGTACTGCTCACATGTTTGGGGTTCTGCCTCCTTGTCTACATTCTCCATACTCGATGCTGTTCAGAGGAGGGTAGTTCGGCTGATCAATGACACTCCGCCATCTGACTGTCTCGGGATCCCTTCCCACCGACGGACGGTCAGCGATCTTGCTCTCTTCTACCGCTATATCAACAGGCTTTGCTCCTCAAAGCTCTGTTCCATGTTGCTGCTGCGCCTTAAGCCTGCCAAGTGGACCCAACGGGCTTATATCTCCCATCCCAGCTCTGGTATTTAGGTTTCTGCCTACGCGACTGCTACAGTATAAAAAAATATGGAAGTAAGATAAGATCGTCCTTGACCTGAAACTGCCAAGTATTACGCCTTGCTTACCCGAAATATTCAGGGTTAATGTTACCTGGCTCTTTTGGGTGGGCTGCAGCAAAAATGGATAATACGTCGTTTGTAGGTCAAAGAAATACCCACTTATTAAGATACTGGGGGTTAAATTTTCATTTTTTCTTAAAAATCGGAATCGAAATAAAATATGTTGAAGTTTAGAAAGTACAGACGTTCCTCGGAAAAATTTAACTCGATTGTAAAATCCACCAATAAATACAAAACCCAGCCACCTCCACGAAAAAATATTTAAGCGATTTTACATGTAAACATGCAAAAACTCAGGAAGTGTAAAATGTATCTATGCTATCTACCTATCTGAATATAGCTATAGCATGGATAAAACAGCCTCACATTTATAAATAAATAGCTGTCTGAAGAGGTTATCGAACTCTGGTCTCATCTGTAATGCTCCAAATAGAAGGAAAGGTTGAATGAGTCGATGGTTAAATGTATCTTTGGTAGACCCATAGTGTATTATAGAATTATTAGAGGGCAATTTATATTTATAGTTTTAAACATATGCTAAGTAATAATAGTTTCATATAACGTTCTATTATTTATTTATTTTGATATTGAACAACAATAAAAATAAATGTTGCTCGCCATGTTGCCAGCGCTCAACGCTCATGAACTTTCTATCTTTCTAACAGAAGTAGATAATAGATTATGTTTGTATACAAGATAACATCTTGGGTTATTTAATAGGATTTTGATTTGGCAAATCCACACATTCTTGCATGCGCAATTTAGAAAGTAACCCAAATGATGGATTATTGTAAATTGTAATATAATATCGGCATATCGGCAAACCCGCGGAAGCGTGACCTTGTAATCTGCACAACCGCGAAGTTACAACGTTGCCGTGTTTTCAAAGGTCTTGGATTCAGCCACATGGACGAACATGGTGCCGATAACTGCATATCTCCACATGAAGCGTAGATGAGAAAAAATAATGTCACAGAAAGTAAGCTTCGAGAAAAGCGAATTTAAAAGTTTCGTCGACTCGCAGGTCAAAGATCTAACGGAGTACCATAGATTCGTCATTATGACGAATTGAAAGAAGTTGAATTATAAATATTTTTTTTATATACAGGGTAGCCCAAAGTGAAAGCAGGCCAAAATTTTTCTTAAGAGAAAATCCTTTTTATTTTTCTAATTTGAGATTATCTTCGAGATTTTAAACATTTTTTATGTGTTAGCGTCCATACCTGAATTAATCTTTTTCTGGAAAAATTTTAGGTTAGAAGTCAGCCTCCGTCATATGCGACACCCTGTAAAATCGAAGGATTGATTAATCAGCAATATGCTTATCTTAGGTATTACGATTTGTTCTAATATGAGAACGACAGCATATTCATTATACAGTAGAACATGAAAAAAAGGTGATTTTCTCACCTCAACAGCTCAAACACAGAATTATTTCTAAGTATTTTTTCAATGTGGGCAAGACAAAATCAATGAACCAAAAAAAGTTTTATTCAAAAGGATATAGAACAAACAAAACAGTGTAGAATGACCTTCAATTCCTTATTCCTCCCACTCCTACTGGTGGGGTGGGAAGTATTTTCGAAACTGAATTACTATGATTTCTGTCGGCCTGCCTGTCTATCGGACTGTTCGCTAATCGTATAACCGCCTATAACTTGAGAAGTACCGCCCCGATTTCGATGAAATTTTTACACAAGGTTACTACTATGCCAAGGACTCAAAAGTTTTCAGGGAAGGTGCAGGATTCTTAAGATGATCTCTGGAAGAGTCGCGAAAGAACAGGAGCAGACTCTGCTGTACATGACTGCAACGGCAGGAATCAAGCCCGGACCAAAAGCTTTGTTGATGTCGAGCGACAAGAGCACTTATTTTACGCTCTTATGCCTAAATGTTACTTACCGCATAGTGTAGGAAACCCGTTGAATCGAAGACATTCGGACGTTCAATCTGCTTGGCCAGCGTCCAAAGAGAATGACTGCCATTGCGCTGCGTCATTACGCAATGCCTAATTTTTATATCGTGCTGGTCTGTCTGCTTCGTAATATTTCTTTCTGGAACCGACGTCGGCTTGTCTGATCTCTAACAGCATCTACAGTGGAGTTTTGTAAGAAGGCACTGTGTGCCTTGCAGTGTCGCACGATTTGTTGAAATAGCCGTTAGACCCTGGTTTGGGCACTTTCACTGTGTGAGGAATGTATTCCTCCATCCCAACGTGGATAATTTTGCTTATTGATGAACAGATCGCGCGTCAGCGAAACAAATATATCTCCAAGGAAAAGTGGATAAAAAGTCTGTGAGCCCCTTTCAGTCGGCATATCAGTAATGCCAAATTTTGCGGCCTGGGCGGGTTTCTGCTGCCAGAGAAGACAGCAGTGCTGTAAGGGGCAGGATGCGTGGTCAAGAAGAGATGGAGCAGGCTACTAGCGTGTGTCGAAACGCGGGGGAAAAGGTGGGTAGGGCTTGTCACCTTGGGTAATAGCGAACGCTTCAATAGCACGACCTGCTGCATCGATCCTGTTTGAGCCCAACCAAAACTCATTATGGGCACTGAAATTACCAAGGAGAACTACCTCTGACGCGAGGTGATTGAAGTTCAGAAAGTCGATCTTGACACCAAGGTATTTATGTAGCTCATCCTAAAGTGGCCCGTTGGCGGAGTTGTACTGTACTGTACTGAGATATTCCTTAACGCGTGTATAATCACTTGAACGGGAAGATGTTATATACTGAGTATAATAACTTCCGGAAATTATTATATTAATTTTATGGACCTATGTGACTAACTTTTTCTGAGAGGGTCTAGTTTGTGCTGAACATATATCCTTCATGAACTAATAATGTCGTTGCGTGGGAAGTGCAGAGTCAACCTACTTGACGCCATTTTTTTAATAATAATAATAATGACGTCAAAACTGTTTCTCGGTGTTGAGGCTCTGGGTAAAACCTGTTAGGTCTGGCAACCCAGCTGCGAGCGATTGCGCTCTAGCGAATCCGCTAGAAAGTGCGTACGGCGATCGAGTTGTTGTTTATCAGCTGTTTGGTTCCGAACAGAAGCGAATAGGTTTTGTGTTTCGCGAAAGGAAAACAATGCCGTTCATCTCCAAAGACTGGAGATCTCCGGGAGAGGCCTGGGTCAAGACTGGCGAGGGTTGGGAAAAGAAAAAAGTGTTGGAAAACTGCAAATCAATCACGTAAGTGAGAGATATTTATCGATTTGTGCGATGTCTTTACACACAACATGCCTTCAGTTTCTTTGTCTTCGAGCTGTCACTTTCTAGATCAGATTGATTCGATTTTTTGGAGGAAACTTTTGGAGCAACATGCAGCAATTTGAATCATATTTGCGCAGAAGATTCATCCTAAAGTTAAATGCAGAATTGCGGATAGGAGCTATATTTGAAATACGTTTGGGCACCTACATAATTGTTTTATTACGCGCAGAATATGAAGCATATCGAATTTATTATTTTTATTGGCAAAAATTGCGACTAGATTGTGCATGAAATTATCAATAATTCCGTAAAACACGTATTGACCTGTTGCAATCTGTTGCTTATTGACCAGTACTGAAATAAGAAACAACGAACCACCCTTTTGTACCGTGGTTATTTTAAAGTTTCTAAAATTAGTTTAATTGGAAAATATCCCTCTGTTATACATTTTTCTTCACCTTTATTCAGAAATAGTTTTAAGAATTACGATCTTGTTCTGATATTTCTGTGAGGAATATATAGATGTTGACTAGATGGGTTGAGCAAAAAGTGACTTGACTGTGAATTAATGTTTAAATAAAGGAGAAAAAGCCGTGTTTTTTTATCACAGATTTGTTCTGATTAATAAAAGTGTAATATTGGTTTTGCCATCATTTTGGTAATAGTTTAACAGATGAGATGTACTATTAGAAGATAGTCAAAACCCCTGCATACATTCCTCTTCTACTTGGTAAATCGGATGCATAGATTCTGAATCGTCAGTATGACGTTAAACGTCTCACATAGGGTCACAAACCCTGAATAACTCATTTTCGGTCTCAATTGTAGTCTCACGACACTTCACAGTTTTTTTGATGGTCATTCAGGGCCCTAAATTACGAAGTTTTATTCAAGAAAATGGAAATTTTGGCCAATTCAGCCCTATACTAGGTTTAATGTTTCCTATGAGAAAGTAAGTATCAAAAACACCTCTTCAACTTCAACTTTACCAGAGGGTGATCCTTTATAAACTTTGTGCTTTGTGCTCTTAGGTGGAGTTAAAGGGGCAGGTTTTATTGCCAAGTGTAAAGAAAAAGTTTGCTACCGTTTGTCACAGTTCTGTTCTTGTGAGGAAACTTGCAATGTGCAAAGCTGCCCAGCAAGCTTTCTCTAACTCCACCCATATTTGAGCTCTAGAGATCCTAGATCTGCCACTGGTGGAACATATGGAGTCAACCTTCTTCACGAGGACATCTATTTCTGGCACAAATGCAAGAAACATTAGGCTTAGTAGTGAAACATAAGACCATAAAATATCATTCTTGGGGCCTGATAAATATCAGGAGTTATTTTCACCCATACATATTTAATGGTAACTGTCCACCCCAATATACGTAGATACTCCTTATATTTTTGACATACCTATTTTATGATAAACTCCCTACACATTGCACACTATATGCAGATTTCCAAAAAACTCAGTGTGAGCCCTGTAAAAAAAAAAAATTTGCACCCATCATGTTCCCGCCATTCTTGCTTCTCCATCGGGTCATTTTCCGAGGTACGATTTGAAATCACTGAAAATAGCACTCCCAAAGAGTCTGCTGTACAAGAACCCGTGAAGACTGTTAAAAACAATTGCAACAGTGCATACCGCACAACAGATGTTTTTCTAGGATTTGAAATTGGCTAACCCCAGCATTAACATTAATCAGAGATACCTACTACAATTACATAAATGAAGTAGTGACAAAGATATCAATAAGTCATACTGTGTGATTCTTCCTTTGGAAAATGTTTGCCCTGGTTCTGTTTCATTGTTTAACAGATTAACTACATATCAATTAAATAAGAGTCATTACAAAGCAAAACACTGCAATTATGACTTACAAGCGGTGTCAAGTGGGTTGAGTCTGCATCTTAAAGCTCAATGAAATTTGTCTATTATTAGTTTTCGTCAAATACTTAACCTGTGTTCAAATATATTTGATTTTTAGTGGAAAATATTTCCCTTTCAGACCCTTTAATGATTAATGACAGGGTTGCGATGATTTGATCGAATGATTTGAATCATGACTCAAATCGATATTTTATTCAATATTAATCGTGATTAAAATCAAATTATAAATTGCTGTAGAAACAAGTCGCCAAAGCAAATAACTGAAATCAGTCATCAGGAAATTCACAAAAAAGAAGATAGTTTATTTAAAACTGAGAGTTGTAATGGAGTTTTTTCCCAGTGCCGTGGATTGCGAACTTTTCGACTTCCCCTCGTATTTACGTTTTCTCTGTTGCCGTGAGTTAAGCGAAATACACGTAAATTTCTACTTTTCGTTCTCCTTATTAAAATACATTACATTGAATGAAAAGATTTAAATTAAATTTGTAGCCTGAGGTAGCACTAGACGATATTTGGGACGTCAGGAATGCATCCTGAGGGAGTACTAATATGTCCAGGGATCTACAAGGGGAAAACATCCCGCCAAAGAAGCGTACCTAGACACTGGCTGAAATAGGCACGCAGTGGCCTTATAACTATTGAAAAGACTTTGTTCAACGGCCCGATGCTTTGAGGGAATTGTCACACTACCCTCCTGGCGATGTGTGCTCTGTAAGGTCCCTAACAGTGGGCGAAAAGGGCATTAAGATGTCTATGGATTTTATTTCTGGTTTTAAATACACTTTAGCGTGCTTCACGCGCGGGAATTTTAACGTGTACGGAGCTGATGCACGTTCCGAATGGAATGAGATGCCTAGGGTTATGGGCACGCCATAAGGAATCGAATGGAAATACGTACTTTTGATTCAGTCAAATGCACGACGTCGCCATCGCGACGGGAAGGAGATTTACAGTGACGGGCGGTATCACGCGACCACCATGATTAGTTCTAGAACTTTAGCGAGCTCTTTAAAAGTGCAGGCGTATGTAGGCCTCTCTGTCTTTTCTGTACTAGCCGTAGGGACAAGTATTCCTTAGTACAGAAGTTCCCGCCTGTACCAAGAGGTAAGGGGGTGAGTTTCAAGGGTGTTCCATGTAGCCAGTTCGTTTCGTTTTATTGGGATAGTGGTACTACTGTTAATTGTCTTCCATAATAGCTTTGGATCTCAAGAAGCAAGTCAGGGAGGCACATCTTTGTCTAAAGGCAAACAGAGCTTGAAATAGTTGCGAGTTAAATAAACTTCTGGTCTTATTCTCCACCCTTGCGTTTTAACCGCTTATGATTCCGTTCAACTCCGAGTTAACCGATGTTTCTCCTTCTCCGCTCTATGACTGGGGTAGCTAGATTCAGATATAGATTTATCTCATTTGTAGATATAACATAAAACTTGATATTTGAGATATCCCGACAGTGAATAAAGTGTACATATTTGCTGCTAATATACCAGTTTTTGTTATGTCTTGCTTTTAACCATAAATACCGTCATGCCTGAAGTAAGAGATACAAAAAAGAGAAGCAGTAGTAGTAGAAAGAAAAGAGTAAGTATCTGGAGTCTGACCCTTTGAGCTTTGAACATCAAATCCCTGAATTATTTTCTTCACTGAAGCCGCCCGAGAAGTTGCTGAACTAGAGAGGCAGGTAGATCGCCAGGTAACCCCGAGGAAATCGCGTTACACACTTCAATTCACATTTTTGTGTTTCCCAGATTCTGCTTTCTATGTAAGTTCAGATTTTTCCTTTCTGGCCATTACGCATTGCATATTGAGGTTTTAAAAGTTGATAAAGTGTAAACTAGACATGATGCTTTCGTCCGTCCGACCAGACAGTCATTAACCATGGACAGCTGTTTCGTGCTTCTTGGCTACTCATCAGCATGGTCTAGGCTTGGTCTCTTGTGTCTGGACGAACGAACAAAAGCATCTATACCGGAGGTACGGTCTATTGAAATAAAAGAGAGCAAAGCGCCATCCATCACACCAGAATATCTATGAGCAAAGAAAAGCTATGCGCTTTCCGTAGTGGTCGATTATGATGTGATAGATGGAGCTTTGCGCTGTCTTATTTTTTGATAAAGCATTCTGCGTATAATGTCTTCTCATTTCCATACCACCTGAGGTAGTATACCTGGCGCATTTTTTTAAACTTTGCTTTCCCAATAGGCATACTCCACGATCCAAATATTTTTGATCAAATTCCTATAAATATATATTGACAAAGAGATTTAGAATTCCTCAGTTTTCTTCCTGGTCATTCTCACCTTCAGGTACATGCGGCTTAGCATTAGAGAATGGTTGACTCTGGCAATTGCTGCATACTGATGAACAGGATGATCCTACTTTCTTACTTCTGCAGTTGTTATTACAGGTCTTTTTGAATTGTTTTACGGATACATTGGCATGTTTTTCACCTTGTATATGTACATATGTTAATACATCTAGCGTATACTTTCATATCTGTGTACATGGGCTTAATTCTAAATGAGTTTCGACCGTTGAAATTGATTTCGATGGCGCCTTGTGACGATATACTTGATTATAGCTATGATAATTTTGACACTGCCAGGATAATTTGAAAATAGAAGATCAATATAATCAGATGTCAAAATTATCATAGCGAATCAAGTATATCGTCACAAAACGCCATCGAAATCAGTTTGAACGGTCGAAACTCATTTAGAATCAAGCCCCATATCAAACGATCGATAATGAGCCGTAGCAGTGTCTTAGATCCTATAAATCAAGGAAGCCATAAACAGCGATTCACAAAAACGCATTTGGGCATGTTTTATAAAGATTTGCAGGCTCTACAATTTTGGTATAAGCTATTTTTGTGGTTAGTTGTACCGTTTCAGAAGAATATAAAAAAAATGGAAATTTTGACATGTAACCTCCAATACAAAATTTTGCGCTCCAACGATCGATGGGAACTTTTGATATATCATTCTGACAACATATTGAATGTATAAAAGAATTTTCCGAAAATTCGATATCTCTTTTTTTCGCTTTGAGCGCACCTTCAGCAGACCAGGATGTGTCTGGATGGTACGGATAGTCGCATACAACAATGACTCCACATATATGTGATCATATGGAACGGTGGATAGCGTACACATAATGTATGCTGTATGAGAGCAGAAGAGTACTTGACTACAGATCACTAGATCTCATAAACGGTGACTCAAGGAATAAAAGCACTTGAACAACTTTTATAGATAATTGTATTTACTAAAATTTTTGTACAAGGTATTTTTGTGGCATCTCTTTCCCTTTTCAACCCAAATAAAACAAGGTTCCAGGCTATATGAGGAGCTTTGTTGTATTATTCATATATTCATAATGAGGTATTCAAGGTCTATACAATTTTCAGCTTTGTGGAAATTTTTGCAAGCCCAACTTTTACTTTACCGTATTACTAGAGTTGTTATCGTATCGACACATGACAATCAGAGGCGGATCTTTGATGACGCAATATGTCACTGTAGGCCTCCGAAACTCAAGGGGGTCTCGAAGCGAAGTTTATGGGGTCCTAGAGTGAGTGTACGTTCTCAAAAACATATGACCTACGATTCATTAAATGACCCCCTCTAACTTTTTTGTATGACCGAATGTTTTATACAAAGGTTGTATCGAAAGAATTAAATCGAATCACCAATAGGAATTATTTGGCTCAGCTCTAATGCCGAGAAGATTTGATAGATAATTATTAATCAGATATTCGCTATTTGGAGTGAAGGTGTTATGAACATTTCAAATGAAAATTGAATGTGGCACATATTTACGTGAAATTTACCATTATCGTAACTTTTACCGCAAAAAATATTCGTGACCATTATGCTCTAGAAAGTTACAGATAAAAGGCTTTCACTGGGTTAATAAATATGTAATGTTTTTGGTCATTTGATAATTAACTAACTGTGAAAGATATAATTTCAGTTTATTATTACATTATGTAATGCAAGTACTAGGATGTTTCCCACTTGGAAAACCTTTCCCGTTGGCGTTATTCTTAGGTCACAACTGTTTTGACAAAAAAATGGCGTCAAGTAGGTTGACTCTGCACTTCTCACGCAACGTGCTCATCATTTCACGTATTATATTCGGCCCAAGTTAGTCTCTTTGAGCTAGCTATAAACATGTATAAAAAACAGATGTGTCAAGTCAGCTAAACAAGTCCTTATACAATACGTATATACTTCATAGTTCCCATCCATTTAATAGCACTAACGCTAGTTTCTTTCCTGCCCTAAGTAACGACCATCTGGCAACGCTGCGGGGCCACACGAGTCAAACACGCCATAAGCGCCAGCCACTGGTAGGTGCGTAAAATTACTGGGGTTGGAAGCGTATAAGTACGAACTGTCACAAAAAAAAAGATATACGGTCCTCCACTCCTTACAACCACCAACCCCCGATTTTCCTCACCTACAAACATGTTTTCTGAAAATGATCAGGAGCCTCTGAAACGCCAGAAAACGAGGTTTGACCGATTTCTATTTTATGGTGTTTTGCCTCTAGCTTCGCCGCCACTGATCCTACTTGCAAAAACTATAAAGCCTTTTCGTCCTTGGTATATTAGTAACCTTGTGTGCAAATTTCATCCAAATCCGAGAAGTACTTTCCAAGTTATAGGCAGTCTAAAGATTAGCGGACAGACCGACTTAAATGAGTGATATGGTTTTTCGTGATGTACATGTCATATAACATCCAGAAAACCTAAACTTTCATTTTCGAATTTTCTCGGGATTTACTTCTTCGAGTTCATCGCCAGTAGGCGTAGGAAGTAAACAGCAATGTCGATTAAGACACTGTCATAAAGTATTTGCAGTATTGCGCTCTTTATTGATTTTTTTCATGACCATCACGTATAAATGTTGCTAAAGTTCGTTGAGACAGTACAGAAGCAATACATTGTAACTTGACCTACAGTGTTTTGATCTAACAGTTTCCTAGGTGTATCATTTTCTAACTTATCGCTTTTTAAAATCAAACTTTATCTTTAATTTGATAGGGAGTAATACCGCAAAACACTGCTGCTTCAAAAACAACTATTTTCAAAGTTACGGTCTATTGATGCCACCTTGAGAATTTTTCGTCAAATTACCATGTGATTTCTGACGTTCAATTCGGTTTTCGGTCCGAGCAAAGCACCCAGCTACAGGCAGTCAGGCTGGTGGCATATGTAACCAGAGGGTTCACCCGCATCATGAGTACTGGCATCTTGCTTTTGGATGTCTCAAAAGCCTTTGGCAAGGTGTGGCACGGGGGCCTCCTTTATAAACAAATCCAAAAGGGTTTTCTTTTTCGGCTTCTAAAATTACCGAAATCCTTTCTTGAAGGAAGGAAGTTTCGGATCAAAATTAACAATATTTTGTCAACAACACGGCCAGTACGCTCCGCTGTTCCTCAGGGTTCGGTCTTAGGACTAATCCTTTATTCGCTTTTTATCCATGATGTCCGTTGCCCCAGCAAGTGTAAAGTCTACCTCTATGCTGACGACACTGCACTTGTCGCCGTCGTGTACTGTACCGGTGATCTGGATCACGATGGGTTGCAGAGTGCGGTTGAAGAAGTGCTAAAGTGGGCGGAACGGTGGCTGATTAAAATTAATCATCCGAAAACGCAGGCTATTTATTGTACCAAAAAATGTAGCGCCCCCCAGCAGAGGTTTCTGTAGATGGCAACCGTGTACCAAGAACAAATTCTGCTCTGTGTCACCCTTGATAAAGGCATGACCTGGCAGAATCATACAACAGCCTTGAAAACAAAATTCCAAATTGCGTTTCGGCAACTATATCCTTTGTTATATACGTATAGATCCTCCAAATTGAGTTTAATAAACAAAGTTCGCCTATATAAAATGATTATTAGACCAGCCATTACTTATGCACGTGCGGCTTGGCGTTTTCTTGCCACGACACACGTGCAAATTCTTCGAGTACTGCAAAGCAGAACTTGAGACACTACACAGAGATCGTGACATTCCTTACTTGAGGGATTGTGTTAAGCTTCAGGCGCAGCGACGATATAGTCAAGCGGAATCGCACAGCAACCCTTTGTTGCATGACTCAGTGGACTACACTGTGGAGCAAGTTCGTAAACATTCAAGGCCGCGGCTCGCACTGTAACCAAAAATTTAGCACGAAGTTTTAGTAAACTCAAAATTACACTAACAAGACCGAATCAAGATTTGCTTAGTTCACCTCAAAATTGATCCGTGTACCAAGACAAAAAGCCTAGGTGTTTCCTCCTGAACTAAACACTTCTGTTTTTTCTTTGCTTTCCCCCTTTTTTTTTTTCTTCTTTCCCTTTCTTTTTCTTTTCCTTGTCATTGTCTGGTTTTTGGGCAACCAGGACCGACAGATACGACTAACGTACATTAGACAGTGACTAATGGGCAAAGGTCTTATGGACCGCCCAGTCAGACAAATAACGAATAAGTCTATTGATTTTGCATGACAGACATTTACCTTCAAGTAACTGCGATTAATGAATTCCAATGGTTTCAAATAACATGGTTAGGGACCAATTCATCACTCAAACAAAAGAATACTCTTATGCATGCAACAGTTAGTTCTCTGGATGTATGGCCTAAGGTCTTCTCGCCTTTTTGAATCGATACTTGGTTACCAAAACGGAAGAGAGAAGCATAACACATCGTACGCCTTGGTTAACGCAGTGTGCCAAAGGTACGATGCGAGCAAAAAAATGTATTTTAGTTGATTCAAATCTTGCGTGGATATTGGCACCCAATATTCTCATCTATTGTAAAACAACTGAAGATATTCCCGTATGCTTAGATAAATAGATGCTATAAGAATTCGACACTTATGCCGGTATTTTTTTACATTTCTGCTCAGGTCTTTGTTTCTTTTTTAAAATAAACTATAATAGGTATATATGTTGTATTCCACATTATCTCATTTCCTGTATGGGATATTATTAGAATTGGCACATGACTATAACCTTTTGCTACATCAAAGTGGAGATACTATATGTGATGTACAGGGTCTACAAGTAGAATTCCTCAATTAAATTTAGAGGCAGTTGAATGATTGAAACATGCTCCAAAATAAAGATAACGACCAACACCTTGAAGTATCATTGTTTTTATATTTCTTCGAAAAGTACTTAGCCTTAGTGTCAAATTATATTGCAAATCTGTAAGTTTCGGAAACAAATATAACAATAAGCCATTACTAATCTATACGCCTTGGGAAAAACCATTATTATACATTATGATGAGGAAGAGAGATGGAACTATACAAAAGTATGTAGGTGCGTGAAAGACACTCGATTGTAGGATAATATCTGGCAGCGTCGGAGTGTGACGGACAACGGGGTAAAGTAGAAGAGTGATAAAAGAGAGCGATGGCAGAACGGGCGCTGGCGCCTACCGCTTAGACGGATGCGCTCAACAAATGCGATTTGTTTCTCCCATTCGCAGAGTTGCCGATACCAATATGTACGAATAGCGATGAAAGTAGACGAGCCGATGCGCTATTGCCAAGAAATGATTTCCCATGTATAACAATGGTTTTTCCTAAGGTGTATATGATTTACTGACATGCATACAGGGTATTCAAGATAAGTATCCTATGCATGGAGATCTCAATACCTGTGGGAGATACAGCTTAGATTAAATTAAGAAAACGCTGCGTTCTTTGCAAAGTATCCTTATCTTGGACACTCTACACCTGTACAGAGACTAAATACTGCAATTTCAATAACAACGAGTTTTTAAAGCATAAAATGTTTCAGCTATTTTTTGCATGAACACCATCATGTAGTGCCTAAAAAGTGCCAATGACAAAACGGTTTGTCAAAATTTTAGTTATTCCCAAATATCTCAGTAAGCCATTTACAGCTATTTTACAAGTTTCTCAACGGTATGTAAATACGTCCCAAAGAGCGCACCTTTTTCCTAATTCAACCTAAGCTGTATCTGACACAGGTATTGAGATCCCCATGCATAGGATCGTTATCTTGGACACCCTGTATACATAGACTTAATACTAAAATTTCAATAACAATGGGTTTTTAAAGCATAAAATGTCTCTGCAATTTTTTGCATGATCTGGCGAAAAGGTATCTTTCAATGACAAAACTAATAAACCCTAAACAGTTCCCAATAATTAAAATATAAAATGCGATTTGCACATCGGTGATATCCAGTATTCTTGGACTGTCTCTAGCTGCAGCTTCTTGTTGCTTCTTAGTAACCATGGCGTCGATCACGTCAAATTTCCATTTTTCGATGAAACCACCCTCGACTATTTTTCTCAGGAATTTATTCATAACGACCTAGAAACAATATCATACATGTTATTTGTAGTTGTAGTAAAAAATGGAAGTATTTTATTTCATTTCACAAATATTCAAGATACAAACCAGTCGGTTACATACCGATCACGTTAAGTATACGAATATCGAAATGCAGTAAATGCACGATGAAAATGCCCTATTTATATACCCTGTCGGGTCAATCACCTCGTGTCAAATTCCATTACGCCGTTTGAGCTGTAGCTCGTGAAATCGACCTTTAGTTAACACTAACCGAAAGTGGTGAATTCTTGAACATCACGTATGTCACAAAGCTAGTCTTCAAGCATTCGTCTACAATGTGGAGCAACGGATCCCCATGAGATGTTGTGTATTTACTGACGAAAAGCCTTGCATCAGATTTCCTTTCAACAGCGGCGACTTTTCTGTATAAAGCAGCTAATTCAATTGATAGTTTTTCTGTCGGATTAGCAATCACCTTTTTCTGGAGTTTTTTGAAAATGGTTTTGTTGCTTTCGAATAGCTTCTGGAGAGTTGTTAGTATCGTGAGGCCACTCATGTCTACGTCTTCTAGTGTGTTGATGTCTTTGGAGTATCTGGAACATAGGAGGTTAACTTTTTCGTCACCGTAAAGACAAACGATTCGGCGTGGCGCAACGGCGGCGGCGGCGTATCGCCTAGTTCCGATGTTTGGACCTTCACGCCTTGTTTTTTTGCTTACTGAAGGAAACGAAAGAAAGGGACCTAAAGACTTAACTGACCCGGAAATTTGCATCTCGATACAGTCCTCAAGATTGCTTGATCTGGGTAAACTGGGGACCCTTAAATTTTTAACAATATTTGAGGTAGCATGACGGTTTTTAAAAAACCATAGGTTTCATATCAAAGTGCACGTATTGTCCTTTACGGCAGTTTGAAATGTTCATTTTTGTGATGTGGATCGGTTCAGTTTTTACCGGAAGAAAGCATTTTTTTATTTTAAAAAAAGTATGACTCGGCCTTGATATTGTACGGTAGGCTCTGGATCTGTGTGAGTTTTAGATATTTTACGGATTTAGTGTTGTTTCACGAGTTGTTTTTAGTTGGCTGGTCTTATTTCATAGAATTCATTACCTCATTAATAAATTTTTGGTGTATTATAATCAATCCCACAACTCTGATGTAATCATGACATGTAGACAGAGTACCAAATATAGTGAATTTAAAAAAAAATTCAAAGTGCATATCTCAGCGAAAAAAAAAAGATATTCAAACACAATCAACATCATTCGAAGAGCAAGGCCTGTACGTTAAAACGATGTTCATGGTTTTATGAAAAAAATAATTCATCATGCTACACAACCTCACATATAGGCAAGAATCGCTATTTCTGCAATGTTAGGTTAGAATATCTCGTAAACTAGAACCAATTGAGAGATTTAATACACGGATTCGGATTCAGCTCTCCAAAAACCTTCGGGAATGTATACTCTGGTTTCTGGGTAAAAATCTTATCGGCCTGTGTAATAGAGCTCGATAGCGAATAGTATCTGACCTGATCAAAATTGCCACAAATGAATTACTGATCCTTACCCTAAACCTGATTATATACAGGGTGTCCGCAAAGTTGGGGTTTTCCTTTACACGACGTGTAGATCTTGAAAACATAAGCAATTTTTCTTAGTACCATATACAACAATGTCTTAAGGGAACCGAGATAAAGGGCACTGCAACATCAAAAATATCTGAATACCGTTCTGTAGCCGCGACATCCCCGACTGGTACAAGGTCACTGGCTGATCCCGACGACAGAACTGGGTCGGGGTCAGTGTGTCAGGTCAGTATGCAACCTTCAACCGACGGTTACGGTCACGCATGTAGAGGTAATCGCGTAGACGAGAATCCCTCAACAAGCACTAGAGACGTGGCTAGAGAAGTGCAAGTATCAAAAACTAAAGTGTGGCAAACGCTGCGTGAAGAGGGGCTGTATCCGTTTCACGTCCAACGTGTACAAGCCCTTCAACCTGACGATTTTCCAGCAAGAGTGCGGTTTTGTGAGTGGTTGTTGCATCAACATGACAATAATACGGACTTTTTGAAGTGCATATTGGTGACAGACGAATCTACATTCACGCGAAATGGGGTGAATAACTTTCGCAACACTCATGTTTGGTCAGTAGAAAATCCGCACGCTGTCCGTCGGGCACATTTTCAACAAACATTTTCGGTGAATGTTTGGGCTGGCATGGTGAACGGTATGCTCATTGGACCATTTATTCTCCCAAATCGATTGGACGGGATGCAATACATAGACTTTTTACGCAACATTTTGCCTTCCTTGTTAGAAGATGTGCCATTAAGTGTAAGACAATCAATGTGGTTTCTGCGTCTGCTTGGTAGCGCATCAGCTGATTTCATTTTCTGTTGGAGCGGTATGATTTCGGGCAGAGACGTACTTAGCCCTTCTCGTCAACTGGAGAGTGAGGACTTTTTCCTTTATTTTTTTTTACTTGGTCGCCCTCGTTTCACTACACATTACCTTTGTTATTTCAAGGGTAGTTGTTTCTGAAAAGGAAAACCCCAACTTTGCGGACACCCTGTATAGTACTATATACTATACCTGATATGTGTGAAAATACTGACGAAGTTACCCTGGAAAATCCCGGCTACAATAATGTTGTAGAACAAGCAACCACTCAGGAATATCCTAGATGTGCGTTTAAAATTCACTGGGACAGAAAAAAAGAGAGCGCAGATTTCTAGCCAGGATATCTTCTTTCTTACATATCCTAGGAATAAAATGCAAATTAATATTATCATGAAGTTAGCTAACCAGACGATACGCTTGAAGCAATGCATCATGCTTTTCCATGTGGGCATTTTGGGTGCTTTTGGAACTACCACGCATATCTCGTCGACTGTTATCACTGTGGTGTATTCATAGCTTGCTGCTCCATAATATTCTGAAAAAGATGACCTACTGTGAAAACAACATCGAATTTTTAAGGATTCTCAATGAGAACTTTCCATGTTGTTGTTACAATACTTAGCCCGCGTTTACTATTATACCCGCAGGATATCAAATCTTGATCCGGAAGAAGTTCTTTATGAATCACCTGGTTTTTCCACCACATATTTTTTCCACTTGATCCGGAGATCAAAACTGGATCAACAGTGACCAATTAGAAATGGTTTTCGTAAAACTGCATCGAAAATTGGCCAGTCGAAAACAAGTATCATAAACTCTCTTGTAGATGATAAAACCAAATTCAAGACAAACATAAACACCTGAGAATTTCGAAAAAAAAAGGATATAACCGTTGTCAATTAGGTGTAGATTTCAACAAACTCCTTAATTGTCTTCCATTATCACATGTTTATGCTGCTGTACCTAATCCGCATGTCGTCCTTCAAGGTAAATAGTATAATGTTTCGGGGTTAAAAATTACACCTATACATGTGATGGTTTAGACGAATGTATATTGTTGCCTTTGCTTTATTAAATTGTAGAAAAAATAGTACAAACCAGACAGAAATTATACAACAAAAAGTAAGGTGTGTAATAAAATGAAGTTTGTAAAATGTAAAGTGGAAACCCTTCTTTCTTTTGCTTCTTTATCGGCTAGAGATGGGCTGTGTATTTGAATTCAGATTCAGATAATAACGATTCTCGGCCTCCTAGCACGACGCCTGTGATGCTGTTCGACAACTTCCACGTCTCGGAAAGAGTTTCATGAGGACTTTCTTTATGCTCCAACTAAAAGGAATGCCTAAGGCTTCATCAACATACAAGTACCACGGATATCTGTCATGCCGTCGCAAATTAAGAAAGTAAGTTCCGGTGTGAATACTGTGTTTATGCATTGATTAACATAAATATTCCCCATGACGTTAAATCACCCTAATTAACACTTGTGAACATTTGCGAACGCAGCCTCCCAGCTCCACCTCCAATATTTTCCCGCTTTACTCTTGACAGTTGATACATTTGTAGTGCTGCCGAGCTAGTAACATTAAACATAAATGTGTATTAACACAGAAATATTTGTTATTTTAACACATAGTAGTTGAACCTGCTAACATTTATTTTCCAATTCAATTGAGTATAGTGCGACCAACCTAACGTTTATCTTGTTCTTTTTTTCCCAAGAAACGTACATACGCTATATGCATACTGAAATACTTTTATTTTCCCAATATGTACTTTGCACAAATATCGCGCAGAGGATGTGTTCATATCTTCTTTTCTAAAATTATCTCTCAGATAAGTAATACACTGTTATTTTTAGTAAAGTGCTCAGTAATCGAATGTCATATCAATTTATGCATTATATCAGATTTGATTCACGATTAGGGCATGCGATTAAAAAGGCTCCTTTCCAATTTTCGATGCAGTGTTCCGAAAACGCTTCTAATTGTTCACATTGTTGATCAGGATCATAGGTTTTGATCTCCGGATCAACTGAATAATATGTTTTTGTAAACAGGTGACTTATAAAGAAGTTCTTGATTTAATATGGGGACTAGAGGCCCTTCTTACACAAATCGTATGTTTTTCGTTACTTTGAGAGATATTTCAGAAGAAATCCACTATTTCAGTTAGATCCATTACTAGAAAGATGCCTTCTCATTGGTCCATTACGATCCGAATCAAGAATTTTGATCTGTTAGAATAAGTCGGGCCTTAGGGGGGTAACGTCAGTTGTTCCTACAATAATTGTGGGACGCCTTTATGGCCTCCTTCATTTTCATAGTATTTTCTCTCCTTCAGAAAGACTGGGATATTTCTAGATTTCTACGGTTTCGTGTCAGCGTCAGCGCTCTCTTATTGTCGGGCTATGTTTTCTTCTTGAATTTTAGGAAATGTCAGGCCATATAACAGATCATATAAATCAAAAACATGAACAATTTAATGCAAATACATATTTGTAGCATAACTTAAAAATAAAGCGCTGACATGGAAGAGTAGAAAAGTATGAAAATCAAGGAGGCCATAAAGGCGCCCTACAATTGTAGAAACGACTAACGATTTTTGTAAAAAACTAGAGGAGAAGGTGGTATTAAGGCCCCCTATTTTCATTATTGCGCGTAAAGAAACAAACTAATGTTTTCTCGTTAATCCTTGTGTGTCAGTATAATGTTTAATCATTTAAGAGCAAGTGGTAATATATGGGAAAAAATAATAATCGAAAATGTTTCCATAAAAATATATTTTTGTGACTGTTATATATTTATTAATTCGAAGTAGGAAGGCCTCGGGGGGCCATATTACCGTGCAAAGATATAGTAGAAATGAAACAAGCTCTCAAGGTTTTACCTACAAAAATCGCATATGTAATATTCCCGTTCGGCTCCAGAGCACTCATTGTGTGCCCACATCGCACAGCTTTGGCACTGAACCCATATTTTGCCCTGTCGGTCATCAGAGAAACGCCGGTCACAAAACTTACAAGTCGCATCTTTGTTCTGTCTGTATTTTGTAAGAAAATCCAACCTGCTATATCATTTTTAGAAGGATTGGGAATATTGTTTTTAACTGTCAACGGGTGTGCTATTTTTCTGACATCCATTCGAGTTAATCCATAAAATATTTGCTCCACGTGTAATATTTATATTCTACTAATTTCTCTTCTAGGTAACGCGGAAACACAGGCCTTCTGCCTAACGGCTTCTGTACAACTAGTTCTGGCGTCAGCTCAGTATTATGGACGAGCCTTCTGAGGGTAGTTATTGGCACACCAAAGGTATTAACTGCCTTCGTAAAACGACTTAGTGCGTACCGCTTCAGCAGCCCTTGTCATCAGATCGGTACTCCACGTCTTTTTTTTCCTATCCCTCTTTGTAGATATACTTTTTCGGGGCATCTGCAACAATTTAAAATAAATTAAGAGCCGTATTTAGTGTTCATATTATTTATAAATGAGTAAAAGTATCAGCAAAACAATGTATTTAATATGGCCCTCCGGGCCATAATTCCAGCAGTAATAGGGGGCCATATTACATACATGGGTGTATTATCAACAGGTCACAAAAAAAAATAGAAAATTATTCAACGTACCTACCCTCATAATACAGCTGTTACTAACCCTTTATCTTCATACAGAACACAATAAACTTGCTTCTAAACCAACTATGGAGACAAAAATGTGTTAAATCGATCACTAACGAAATTATTTACTACACACACTACAGGAATGACAATACTGGCCGAGCGTATCGATAAGTCGATCTGACTGGCTTTTAAATATTGGCGGGGGCCCGATGTGTGTAGTATAGTATAAAAACCATAGTTGGTCCTCCGCGTTCTATGAAATTAAAAGGGGGGCCAAATTACGAGCAGGGACCATAATGCCACCTTCTCCTCTATATAATGAAAAAAAAAACGATTAAATGTCTTGATGACTGAGTTGTTACGTCATCAACGCCATATGAAATGAGTAAACAGATCGAGTCTCCGTACATGGGCGGAACACTGCGCAGACTAATCTTCAGCGCATCTGCTACTCTCTCCAGTACGCATGAAGTGGGTAACTGAGGACCGCTGTTTTCATTCTCTTCCTGGAAACACTCTAATAAACTTAGCACTAGCTGTCGGCCTTCTCCATTGATCGTATTTCCGGGCATTGTACAATTTTATATTGAAGATTGCTAACATCAAGTATGTCTTTGAGCTTAACGAACTAACCTTCACCCACAGGGGTAGGTTGCATGTGTATGTATGAGGGAGATGGAGATGCATAAAGGGATACTGGTAGTCTTACTTTCACCCGCAAAAGAACGGTGACGATATCTAACCTAAACTACCTAGAGCAATACAAGGCTCGCAGTAATCTTGCAGGCACTTGTACATAGCTCCGTCGCAGCTGCTGGAGGATTATTATTCTTCTCCTAGGCCCTTCCCCCTTCAACATGCGGGATACGCAAGCCAGAATCGCATAGATTTTCCCCTGGAAAATAGTGCGGTATCCGCCAAGAGGTAGTCAGAGCCTAGTTCTGGGTCCAAAGACTCCGGAGCCAGAGCCTCTTCAGTAACCGAGCCGTGCGTGTCCAGACCTCACTTTCTTCGGAGACCTTTCGGCTTCCGGAATCCCACTCCGCCCTCGTCGGATACTCAACATTAAACTTGCAATTGATAGCAGTGTGACCCTTGACAGGTTTCATAAAGGTCCAGCTGACTGACTTCACTGTCGATGCGCGACTACTGTCGTCTCTCGTATTTCCGGGATAACTAGATACAACCGTGGGAGATCCAGCAAACCTTCCATTGCATTCAATGGTGTTGTCTGCGCTCCGCTTGTGATGCTGGTACAAGCCAAATGCTGAATTTTATCGAATTGGGCCTTAGTTGCCTCGGTTTCCAATACAAGGCCACCAAACCAAGGAACCATACAAAAGATATGAAGTACTATCGTCGAATAGTGCGTAACTTTGGGTTTAAACCCCTGGGTAAAAAATCACGCGACCATACGTCGAGAGCGTTTACCACGCATTGAGAAATATCGACCTCCATCTACCGAGCTCCGATGAAGGCTCGAGTTCTGTCAGGAGCACTGGACTCGCGACATGGTCATAAATTTGTGATAAATTAGTTGCAAATGTTGTAATCAATTAATTTGAGATTAATGAATTAGACTTTAAATAGTAAAAACGGTGTTTTCGTTAAAATAATTACCTAAAAACCTGCTGTTCGCAGCAAACTCGGCTTCCTTCCGAACAATCTGTCCTAATGTATAGGTAACAGTACCATCTTGTAGAGCGTAGCCATAGTATGAACTAGAATTATCTAGAACGATCTTGAAGTTGAGATACTGTTTGAAAGTCACAAAGACTCTACCGTCCATACCGTAGTACCATGGTTCCTTTTGATAAACTGGTGACTCTGCAAGACCTTTGGTAACGTATGATGTCAAGGTAGGAGGTCTTTCAAATAGAGTTACCTATAGAGAAAAAACATGAACTAAACATAATGCTTTCGTACGCCCGACCAAAGACAGCCAACCATGGACAGCTGTTTCGTGCTTCTTGGCTACCCATCAGCATGGTCTAGGCTTGGTCTGTCGTCTCTGGGAGAATGATCGAAAGCATCTCAATGGTCCTCTATCCTGGCTTGTAAAAGCTGTTGTTTTGTGTTTGGGAACATGCAAAGTACGACGCACAAATCTCAAATCAATATCATGTATGTCAGTACTCATAGATAGCTTTTCAACTGGTTGTTTTCTTAGTAACACCGAATGAACCAGGTGATAAGTTCATCTTTGTCTCATCTTCAAATGATGCTGGAGCAGTCTTAGTTACATGTTCATGGAATGTATGTATATACTCGTCAAAGTAAACTCCAACATTGCGATCGCATTTCTTATGAACAGTTCCTTCCCACTTTGGAGTAGTTTCACTGCGTCATCGCGAGTTACTATGCTTTGACGAGAACGTTATAATTGCTCGTTTTTTCGAATTTACCGACATAGAGATACCGATGGCAATGTTGAGATCATGCGAAACTTGGAAATATGCAACAGCGACCTGGTCAGATTTATAGAACAGATACAGTTGCTTATAATCTCCATAAGAATGTATGTAAATATAAAGTAAAATGGTTCCAAGGATGGAGCCTTTTGCCACTTTTCTGGAACAAATTCGGTCATATGAAACAGAATTGCCCACCTTCACTCTTTGGGCTCTATTTGAAAGATATCTGGTAAACCATAAAACAGTAGATTGCAAAAACTAAATAAGAAGAAGTAGATAAGAAATTTCATTTCTGTATGCTTAAATTCTTGGGATTCTAGATAACACATGCGCAATATAAAATGTGTAAGTTGAGTTGCCGTCAATTAGCAGCAAATCCCGTACCTATTCAAAGAATCTTTGCTGCTCTTACAACTTCAGTCTTTTTTATTCTAACAGTTGCCGCTCGGGTAGTTTGCTTATTAATTCTCAGTAGAAGAAAAACAAGGAAAAGACGACCTTTTTATGCTCTTATATGCTTCATCGCTCCTTTAGAACACTGATATTTCTTTTGACAGCGAATGCTACTTACTCGTAGTGGATATTCATTCATTTGCTTCAAACTGTTCACAATTCTTCTGTGATCAAGTAATACATCTTCCATCTTATGCATTACTACAGCTCCCCAAGAATCATTTCCAATTTTCTTAAACGGTCTATAGATGTAGAAGTAGTCACCCCATTGGTCCGAGCAGGGATACTGCGTAACAATATTCAGAACATAATACTGCTTCCACAATTTCATCAGATTTCCAGCAGCACAGTTTGAAATATGGTGGCCAAGTTTTTTCTGCTGTCCAACGTAGAATATGATGTATAAAGCATTTGGCTCGGATACTACGAGATCTGGTCTTAGCTCTAGGTACTGTTTCATTGTTACTTCATCAGACACAATTAAAACATATACCTAAAAAGTTGAAGCATAGACATGCACTCACTCCTCGTGTTGTCGTATAGAGCTTTCTCCGAAATACGGATACATCCAAATACTTTCTATGACATAAAAGAACGTTTTTACTAGCGAAAACTCAAAAATTTTAAACTACAGGATTTGTGTTCTAGAGGTTGCATGTTAAATCACAGGTTGACACATTGAGAAAAAAATGGCATCAAGTAAATTGACTCTATGCTTTCCATGCATTCCCTTCGAAACAACTTCTAGTACAATTTTTCATGTAGTTTAATGACATCAAAAAGACGTGGATTTTGTCAAAACCATCAGTACACTATTTGGGCTTTTCATGGAAAAAATTCTTCAGATTACAGCAGTGGGCGGGTCTATACACGGTAACCTTATTTCTTTGGAGCTGTTTTGTAAAACTGTTTGTCAACAATGTTTGATTATAATAGCTCTTGATACGCACATACTTGTATACTCTATTCTATATACTATGCTATATAATATTACCTCACGAGATCAATCTCACTAAATCATAGTCTGGGTTGGAAGTTTATTAGTATACATCATGAAATTGAGATATAACCTCTCCCATCTTCTAAAACCCCCAATCTTTAATCCCCACAAAAAATTCTGAAAATAATCAAAAACCTCTGCAACGATAAAAAAAATAATGAGCGATTTTTAATTTTTCTTCTTTTGCCTTTCATGCCACTTGACCGATTTTTAAAAACTATAAAACTCTTTCGTCCGTGAATAGTAGTTACCTCTTGCGAAAGCGAAATCCTATCAGTACTTTCCAAGTTATAGACGGGATTAGCGGACAGACAGACAGACAGACCGACGGAAATGAGTGACATGTTTTTCGTTATGTGCGTTATATAACACCCAAAAAATATCTCATTTCGCGATTATAATACTTCGTCGACAGTACGCATGGGAAGTAAAATCGAGAGTTGCACATAAGATTATTTTGTCCTCTGACAAAATTTTCTTACAGTAACCCATTGAAATAACTTCTTTTTGTCACATGTCAAGTTATACCTTCATAGGGTCAGATGCAGACCGTAACATCTTGTATGCTTCTTGTAGAGATTCCTTAGACTGGACCTTCATCAGTTTTTCATCGTACATAATTTTAGTAGCTGTATGATAATCCTCATCCTGAACAATTGCAACGTTAGTTTTAAGTTCGTGTCGCTCCATGAGTGCTTTTTTTGATAATTCGTTATAAATCTGTAATATACAATAAAAGCAAAAACGCCTTTACTCTAAAGTGGCTGCGCTTACAATGAAAAACGATTTTCGAAGTTGAGCTATCGAGAACTTCCTTATTGATTTGGACGCTTTTTTTTGCTGTGTTGTCCTGCCTTTTAGAGCTTAGCAGGAGCGATTTCCGTTAACTGTTTTCCATTTCTTTGTTTTTTTTTTCTGAAATCTAGATGTTTTCCAAGTATAAACCAGATTTTAGGAGTTAAAAAATCGGGCATTCTCATAGTTCACTTATCACTAATTCACTAATCACTAATCACCAACAATTTTAAATAATTAGACAGTGCATTTTTATATCTAGATGTCGCAGGTTACTCCAAACTGTTTTTTTTTTTAATGTTTTTGATTTTCCCTAAAAATTACATTTGTTTTCCCGCGGAGTCTAATCCAAACATGAACCCACAATAAAATTTCAAAAAATACTTATTGTTAATAACTCATGTGGTTTTAATACCTGTTCAACAACCATGTTTGAAAAGTCATCAACGTTCTTTTCATCTCTGTACCGTTGATGCAATATTTTTATAACGGTCGTTTGGGCAACATAGAAATGTCTGGCATATATCGCCCAGAGATCCTTATTCAGATTGCACTCGGCTTTATATAGACCAGCAACATTTGAAGGCAATGCCTGGTATGCCAGTATTAATACGAGTAGAATATAATAAATTGACATCATATTGTTGATCACTGATACATTTGAATATGGCTGCGCGACTGAACTTTCTGTTTAAAATCACTCGATGTTTTATTAAAACAGTATTTGCCTGCCGTTTTGACTCTGTTTGAACTGGGAGCTTGTAATGAAAGGATCATTGGTTCAGTTCAGGGTGGCTTATATAAAAACTCACCTGAGGTCATAGTCCAGGAAGTATGTTCGCATCTGCTGAGAAAAATATTCTGATTCTGCTTTTTGCCTAGTATTATGCAAAATTAACCCTTCTTAAGGAATCTGCTTGTTCTAGTCTGACATTGATTGAACATTTTTTTCACAAAATTCCAGTACTTGATTTAGGTTTTAGTATCACTCTGAATAAAAAAATAACTTTTCTCTAAAGTTAATCGTTTCCGAGAGTAAACGATTTAATATTTAAGGCAAAAAAGTGGATATTTTAATGTTAAGGGGGAAGCACCTCCTTAAGAACCCAGGTGGACCGTAAAATTTTACATATTTTATTTAGCATGTGGTTTGGTACAATTTTGTCAATTTTTAGGATTTGCTAAGCCCCCCCCCCCCCTCTTCGAGGCGTTTTTGAGAGGGTACACTTCCACAAAAGGTTATCCCTTCTCCCGAGAAAAAAATCCTGCGGGCGCCCATGACTATAGAAAAGAGCTTCATATTTTTTGAGAATGCACCGTTGTCTACAATATGTACTAGAAAATGAAGTGTCACTTTGTCTTTTTCTATTATGTAGGTACATTATTATTAATCATAAAAATAACGATTTTTCATAAGCTGTGTTGATTAAACCTCAAAGCCGAGACAAAGGAACTTATATTTGCCAGGTGACTCAGTGGATGGGTAAATAAACTCAGCGTCTACTTTGATTTCTAGTGCCGGTATACATATCAGGAAATTTCAAAACTGGACATTCTTGCTTTGATAAGCAGGAGAAAACTGTGCAAGAGTGATTTTATTTGAAATAATTTGCAAGATAGTAGAAGCAGAACTCCGCAACTGCTTAAGGAGCTTAGAGACATCTTGTTAATCAGCTTTTTGAACTGCCTAAGCTTAGTACAACTGGGAAAAGCCTCCTCCGGCAGATGGTTCGACAATCTCAACTCCTAAGGACAAAGGAGCGGATGTACCGGCCAGTTCTGGATGTACGAAGCTCTATACGGTGACGATGGGAAGCTAAAGTCAGGCGGGTCTGGGCGGGGCCATGGATTACTTAGTCGGAGCGGCAGCACCCCGAAAATGTGGGCAGTACTCGAGGCTAGATCTTATCTGGACCTTGTACCGAAGGTTATGTGGAGAAAACTACTTCTTAGCTCTAATCAAATAGCCTAACTTTTTTCCCAGCAGCTGCCGCTATTGACGAGATGTGTTCATGCCAGTTTAATTCTCGGTAATCTGGGCTCTGACCAGCTGGAATGACCGGCTGTTTGGTAGAACTTGGCCATCCATCGAAAACGGATGAGCGTTAGGGTACTTCTTGTTAGTCAAGGTAAAGTATTGTGTTTTGGAAGCATTAAACTGTAACAGATCGTTCCGTCCCCAAGAAGTGATACCTCCAAAGCTCTCGTCAGAGGGGAAGCCGCTGCTAGTCTTCTGCCCAGCTCACTGGTAGAAATCGGCTTGATACTATGAACTCCTGCATGTAGAGTTCTGTCATTAGGAAAGCTGTCTATCTGATTGATCGTACGGAAAAGTAGGTCGTTGATATGTAATAGAAACAACATCGGAGTTTAAACCGATGACTGTGGAACATCCGCGTTGACATTGATTAAGAAGAAAAAACGTGTGCCAAAACAACAATGCTTAACATACAAACACTTCAGGCATATTTACAAATATTGGCCAAATAACTACTACCAATCGCATCGTTTCTTTTTCTAATACAGAATGCACAATAAGCCGTTCCCAATAAACAAGACATCTTGTGACTGCAAACAACTATCGAAATCCTACCTGTACGGTTTAGCCAACTTTCTTGGTTGTCTGGTCGTGCAATCAAAATTAAACACTCTCTGTGTGGCTAGTTCAGGAGTCGATAAAAATAATAAGATAACAATGCTCGAAGAAATGTGTCATCTCTCATGTTTTCGTGGGCATATAGGACGAATGTATATATATAACATAATTAAGGATATCAAGTTCTCTCCATTGTAAGGCTCATTAGCGATTGTTTCGCTCCTAGTTGATGTCCAAAGCAAAAAATCAGTTTTCATTGCGAATTATCAATTGTCCAGCTTTTGAGTTACCTTACCTGTATAATAAATAGTGTATGATATATCAGTGCAGGTGTTACTGACATTTTCCTTCATGGTCAGTTAGGTGCACATAGTCAGTTGAGTTATGGTTAAATAAAAATATCATTTGGATCTACACACACACGCTACGTTTTTATTAATGCTATGCCTGATATACAGGGTGAGTTCTTAGTGTGGGCTCGGTCGGTAACTTCGTTATTGCGCAACATATCTAAAAAGGTCAGATACAAAAATTATGTGCAACGCTATGCTTCTTACTTAAAAAATGTTTTCATTTCTACAGGGTGATCCATAACTACATGGTGACTCAAACATACATTTTTTTAAACGGAGAGACTTACATTTTATTGCGGATAGGCCCTTTCAAATTGAGCAATTTGGTATAACATGCTATAAGGTTCTCTGTACAAATTGTTGAGATATTAATCTATTGAAAAGAATACTCTATCAACTCGCACCTCCGCGACTGTGATAGCTAGAGAACTAAATTCTGCTGATGTCTCATAGATGGCGCTAGGGTCTTGCAGATTCCTTTTTAGGCTTCAGGTAGAATATGTTAATCATTGGTTTTTGAATTTTTTTTATATGTAACCTCGAAAAATATGTTCGATGACTTCGCAGGTCAACATTTTTTGACGCACAGAATGTGCGTGTAAGGCTATCTATTCAGAATAATATAGTTGTTTCTTATTCCAGGTTTTGTAAAAGAGAAAATTCGGAAGAAGCCGATGAAAAAGAAAATCGAGTAGCAAACGTAGATTCATCCTCTACGCAACCCCACTGTCATATTACAATAAAATGTACTAAAGAGGTAAGAATATCTCTTAAATATAGGAATAATAAATATATATAATAAATATAAAAATATCATAATAACTTAAATTACACCGTTTTGTACCAAATTCTGATCTTCCTATACTTTGTTTTAGCTTAAATACTTGATTTTTGGTTACCTCATAATATCTCTTGTTATTATTTCTTTAAATAACCCCTGGCCTCTAGAGTCAGACTTGCCTTATACTTGATGATTGACGATTATGCTACGTAACACGTATTCTGTATACAAAATATATCAGGAAAATCAAAGTATCATCAGGGTAATCACAAAAGGTATTATATTATATATAATATTATATATTATACTGGCCAGTGATGGCGACCGGTAGACTTCAAGAACATTCCACGGTGTCCTCTCTTAATATATCTTCTCTTTGGTTCTAATCTAGTTTTTTTCTATAGATTGCAGGCTTCAACGAATTAGACGAAGCTGTCAAACGCCTAGACTTCCGTAGCGCCGCTAGAGACGTCCGTCGTTCAAATTACGTCCGGGCGCTTTTAAGTCTTCTGGTTGGCCGAAACACGACAGCGTTGTCAGGTTGTGCGCAGCGCGCGCTGTTGGCAACGTTGGAAGAGGTGGCTGGGCACGCGGCGGACACGATTCACGATCCACGTAGCCTGAGGCGATTGGTGGACGGATTGAGATCTTTGAGGGCGGCTGAGAGAGGAGCATGTTGGGGAGGTATGTACTCATACACGAAGGGAATGTTGAGGTTCAAATGTGAATGTGGGTTGGAGATTTGCTTTACTGAAGCCTCCCATGAGACAAAATCTAAATACCCGGATACCTCGACCAAGGATGGAAGGTGTCTCAATGTGAACGAACGCTGATTCCGAATATATGGTTATAAAAAAGGAATGAAGTATAGCGATTTGTTATTCGCAGCAAAAAGCTTTATGGGCTTCCCATGTTCTGGAGAAATGAGTTTTACTTTAGATTGTAGATACGCAAGAATTTTAAAATTTTTTTCTCGTTGAGTCTGTGCCCTCAAACTTTGAAGTATCTCAAGATAAAATTTCTGGTAGACTGGACCAAAAGAAAATTTTCCTGTTTTAAGAGGCAAAGTGTATTGCTCCGTAGTCCATACGATACAAAATCACTATTAAAGCTTCAACAAATGGGTTTAAAATATTGAAGCTGTAGTAACGATTCGTAGCTGCAATTGATGTTTGGGACCTTTTACACTCTGATGTCGGTACTCTTCGGTGCCAAAGCATCCTCAATTTCCTAACTTGAAACATCCACTAGCTAGTGATAGTTTACCTAAAAATTGGCCAATTCACCCGGAACGTGATCAGTATTTTGTACCGCTCATGGAGCAAGAATTTTTGAAAATCTTCAATTATACCATAAAATATTACCTTTAGTATTTGCTCTATCATTGTGTAGGTCCGCTAGGTTCTCAGATCCTCTGGCACCAACACACGGCCAAGATCGAGCGCATTTTGAACACGGTCGCCCAAATGAAGATCAACGAGCCTGGTCCCGAAATCCACCCGAAATTGCTCCAGCTGCCTGAGGAGTGCATCCGAGAGATCATTTTAAGGCTTTCTGATCATCGAGATCTCTTAAGTAGTGCGCAGGCATGCGAGCAGATGGCGGCCATAGTTGGTGAGCAGCGCGTATGGAGGGAACTGACCATGTTCCACTTTGATCAACAGCAGATAGACCTGGTGATGCCCAAAGATAAGGAGAATGTTGACTGGAAGAGTGTTTACCATTCGTTGAAAAAGTAAGTACAATTATGTTTAGCACATTTCATATTTAGCGCTGCTCAATGTTTTTTCACATGTGGAATTCTAAAATTCAAATGTCGCACAGTGCATCGTCCTATGTACAAAAAAATCTAAGTATTTTTATACAGGGTGTTCTGAAAGTTGGGACTTTCCCTTTCAGAAAAAATTCCGTTTGAAATAACAAAGTTAATTTGAGGTAGAACAGCACCGGAAACGCAGAAAAGAAATTGAAAAAAATACTCACTCTTCATTTGTACAGCATTTCAAGTACCTTGCTTATAATCACTGCTTCAAGTTGTCGCTGTTTGATCCAAAAATACTCGTTTGTTGACTTTTTTATTTGCAACATTTTGGCTGTCAATTTACTAATACCATCATTGTTACAAAACAGCTAGTGCAAACTAACGCGTCTGCATTTCTTGACAGTCACAGGTTGAGTATTGCGGTGACAGGCCGCGCCTTTGCCGGCTTGATCGACGGTGTATATTTTAGTTCTTACCACATGAAGGTTGACATCAAAATGTATTATGAGTTCGCGGATACGCGGATAAAACCATGTCTGTAACGTTCCTCCTGTATCAGTTAGAGAGTGTACAAATTGTTACGTATATTCCGATTGTGGTTCAGACGTGATACTGACAGACTGAATTTATATATAGAGAATATTAGTCGCGAATTATGTTTTGTTCCATTCTCGTCTCATTAGGGAGAAAATATTAACCATTGTCAACGATGAAATAGAATATGTAATTTAAAATATACTATTTCAATAGACAACAATTATTATATTAATTACATGCGTATAAAGTTTCGTTGACCGTTTCAAAATTATTGTAAGGCTTTAAAAAAATCTTCAAATATCCTTTCCTATTTTTGTGTAATCGAGTTGCTTTTTATTTAGGCTTTAATTTGACGTTCATTTTAACTTCGTCTGCATGAGACTGTATACTCTTACATTGTTTTCACTTCCCACGTCTGCTGGCGGGGAAGTATTATAATCACGAAAATTTTAGAGATATGTTTTTTGGATGTTTTATAACATGTACATCGCTAAAAACCATGTCACTAATTTCCGTCGGTCTGTCTGTTTGCCTGCTAATCTTATAACCGCCTATAACTTGAGAAGTACTGCTTGGATGTCGATGAAATTGTGACATATTGTTACTACTATACCAAGGATGCAAAAACCTTGCCTCCAGTGGCGGCGGAAAAAAGGCCAAAAACAAAAAAAAACGGTTAAACTACATTCTTTGGCGTTTCAAACGATTCTGATCATTTTCGGATTTCTTTGTAGGGGTTAAAAATTGGGGGTTAGGGGGTGGAGGAGGGTATATCTCAGTTTTCCAGTAATTCTACGCACATACAGGGTGACTTCGAAGTTGAGTCATTTATTTTAACAGTGTGTAGATCTGATCAAAAGAAATGTTTTTTTCCTTTACCATTTTTCTGGTAAAATTAAAGTAACAAAGTTATAGCCCTTTGGAAGTTTGAGTACCGCCCTGTCTCAATAATATCATGTGTTCGTGTTTGGCAACAACGGTTCATCGCATCGGAAACAAAAAAGCGAAAGAATTTGGAACGATGTTTTTACGATTACAATTCAGTTCAGTTATACATACAGTCAGTTTCAGTCGCGTGTGGATCGTGTCTGTTGCGTTGCTCAAACGAAATAAAAAATGGCACATGTTTATGCGGATCAGTTTCCCAATCGAGTGCAACCAACCCCTCGTGCCTTTGTTAATGTAGTACAACGGGCTCGTGAATCAGGTGACTTAAGACCTCACAGGGGACCTCACGATCAAATACAGGTCCGCACTGAAATACTTGTCGGGAGGATACTTTATAAAACAAGGTAAAATTTTTTTTTATTTTTTTTTTTATTTTTACACACATATTTTGGTTTATCTTCCTTCTACAATCATTATCTGAAAATTAATGACTCAACTTCAAAGTCACCCTGTATAAGGCATATTTCTCTCATCATAGATGTCCTTGTACTTCTACCCTTAAAACGAAATATCTCCTACAGTCCGGTGTTGATACGTGCGATGTCGGTCCCCGATGGACAGGCGTCGTTGTCGGTGATCGTACGTCACAGTAGACAACGCTTACGCACTGCTGTTGCTCTGGCCTACTTGCACACGGAGTCAACTTACGCGACGCTATTTTTTTCTCAAGAAGAGACCGCATAACCAATTACCGGCTTGCTGAAATATGGTTTTCCAACAAAAAATCAGACCGGATAGCTGTAGTCACTGATAAACTACATTTCCTTATGGCCGCGGACGAGTCTAAAGACCAATTCAAAAGAGAAAATCCACAATCCATATTCCATATTACAATTAGAAGGTTATTTTGATATGTTGCCATGACTTGTTTTGTTCAGTAATTTTCCTATAACATTTTGAAGGTTTGTTTTGTCCAGTCTCACCATAAGCTCGAAGCACTGTGCGCATTAAAGTTTAGAGAATCCATGTGGACCCAAGTGTGATCTATTGTCTTACCGAAACAAACTACATACATTCCTGTTTATTGTAAGACCTTTCGGCTACCAAGTGGCCTTTTTCAAGTACTCGTATGATGACAATAATGGCAGTATATTTTGTTTATCTGTGACCTGGAAGACAGATACACAAAAAGAAAGTACAGTCATTATTGCCATTGTACTCGTAAAAGGCCACTATGGTACCCAAAACGTCGTGCAATAAACAGGAATTTAAACAGACAGGGGGTTCCAGAAAGATGTGCCATTATTTATAGGATAAAAAGTACATCCAAAGATAACAAAAAAGTTCCTATAAATATGGGTCCAAAGATGCTCCCCTTCCCAGATACAGAGTTTCCTGGCCCATACTAAACCAGGGACGTAGAAACTGGGGTACGTGGGTCATCAATAGGAAATATTTTCTAAGCCACTGCCCTTTTCGGAAAATGGAATGCATTTTATGAAATACCAGTTATTTTTCATTAATTTTGTCTCTTAGGGAATTTTTGTCAGATCACTTTTTTGAAGATATTTAGGTTTAAATATTTGAAGTGAAATCCTAAAATATGCTTATGAAAACGTATAGTCTTCCCTATTCAGAAAGCACAGCGAAGCTTTATATTGGAAACACTATATGGCATGGCATTAATTGATTAATATGCGTGTCTTATCTTCAGTCAGTAGCGTACACGCTTACCATTCATTAAACCCTGTCTATACACGCCATGTTTCAAGATATATTTCTGCTAGTATTACCGAAGTTTTCTGCTTTTCTGCTTGTTTAAAATCACAACTAGTAATTGTGGAACCAATCAATTTGAGTAAAATTCTAATTATTTTACTACTGAAATTATCGATCTTTTTTTTTCATAAAATTCATTAGCATTTCACTTTAAGTGAGCTCAACAAAGAGGATATCAAAAAATGGTAAGCACCTGGGACACTAAGTATCAGGTCGAAGTATACAGAAGAGAGTCTTTGTGGCGTAGAGCACGGACATGTGTTGAATCCAGAGGTAGTCACTCTCGACACCTCCTTTAGGTTCTATGTTGTAGCGTTTATTCAGCATTATTTTTTGTTCCCAATGTTATGTCTAAATGTCTAAATTTAGAAATAACGTCGTACGTTGTATCAAAATTAATGTAACGTTTATGTTGTCGTGTTTAATTATTATTAGCTTTATTTATTTTTGAAATAAACGTTATCTTTATTGTGAAGTTTCTTTATCTATAAACAAAAGTGAACATGCCTGCAAAACCAGTGGCGTGCACAGGAAAAGTTTAACGAATGTTAAACTTCTTCGCTACTGATTGAGGATAAGTCACGTATATTATTCAATTAGTGTTGTAATGAGGTGCCATAGCTTTCTTCATATACCATATAGTGTTTCACGGTATTTTCAGAATAAGGGAGGCTAAACCTTTTCATAAGAATATGTTAGGATTTACCTCAAATAATCAAACCTCAACACTAATGATCTGACAAAAATTACTTAAGTGACAAAACAAGGCTTCCAGGTAGTTTCTACGTCCCTGGTTTACTTTGGGCCGGGAAACGCGCGTGTGTTTATTACTTATGATGTATTCACTGAAAGTCTGAAGTCCTAACTCTAGTATCTTTACCCGCTCGGTATACAGAGTGGCCCATCCATGTGTGGACGGAATATTACTCATAAACAAATACATTTTGGGAAAATCTATTTATGGGATGTTATACATGACATTTGAGACCACATTTCTAAAATATTGTCCATTATACAGGGTGTTCCAATTTCGACCTACATATCAAAGTTGTGATTTTTCAAATAGAATGCCACAAATTTTATTGCATATTTGGATAAACCAATTCAAAAGAAGAAAATTCATATAACATACTATGGGGTTTTGGTAATTAGCTACTGAGATTTCAAATGCATCAACCTGTATATTTGTGCAAGTTTGAATTCAATTCTTTATAAGCTTTTTTTTGATACTAGACACATAAGAGTTTTTACGGCTATTTTTTTGTTATTAGCACGTCTTGTATGGAACGGCTTAATTCACTAAAATATCGCATCATCCTTGGAAACAAATAAATTGATGATTAGTTACAAACTATCAAAATTAGCTTTGTGAGCATTATTATTAAAAACGTGTTTGAAAATGAATTTTTCTAAATTAGAAATGGTGAATATGGTATTCGTTTTGGGCGAAACAGTTTCCTAGCATCTCGCATTATATCCTGGCCTATATCTTGGCCTCCTAGATCACCAGATATGACACCGATAGACTTCTTTCTATGGGGCTACGTTAAGCAAAGAGGTTTATAGATATCCATCATCTACCCCGGAAAATATGAAGGAAAGGATTAAGGATGCTTTTCGGAACATAAGGGAACACATGCTGAGGGATGTGCAACGGTCATTTATCCAAAGACTACGGCTGTATATTCAACATGCTGGAGATACTTTCGAGCAGTTTTTGCAGATTAGGTCTTAAATATTGATAGTTTGTTTATGTTGTTGTTATAGTTGTCGTTATAGTTGTCTCTCTATTACGCTTGAATTTTGGTATGTTGTTCTATTAAAAGCTTAATATCTCAAAATCTAGTGATTTTATGTGAATCAAACCCTATACCAAAAAAAAAAGCTTATAAAAAATTGAATCCAAACTTGCACAAATATACAGGGTGATGCATTTGAAATTTTTGAGAATTCGCGATTTTGACCACCCTGTATGAGCAAAAATGAAAATTCGAAAAAGTAACAAATAAGATAAAAGCTGAGGTGTGTAAGTTTTTTTTGATACAAAATTCAGCATTCCAAATTTCAAAATGGCAGATTGAGGGGTTGCCGAAGTGGACGGTTTTTCTGGACCTTACATCGCAGAAGCTAATTACAAAAACCCCATGGAATGTTATATCAATCTTCTTCTTTTGAATTGGTTTATCCAAATATGCAATAAAATTTGAGGCATTCCATTTAAAAAATCACAACTTTGATATGAATGTCAAAATTGGGACACCCTGTATAATTGCCAATATTTTAGAAATGTGCCCTCAAATGTCATGTATAACATGCCGTTACTAGATTTTTCCAGAATGTATTTGTTTATGAGTAATAGTCCGTTCACGCATGGATGGGCCACCCTGTATATATATATATTAAATTTCGTATATAAAACATAATCCTGTATCTCGATGGGGAGCCTCTCTATGGATCCATATTCATATGAACTTTTTTGTTAGTTTTCGATGTACTTTCTACCCTAGAAATATTATTGGAACGTCTTCCTGAAACACCCTTTATATGTTGTCTGATTCGGACAGACAATGAAGTTAGGTTAATCAGGTGTGATTTGTTCTGTTCTACTATAATCCTCATTATATTGTAATATACATTGTAAATCTGTAGATTATTCTGATCATGCAGGAATGACGATCCAATTTTGGTTAAACAACTTCCCAAATCTACAAGAACTGGATTAAGCCGAAAAACTATATTTGTTCGCCTTTTTCAAAAAAACCATGTTCTGAGGATGTTCAAATTTTCTGGAAACTAATTCGTGTGATCTATAAATATTTTTTCAGATCTTTCGGTATAAACGAAGATAGAATGTACGCAGAAATGCTCTCGTTATGTCGATACTGCCGCTGCCTATTCTGGCGATCTCTAGGTCACCCGTGTATAGCGGACCAATGCCCCGAATTCAGGGCGAAGCTCCAGGAAGCTGGGGGCATCGCCCCTCCTAGTCCAGTGCCCCCATCGGCATTTTTGAAATTTTTTTCGTTGTAGGCATCTTCCTAATTGATCAATTGCATCGTGTCGTCGTACTTAGTTAGGTAGTGCATCTCTGATTTGATGATATAAGCAAATCTGCATTTGCAGGTCTTTAGAATCTGGTTGGTATTGGATAAACATAGAAATTCTCTTTATAATTTGTGTTACATTTTCAACACTTTATTTTCATTTATGTTTTGTCTATAATTGTATTTTATTATCAAATTTGAAGTAGGAAGAGTGACAGCCATGCGTTGATATAAAAATAATAAGTTTAGTATTCCGAACTGGGTTAATTCTAAAAAAAAATGGAAGTTATACGACCTTTGGGCTCTTAAAGAACAAGCAAAAGCTAAAAGAAGGAAACATGTAGACAAACTTCTTAATGTACATATATTTAAATAAAAAATGTCATAAATGCGATCCATTTAAAATGTTCAGGGCTTAAAATCTCCCTTACGATTTTTTTTTCTTTGGAAAGTTGCAAGGAGAGATGATTTCTTTATTCCGTCTCTAGTCTCGCCAGTGTGATATCCAAAAAACTGTTCCTCATGACGCATATACCTGTTTTTAACCAGATCAGAGATGCATATGTGCACACAGCTTCAAATCAATAGTGTTGCAATTTTCTTCGCAACATACTCGTGTATGGTCATATAGTCGGATACAGCGCTATATATGAGACACCAATCTCTTCAAATTAGATTTATAATTAATGCGGAGAGGAGAAACAGATTTACATGGATGACGCCAGGATATATCGCATTTCATCTCGGATTTTTTGGACGCTGAAATACAGTACGTGGTTGGCTATCTTCAAGTAGAATACATTAATCAATGCTGAAGAAACTGTTGATGTAAAACAGGTATTAGATATTTGAAATTTTATAATACCAATGCAAGTCATGGTGAGATATGTATAGAAATCGGAAATACCTATCCCTCGTTCGTAAAAACTGATTATGCTGATGATGATGATGACTATCTGATAATTTAAAGGCCTACTTAAATTCTGTATTTTGAAGAGCTAAGGTTTGGCAATATCAATGTATGACATATACATTTTTGGAATCAGAAATAAAAATTCTATTCTGCTGTGCAAAAATCCGATATGGCATCTAAAAAAATAAAGTTGATAATTACATACAAGAGAAGAAAACGTCCTTTCGAAAGTCTACTTGTGCCGTCTTGTAGTGTTAATGTACCTTTTATTTTGGAGTCCCATCTCAAGTAAAGTCAGGAAAAAATAAAAAACGATTTTGGGAAAATTCTGTTTCTTTCGATTATCTCCGGAAATACCCGGAATTGCGAAACTTTCTTACTACCGTATCGTCAGTCGTTCCTACAATATTGTAGGACGCCTTTATGGCCTCCTTGATTTTCACACTTTTTTCTCTCCTTCAGAAAGGCTGGGGTATTTCCAGATTTCTACTGTTCCGCATCAGCGTCATCGCTCTCCTATTGTGGGGTTGTGCCTTTTTTTAAGTGTAGAAAATTTCAGGCTGATTAAACAGATGATATAAATCAAGAGCATGAACTATTTTGTGCAAATAGATATTTCTAACATAACCTCAAAATAGAGCGCAGACACTGAAGGACAGGAAAAACTATGGAAATCAAGGAGGCCATAAAGACGACCTTCAATTGTAGGAACGACTTCTTGGTTACCTAAATGCGCAACGTTGCCCCCGTTCAACAGACTTCGTATCTCTTACCGTTTCCTAGATCTTAATATACCCTATTTCACGAGTATCCATAACGCTTTAACGTCTACTAAGGTGAACAGCTAATCAGCAAGTGACATTTTTGTATTAGTCTGCGACGTTGGCAATAGTGCATCGCGTGTAAATCTAGTAAAACTTAATTGTAGCGTCCTGTGGCGATATGGGGAATTTTGAAATATTACTAGATAACTAGCTGTCATTGTCCCGTGACGGATACTCGTGAAATAGTGAATAGTCGAATTTGAAATACCCGATATGTCTACATATATGGGTAAATAAAGTTTCGATTTTGCCACTATTTTGTGAATTACCTCATAGGTTATTTAAAGTATGATTTGAAGCAGTGTGAACATCCATCAAAAATGTATATCGCCGTTTAGTTTTTTACTGTTTGATGTTAGACTCTGTTTTGTTAAAGCTAAATTTTTTCGCTTCTAGATAGAGTTGGGGAGTGTGCAAAAATGTTTTCAGTTAACAATCTCTAACGGTTTTTTGTTTGCTGCTAATATGATAAGATTTAGGAATAATATTGATGATATTGTATGTATAGAATATCGTGATTGTGTAATGGCGATTAAATTCGAAGCCAGACTATATTTATTTTCACGTATTAGCTAAGAGCTAAGAGTGCAAGTGCTGTGATGTATAAATGTGTGAATGTGATGTTTGTTGGAAACAGTCCAAAGAAGTAAGCCAATGTTTGTAGTATCGTACGGAATAAATAATTAACCTTCTTCAGTCATTATGGAGGCTACACTTGGTCCTGCCGCTGATTACGAAGTGCAGTTTTTAGAGGCAAAAATGAAAAATTCCATTGAAATTCATTGAAAGTTGATAATACGTTTCGAAATTTCTTGGGTAAGAATTTATATGAGCGTACTATAAAGAAAGCATTGTTCTTTACTATAAATTATTATGCTTGAACCATTTCAGTGTAATGTTTTCTGTGATTTTTTGCCATGATCTGCCTATGTCCTATTGGCTAATTTCAGTTCGTGGCCACATAATCGATCACTTTTTTTATTCTGGTATTTATATTTTTGTGGAAAGAACAGATTTTCAATATTCATGCATTATTTCGATGTGAGGTAGCTATGAACCATACATCTGTGAAAGGTTCTTTTCAATTGAAATTCAATATATTTCAACTGTCTTTAAATTATTTTCATCATGCGCGCTCGAAGGGGGGTGCAAGGGGCCGTGCCCCCCCCCCCCCCTTCGAAATCCAATTAGACCTCTAAGAGATTGCATATTTATCATGTTTTCGTATGCACTCTGCGAAAATCATAAGTTCGTCAACTTTGGCCTAATAGACCAGGTTAAAAATCGCTTTTCAATAACCTATCACAAAATACTCTTCGGTTTCTTATAGAGTAAGATTCAAACTTTAATTTATATATTAAAAAATTTAAATATTCGACATTGTTTTTAAGCATTGATTATACCCATTTTTAGGGTTTTTCATACACTAAATCGCTTATAGCTCGAAAGTTGTACACTTCAGACAAAAGTTACTGGAGGCCTCTTTTATTTAGAATCATTATAAAAACCGACAAAAAATGTTCGGGAAAAATGCATTGCAGTTCATTAAAAAAAAATGTTGAGAGAAAATTGATTTGGGTTACCGTGTACAGTATACTAAATGCTTGAAATCTCTATTAACATTATAATTTTTGAGGTTGTATAAATTGTAGCTAAAACCTTATTTTAACGAAATTTTTAACCTAGTTTATTTGTTGAGAAAATTTCCTGAGGCCGCCCATGGTTCTCTTTTTATATGGCTTTTTCACTATGTCTCGTGCAATAGCAAAATTTAAGATGTACTTGGAGTGAAAATAACTTTTATTGTAATATAAATGAGATGGAATTATTTAAGAAATATTTTGAAGATGGAGGGCGTGTGAATTGTAGCTTTAATTATATTTTAAGTACACGACCTTGTATTATGATTAATTTTTTGCTTGTTGTGTACTGTGATAAATACAAGTTTATATTAATATCGTGACTATAATAGGCTGCTATGTTTTTCATAGATACTCTATATCAGATCCTGAATTATAACAAACATATTTTTACTTAACATTCTCTTTTGGAAAATATTAATTTTTTAATGTTAAGCTAAAACTCTAAAGTCTATTTTTCAATGTTAAACATATTTTTTAGATCAATAAATCACTTGAAAAAATCCTGTTTCATTTTATTATTGTGTGGTGTGAACCTTTCTATTTTAAGAAAGATATAGGTTTGGTCTCAGATTCTGAACCTCTGTTTCATCATATTGAAGGATTCCCTGAAGAGTTGAATAAAAACTGTATTCAAATCTATGCATTTCTTTCTCCCATTCTTTTTAAAATATCCAGGTTGCATGCTCTTTCACTCAACCTTACAAAGGTACAAAGAAAATATTGCAAGAATGTGAATTGAATGGTACTCTGCATCATCTGAACGATAAAAATTGAATATACAAATCGTATTATCAGGTAACCAAATAAGTTCGTGCGGTTTTTAGTAGAAAAATATAATTTTTTATTGAGAAACAATAAGACACTATTTATTCGTCGAAGTAATTACCATCACATTCAATGACCTTTTGCCAACGTGGAACCATTTTTTGTATGCTGATATTGTAGAACTCCATAGGTTTGGAGTCCAAAATATGGCGGACTGCATTTATTACACCATCTCGAGTTGTGAACTGTCGGTGCCTCATACAGTTGTCAAGAGACAAAAAAAGGTGAGAATCATCAATCAATGTTGGGAGAATATGGCGGGCGCGGTAAGGTTTCCCAGCCGAGTTCAGAAATTTTTTCTCGGGTCACTTTTGCGGTATGAGGCTGCTCACAATAGTTAGCAGTGATGGTTTGACCCCTTTTCAAAAGCTCATAATGGAGAATTCTAGTTGCTGTCCACCAAAAACACAACAAAACCTTGTTTGGGTGCAAGGAAGGCTTGGGCGTGTGTGGTACCGAATCAGTAGGCGACAACCAATGATACGAGCGCTTAGAATTCAAATACAAGATCCATTTTTCCTCGCAGGTTAATAACCGATTAAGAAATGGTTCATTAGCGTTGCGTGAAATGTTTGCTGAACAAATGGTAAGATGACTTAATTTGTTATCATTTGTCAGTTCATGTGGGACCCATTGACTTAACTTCCACGTCTTTCCTAGCTGATGGAGATGCAAACGAATAGTTTCAGGACTCACTCTGAATATTTCTGCAAGTTATTAGCTCGTTGCACTGGAATTTGAGTCCACAACCTGTCGAAGATCCTCGTTGTTCATGATTTTTTGTCTCCCTGAGCGCGGTTCATCGCTCAAACTGAGATCTCCTAAAGAAAAAAATTTTAACCACTTCTGTGCTGTTCGATCACTAATGGCATCATCTCCGAATGCGATACATATTTTTTACCCAGTTTGTACCTACTCATACAGTAAACAACTTCGAATTACTGTTTTATTCGTCGGTATTTTCAATTAGTAAAACTAGGTATGTAACAATTTTTAGCAACTTTTTATGTGTGACAAAAGAAGGATTCATACTAAGGTGACAACAGGTAACAATCGCTATCGATAAACAACATCCATGGCAATGTGCGATATACAGCAACCGCACGAACTTATTTGGTTACCTGATAATTACATTGTTGCTGTTTTTTAAAAATTTGACTCTCAAATGCAAGGTCTCTCAGTCCTACAAACTCCTTGAGAAATGCTGTTATATCCCTTAGCTATTTGTTAGGTAGAGCTCCTTTTACATACACTGAAATTTGTCTGACGGCTTAAGTTAAATCTGTACGAGAGAAAAGTGTTTATAGGACATATGTTAGAAAGTTATGCGAACATTTTCTGATTACGCTGCAGATTGCACGATCTTCTAAGTCACCGTTGCTGACCAGCCGGCTTCTATCTCCGTCTAACGCGTGGTGATACACACTTCTCTGGTACACATTTAACTCAATCTGTCAGATAAAATTTGTTTTCCCTGTATACCTAGTGGTCATATGGGTAATAAAAACTTTGGATCTAATATTAGTATAGTGAACATCTGTTTGAAATTTAATTTTTGTAAATCAAGCTGAATGGTCTCTTTTGTGTAATAATTTGGTAATCGCTGAAATTTTGAATGTCTCTCATACTGATCTATTTCGTTTCTGAAAATTTCCAAAACGTGACCATATTTTCTGATACCCTTTTTCTGAGCCTAACACAAAAATTTTAGCCATTTTGAAGCTTTCAGTATCCAAACAGCTATCGTATATACCTGAATAAGTGTGCAATATTCTATCAGCGGTTTCTAGAGCTTAAAATAGGAAGAAAAGTTTATATAAACATAGGTCGACAAACGTCCCCTAAGGGCGCTACGGTCTTTTAAAAGGGCTCCCCTGAAGATAGTTTTTCCTTAATATTTCCGAAACGTGTTGAGATAAAGACATAAAATTTGGTAGTCTAGCCTAGTTTTTTATAATGGATTTAAAAATATGTATTAACAATTTTAGACAGTTTTGTTTGGAAGCGTATGTAACAGGGAAGGACTCGGGTTATTTTAGCCCCAAAATTTTTGTGTGATTCTTTTTTTGAAATTCAATATTAGAATTTGAAAATTTAGGGTTTTCTACATAAAAACGGTACTTATTGAATATCGATAAATTGTGCCATTTTTGAATAAAATCAAACTAAAAAATTTGTCACATGATAGGAAATGTACCTACTGCGAATTTAAATGAATTCTTGAATAATTATCCGTGGCAATGAAAAAACTAATTTAATAATTGGTAAATATTACATAAATACATATTTCTATTGCAACATAGGCAAAAACAAAAGAAATAAATTTTTTCTACGAACGAAATTGAAATTTGTTTAAAAAAGAAGACATACAGTTGGATATACTTAAAACTAGCTTTACGATAAGTGTTCAAATAAATTCCCATTTTGTTGGATACAGAGTCTCACTCGACGAACTAATGATTGCGTAGCCCGAAAAGTGGAAAACCTTTTTCTTCTTATTTCATTTGCAGCCTGAAGGATTCTTTGCAGTAAATCTTCTTGAGTATTCAACCAATTTCGAACATTGCGTCCAAAATGTGCAGGGGCGCCATCATGTTGAAAAAACATATTTTCTTGAAACTGCTGGTGCACATCCAATGGTATTATATCCATGAGCTCATTCTGAAGAAAGTTCAGATACACCTCTGAATTAAGACAATTGGGAAGTACAATAGGCCCAATTACTTGATCCCCAATTACTCCTGCCCATAAGTTCAATGAAAATCTATGTTGGAAATTTGTACCTCGAACAACTTTTGGATTTTCATCTGACCAGTGATGCATGTTATGGAAATTAAAAGCACCATTCCTAGTAAATATTGACTCACCCGACCATAATATTCTAGGAATAGTGTTTTCATTTGCTAATATCACTGGCAAAACTCGATTCGTGTTAAAAAATCAGCCTCCGTTACATGCTGCACCCGTTTAAAATGATAAGGATGTAATCCTTGCATTCTTGTCATTCTTCCTATCTAAAATTATTATTTTTAGAATAACTATCAAATAGGTATTCATAAATTTTTCTTACTATTGATCGAGGTATATCCATAATTTCTGAAACATTTCCTATGCTTATTTGCGGATTATTTTCAAACATATTTAAAGCAATATACATACGATGATTTCCCAGTGGCCTTCCTGAGCCCTGCATGCGCTGAAAACTTCTATGGTTTAACAAATTCCGGTGAATATCAGTAAACATTCGACGTCCAGGTATTATGCGATTGGGAAATCTTCTTTGGTATTCTCTTACGGCTGCCAATGAACTGCCATTGCAAAACCCGTACACAAAATGCAAGTCAGTCAGTTCTCTTTTAAATCGATTTAATAAAAATTTTGATTTTAATCTAGTATTTTTATACTGTTAAGAATGTCAGCTTAACGTCAAAATAAGTCATAACAAATCAAAACAACTTTTGTTTGCAGTCATGGCTAACTATGTATAATCAACAATTCATTTAAATTCGCTGTACATTTCCTATCGTGTGACAAATTTTTTAGTTTGATTTTATTCAAAAATGGCACAATTTATCGATATTCAATAAGAATACCTTTTTTATGTAGAAAACCCTAAATTTTCAAATTCTAAAATTGAATTTCAAAAATAGAGTCACACAAAAATTTTGGGGCTGAAATAACCTGAGTCCGTCCCTGTTACATACGCTTCCAAACAAAACTGTATAAAATTAATATTTTTAAATCCAGCATAAAAAACTAGGCTAGAATACCAAATTTCATGTCTTTATCTCAACACGTTTCGGAAATATTAAGGAAAAACCATCTTCATGGGAGCCCCTTTAAAGGACCGTAGCGCCCTTAGGGGACGTTTGTCGACCTATGTTTATATAAACTTTTCTTCCTATTTTAAGCTCTAGAAACCGCTGATATAATATTGCACACTTTTTTCGGGACATCCTGTATATATATATATATATATATACGAGGGCGGTTCAATAAGTACCGGTGTTTGACGACAGAGGGTGTTCCTGAAGGAAGTTAATGTTATCATCGTGTGCTGACATCTATCAGACGACGGCACAACAAATTTTAGACTGATTGATAGGTTAGTTTGGATTTATCATTCGAGTAACACGTGTTTCATGATTTTCGCTAAGATGGAAAAAGAGCAGTATCGTTCGGTAATTCGCTTTTTGTTTTAGGATGGAAAAAATGCGAGGAGATAAAAGCAAAGTTGGATGCTGTTTATGGGGGCACTTCGCCATCTATGACCACAGTTAGATATTCGATCAACGAATTTAAACGTGGGCGAACATCCGTTTTTGATGAGGATCGACCAGGATGCGCGGCAGACGTGGTTACCGAGGAAATCATTCAAAAAGTCCACGACATGATTCTCGCTGATCGACGAACGAAAGTGCGCGAAGTATCTGCTACTTGGTGCCTCTGCGGCCGTAGGTGTGTCAACCGGAACGGCAATCAATATCTTACATGATAAGTTGGCTATGAAAAAATTGTCGGCCCGATGGGTGCCGCGATTGTTCACGGTGGATAACAAGCGGATGCGGCTGTTAACTTCGAAGCAGTGTTTGGAGCAATTTAAGCGAAATCCGAAGGAGTTTTTGCGTCGTGTTGTCACCGTCGATGAAACCTGGATTCATCATTACACACCTGAAACTAAGCAACAATGGATTTCTCCCGGTGAATCTGCTCCAAAGAAGGCGAAGACGGTCCCATCGGCTGGAAAGGTCATGGCGATGATTTTTTGGGATGCGAACGGCGTGATCCTCGTGGATTTTTTAGAAAATGGAAAAACGATCACTGGATAATACTATTGTGAGCTATTGGACCGCTTCGAAAAAAAGTTGGAGACACGGCCACATTTGACGAAACAGAAGGTGCTGTTTCACCACGATAACGCACCAGCACATTCATTTGCGTTATGAAGTGCTGCTGCACCCGATCTGGCCCCATGCAACTTTTTTTTGTTCCGTGACATGAAGAAATGACTCGCGGGGAAAAAAACTCAAACGAGGAAGTCTTCGCCGAGACATAGGCGTATTTTGGACAGTTCGACAAATCCTATTTTTTGGGGGGTTAAACAAATGGCAGGAACTTTGAGAAAAGTGTACCTTTCTAAAAGGGAAAATAAAGATTTGTTTTGGAAAAAAATGGTGTCTTCATTTCTAACACGGGTAATTATTGAACCGCGGCTGCTATGATGCTGCAATACTACAAGATTTTCACATACTTTTTTTTTAGTCAAGCCTTCTTTATCTGCAAAGTAATGTGACAAGACAAGGGCGGATTCAGTATTTCGTCTAGGGGGCTGGTCATTTTTTAACCTCAGTGCAACTCCTAGAATTTATCCTATTATTGCTCCTTAAATCCATTATTTTCTACCTGGCTTAAAAAAAACATGTAAATTGCTCGGAAATCCTCAGAAAGTCAATATTTTATTATATGAGAACAAAATAAGTATGTGGCATTTATAATTAACTAGTGTAATAATATTAAAGATTCAAACATAAAAAACTTCATTGCTCTGTTAACCGACAAAAAATAAATATAACATTCTGAGGGACCCCGAGACATATCCCAGTCCATTCCACACAAAACAATGTCTTTAATTGGGAAAACAAACATGATACCAAAAAATTCACATTATCGTATGGACGCTAGACAAGAGAAAGAAGGATGTCTGAGACCATCTATAGATCGTGTCTTGAGACCGTCTCCAGACTGTCTATAGAGAAATTGCGCAACGGGGTCTACTAGTATGCAATAAGCTTAAGAATTAATACTCTGAACTGCCCATTAAACAAATCAAGTGAATGGTGCAAATACTGACACAATCAGGCACTTCTATCTATTATATCAGCAGTATGAGGCATGTATTCTTCCTTTCCGACGTGGATAATTTCGGTTATCGAAGAACAGACAGCCGTCGCATTCGCGTCAGTGCAAGAGACATATCTCCAAGGAAAGCCAGAGAAGAAGTCTCCGAGTCCCTCCCAGTCGGCATGTCCGTAATGCCAATTTTTGCGGCCTGAGCGAGTTTCTGCTGAAACAGCGGGTTCTGACCGAAACCTAACCTCCACAACACAGTGGTCTGAGTTACCCAGGGGAGACAGGACAGCAGAGCTGTAAGGGACAAGATGCGTGGTCAGAAAGAGATCCAGCAGGATACTGGCTTGTGACGAGACGCGGGGAAAAAAGTAGGGCCCGTCACCAGCTGGGTCAGCCCTCGAGTATGGGCGAACGCTTTAACTGCACGACCTGCTGCATCGGTCTTGTTTGAGCCCAACCAAGGCAAGATCTGGTCATTGAAATCACCGAAGAGAACTACATCTGGAGCGAAGTGATTGATGTTCAGGAATTCGACTTTGACGGCGAGGTATTCAAGAAGGTCATCCCAGTTATGTTCCGATGGGAGCGATAAAGGCAGCAAATAAAATTGAGGGATGTTTTGGAGTTGAGGCGAAACCACAGAATGTCCTTCCGGTCTGATTCCAGAGAAACATCTCTGCAGCAGGAAAGACTGCAGCGGACAAAGGCCACAACTCCCCCGCTTTTTCTCAGATTGGAGTGCACATCGTAATTTGGTAAGCTAAGATGGTTAATCAGTGCGGACTCGAGATTTTTTTCTCCGCCAAGAAAAGCATGGCGGGACGATTGGATTGCAAGTAGTGATGATCAGCATCAATGTTGCTGTTAATCCCGCAGATGTTTGTGAAACAAATTTTATCTTCCATGTTGTTCCCTCGAGTCCACCCTCCACCTGGACATGCTGAGAGTGGAGTGAGTTTACATCCGGAATTCTTAGTACTCGAGGGATCCATCATCAGTAATTTCTTTGTTTTGGAAGATAACCGACTGGATAGCTTAGGTGTGGAAACATGCGGCCATTTATAAGACACCCTGGGAAAAGATATAGGGTGGTACCGCCTCGGTCGACTGGTCCTTGTCTACCACCTTCTTTTTGCGTGTTAATGATATTAAATAGACCTAAAGTGGCCCGTTGTCGGACTTGTACTGCCACCCGGTAATCGGTACTGAGGTATTCCTTACCGCGTGTACAATCACTTGTATGGGAAGAAGTTGTATGCTGGATACAACAACGTCCGCAGCAAGCATTTGCCACTGCTCCGCTCAGTAGGGGTAGTCAAATATTTTTTGGTAAATTCAATATAGATGTTAGTTATTTTTCAGACTTTCATTGTCGAACTTAGATTTACGGCATAGTTGTTTTCTCAGTTTTTGAACGGTGTTGATCGCATGTAGAAATGTTGGAAATAAGTATATCTGTTGGAATGTAATTATTTTGATAATGTATGTTTGTAACTAAACAAGTACAAGAATACAGGTATAGTGCAGCAGCTCTGTGATTTAAATGAATTCAATATAGCAACATAAATGGACACATACGCGAGAAGAGATGCGGTATTGATTTTGAGCATCGATCGACGCAGTTTCTAGAAAGGCCACAGGCGCACCTCTAAACAAATCTCATAAATGTCTATTTCCAATTCAGGCATTCATCTAACATAGTGCTTCGCAACCCCAAACAAAATCAGTCAAGCTTTACACACTTTTCAAATTACTATTGAGCAACAAACAGAACATAAATCACTTTCTAAGTTCAATCTGTATAGCTAATATATTACCCAGACTTCGATTTGTCACAATACTCATATATACATATAAATCGTAAGAGTTGTAAACAAGTCATGTTAAAGAGTTACATCATTTGGAATATACCAAAGAATCATAGTGCTCAGTTCCTATAACAGGTGGGCTGAAAAGTCCGTATCGTTTCTATGAGATGGCGCCACCAGAATAAAATCCATACGCTTCTTAGCTAGTACCAACCTTCAAAAGATGCCTGTCAAAATTTGACAGCTGTCGGATCATTAGTTTTTGAGTTATCGTATCGAGAGTGACGCTACTTTTGTTATTTTTGAAAACCATGGAAAGTCAAGAGTTTCGTGTGTTAATGAAACATTATTTTTTGATGAAAAAAAGTGCCGTCGAATGCAAGAAATGGCTTGATGAGTGTTATCCGGACTCTGCCCCGGGCGAAGCAACCATTCGCAAGTGGTTTGCTAAATTTCGTACCGGTCACATGTCAACTGAAGACGACGCACGCAGTGGACGCCCAAAAGAGGTCGTTACGGACGAAAACGTGAAAAAAATCCACAAAATAATTTTGGGAGACCGCAAAATACGGTTGATTGACATAGCTGAGGCCTTAAACATATCAAAAGAACGTGTCAGTCACATCATTCATGAATATTTGGATATGCGAAAGCTCTGTGCGAAATGGGTGCCGCGCAATCTCACATTTGACCAAAAGCAACAACGCATCGACGACTCTGAGGCCTGTTTGGAGGTGATTTTGCGCAATAAAACCGATTTTTTTCGCCGATACGTCACCATGGATGAAACATGGCTCCACCACTACACACCGGAGTCAAATCGCCAGTCGGCCGAGTGGACGGCTGCATCCGAACCACCTCCGAAACGTGGAAAGACGCAACAGTCAGCAGGCAAGGTTATGGCCTCTGTTTTCTGGGACGTGCAAGGAATTATTTTCATCGACTATCTTCAAAAGGGCCAAACTATCAACAGCGACTATTATATAGTGTTACTGGAGCGTTTGAAGGCCGAAATCGCCAAGAAACGGCCACAAATGAAGAAAAAAAAATCTTGTTTCACCAGGACAATGCGCCGTGCCACAAGTCCATGAAAACGATGTCGAAATTGCATGAATTGGGCTTCGATTTGCTCCCCCATCCACCGTATTCTCCGGACCTTGCTCCAAGCGACTATTTCCTCTTCTCAGACCTTAAGAGAATGCTCACCGGAAAAAAATTTCACAGCAACGAAGAAATCATCGCCGAAACTGAAGCCTATTTTGAGGACAAGCCGAAGGATTACTACCGGAAGGGTATCGAAAAACTTGAAGAACGTTATAATCGCTGTATAGCCCTTGAAGGCAACTATGTTGAATAATAAAAGCGAATTTTGACGAAAAAAATATTTTTTCATTGAAACGATACGGAATTTTCAGCCCACCTGTTAGCTATAACTTATAGTTAGTATGCCTCTATTACCATAATCTGACAGAAAGTAACACAATGGTGTTAGATTGCAAAAGCAAATGTCAGACGTCTAGGGGTGGGCGCGCGCCCCCTCTCTAAATCCGCCAGTGTGACAGCACATATTTTGCAGCCCTTAATTTTGATACTACAAAACTTTCATATCAGCATTTACTGTGTGATGTAATCTTCAAGTATTTACCATGGAATGCGACATTTATTGACCAGGATAAATGGTCAATAAATAATGCTGCTGATACTTATTGATATATAAGGGTATGTAGAAATCCACCAATATTGGTGAAATCATCAGAAAATACTGATGTGCGACATTTACCTTACCCTACCTTTAACTATGCATTTAAAAAAGCTGCTAAGTAGATATATTACAAAAGAAAGAACCCCATCCATACACATACATTCTTTAGTCTTATCACAATACAACTACAAATCTACTTTTCTAATGGAGCGTAATTCAGCAACTTCTCAATCAAGTCCACGTGTCCCAAAAGCATTCTTCTACAGCAATATCTTTTGAGTCCAAGGGCGTCCAATGCATCACCTTCGGTGTATTCTGCTTGGAGGAGCCCTAGGTATGCCTCCCATTTGTTGCCTATGACTTTCCCGCATGTGAAACAACGGACAGGGATGATCATTATGATCTAAAAATCATTTTCTTATAATTACATATGCAGTTGATGGATGAACTTTATACCCTACCTGAAAGACTTATAATTCCAAACAAAACGTAATTTTTGCTGTCTGCCTAAATAAAACAAAAATAGGTTTGTATTATTTTCTAACCACAAATGTTTGACATTTGTGACTTGACAGCTGTCATAAATATTATTGACGTTTTCGACAGTAACAGGTACGTTACAATTTACCCAATCTGTTTTACAGTGTCGCCAGAGCATTCGAATTGTCTATATTTCTGTGATTGAACGTTATAGAAATTTAAAAATCCGTCATGTTCACAATGTAATCTTGTGATGTGCGTAAATAGCGTTTGTACGATACCCTTGATTAATGTAATTCTACCTGGTTGAAAACGTTAATCAATGAAGATACCTTTTCCACAATTTGGTGTGATAGGTTACATCTGGTCACAACCACAACATGAAATTTCCAATTTTTTGCTGCATGAATTCCAATCATATTGTAGTTCTCATGTAAAATTTAGGTACCAGCTTTAATTTTTTAAAGGTATTTCAACTATTATTCAAGCATTTTATGAAAACTTAGCTAAATATAATAGTAATTGCAAGTTCTAAAGGAAAACTTGAACCTTGTGGTGAAACAATTTGTAGAAAAGTATGAGAATACAGAGATCTCAACACTTAAGCACCTGATAAATTATACAAAAAAAAAGAACAAAGGTTAATAAGAAAAATTATATTAATTAAACTTAAGTTCCAGTTTTTGTTTTGTGTAAAAATCTGAGAACAATATTACAAAAAACCTCTCAGTATGAGAAACTGTTGTCCAACAATAAACATAATGTCAGACCTACTTACACACAGAAATTTTGGTTGAAAAGTGAACTAATATTCAAAGAAATTAAATACTTAACTTATTATCTATTATACATAATAAAACTACTTTAATTTTAATATTGACATTAACTTCAAATGACAATAAGAATAAGTTTACATAAAAAAGAGAAGCTCAACACAATCCACCAGTCTGCTGCTGATACACTTCAATTGTATCACCTTCTTCCATGTCTAAAGAATTTGGGGTGTCAGCATCGTTTATAGGGTTGCCATCAAAACGGAATCGAACTACTTGGGTACTGATTCCCTGTAACAAAAGAAAAAACATGTTTAAGGCAGAATGCCTGCATTAATATTATAGCACATCAAATTGATAATGTAATTAATGATTTTTTTCATTTCATTGTAATTTATAGTCTTATAAAAAATAATTTATAATGAAAAGTATTTTTCACTCTATAAAGCAACACAACAATGTTTTTAGCTTTAGCAATTATTACAGATTTCAAAAATGTTAACCTCAGCTACAACTGGTTTGAATTGAGGTGTTAAGCTAGTTGTAGTAGTACTATGAAATTTCAAGTAATATGTTTGATAGATTTTTTGATGAAGGTCTTACAATTCAGATAGTGTAACATAAAATTGAATAACATGTCAAAAAAAAAAAAGGAAATCGGAAATTATTCTAATTACTGCTATAAGTCATGCATATTACATATTATATGTGTAAGATTGATAATGATCAGGAAACCCTTATAATGGGTGATTCAGAAGACAGCCATGGGAATCAGGTTGGACCTGGAAATTTGCATATTTAGCATTTTGAGAGAAAATTTGTTTGCCTTGCTTATCAACAAGTTTTTGGGCAGGTACCTACACTTTCACAAAAAATTATCCCTTACTAATGATAAGGTCTCTTTGAGAAAAATGCCTGTGGGTGACCATGGCAGGACAACATTAATGCTATTTAGTCCCATCAGTGGCACAGAAATTTAAAATACTCTGTATCTTTGTAATGGAACAATTTAAGACATATGTTAATAGTAGCTTCACTCTTTATTTTCTTAAGAATTCAGAAGTATAATTTTGCAATAGAACCTAATGATTTACATATCTTGGAATCAAATAACTGAGTAACTTGCCATCCTAGAGAGAAAAATGCCTCAAACTAAATATTCTTCTGATTTTGAAGTGAATTATCTTAATAAATTTTACACAATTTGCCAAAATATTAACTAGCAAAATTGTATGAATACCAAAGCTTAATATAAATGGTTAAAGGCTGTGTTGCCAGTCGTTCCTAAAATATATTGTAGGACACCTTTATGGCCTCCTTGATTTTCATATCTATGTCCAAAGCGGCTCTATTTTGATATGTTACAAATATCTATTTACATCAAATTGTTCATACTTGATTTTTATCATCTGTTTTATTAACCTTGAAATTTCCTACAGTTCAAAAAGAAAACATAAGAGAGCACTGATGCTGACACAGAGCAGTAGAAATACCTTGAAAGTGAGAGAAGACTATGAGAATCAAGGAGGCCTTAAAAGCATCCTAAAATTGTAGGAACAACTGATGATATGACCCTAAGACAACATTCTTTGCAATACATGTATGTTAGATAAACAAAAATAAATGTTTCAGAAGGTGCATTATTAAGATTCTCATAATGATAAAAATTCTTGGAATCTCAACAAACAATAGTATATTTAGTTGATTAGATCACTATAAATGAACCTATAATATTTTTAAAATATTTGTGAAATGTTATCTCTTAGGATAATCATTAGGGACTTAACAAGCTACTATAACAAAGATTCTAGCATTTCAAGTGATAAGTTTTATTTGAAAACATTATTTGAAAAATTTACTGCTTAAGATTAATAATCTATTATGAAATGGCTCATATCTTTAATAATCTACTGTCTACACATAAGGTATGATTCATCATGATATGCTGATAATTCAATTACAGTAAAAACATATGTGCAAGAAACATTTGTCTTAATATATACAGGGTGCTTGGTACATGAACCAAAAAATTTTTTGGAGTGATTGGGGACACTATTTGATGATCGTTGATGCAAACTGCAATGCTCTAAGGGCTACACTTACTAAGATATGATCGCTTTTGCTGAATTACCTACAATTGTGCATAAATATTATAACCTTTTTGTTAGTCTCTGTGGATTATATAGTTTTAAATTCGATATTAAAAAATCTATACCATTTTTGAAACCTAGTTTCATTTACAAGACTCCTGTGATTTATTGCCTTTCCAACAATATGCTAGAGAAAAAAGTTATAAAGATATTTATGCACAATTGTAGGTAATTCAGCAAAGAAAAAACGATCATATTTCAGTAACCATAGCCCTTAGATCAGAGCAATGCAGTTTCCATCAAAAATCATCCCCAATCACCCAAAAATGTTTGTTGGTTCACGTACCAAACACCCTGTAGATATATGAACCTCACTCTTAATGAAATATGATATTGCTAAGCTTACATATCCACTCAAGAAAAGTACTCAAAGATATTCAAGGACACAATAAAAAAATTTCTCATGCCAGGATTTTTTCAGTGAGCATCTTTCTTGAGATAGTCAATGGGGCCTTCAGCGGTGACTTCCTCAATACAAAAATTGTTCGGTACTCAACAAAATTCTAGTGTCATTTCAATAGTGAATGGATATCATCAAACTACAAATTATCACGATTTTCAAGGTTTTCTTGGATCGAAGAAAACACGTATGTAAATGGAGGGAAATAACGTAAAACAAGCCTATACTTACCGCTCGCTCGCAGTATGCAGTCATAAGTTTCCTGAGGGGTGTGTGTCTTTTAATTTTAAACTGGACCACGGCGTTGTCTTGTCCAAGTACCTTAAGGTTAATGTGTTCGGCTTCATTTCCCTAAAAAAGAAATGCATTTTCACCTTCGTACGCTAACAAAAAACTTCGTGGTAAGGCTGTCACTATGGTTAGGAAAATGTTAACTAGCTTTACCTTTTTCTCGTCACCCATTGTGTAGCTGGTAGGCAGGAAATTTGAGGATCAGGAATTGATGTTCAACAAAACACTACAAATGTGTCACAAAATTAAAGAACTACAGAAATTTTACAAACACAAGAAAGCTTGCCGCTTGCAAATTATGATGGCCGGTTCCCGTGAAGCGGCAAAGTGGGCATAAGAAGTACGCGGCACGTCAAAAGTGAGTTGAAAATGGCGTCTTTTCCGGTTTGTGCCGAAATTTAAAAAATCTAGTATCGTCTGGAACCCCGTAATAGGGATATATATAAACTTATTTATTCCTAACGTCTGTAACTTGATTTCACAAACAAACTCAAAATAAAAGTATTAAAAAACATATTTTATCTGTGACTGAATACTTTATTTCCGCTTAAACCTTCGCGGGAAATTCAAATATTTTGAATAGAGATGGGGCTAAATATCAAAATTAATAATTTTTTGAAAGTAGTGTTTAAGAATTGAAAATATATGCAATTCCTAACACAATAATTGTTAGTAAATGCAGATAACGTTTGGTTAGTGGAATTTTAAAAAAGGAAAGGGATTAAATATCTACAAACAAAAAATGCAAGTCATCTGTTGAATAGGCGTGTTCAACAAACGGAAGGGTGACAAATACCAAAGACAACCAATCCCTCAATTCAGTCTGCGCAATACAGTGCGCATTCAGCATTTATCATGAGCCGAGTCGATTGTCCATCTCTATAGCTACTCGATACTCAATACTAAATAGAACTGGACTGCTAGTCTCAGACATCAGGTGGTATACTAATGATATTGCCACAATACTCACGTTATTATAACGGGCAAAGCAGACGATTCGCAAACATTCCAGGCCGCGCCTCGCACTGTGATCATAATTAAATTCTAAATTCAGACCAGCCAAAATTATTTCAGTATACAAAACCGATCAAAATTATTTTTTGGAGTTACAAAATAATTCGAATAGTCAAAGCAATAGTGCTTAAGCTATTTCGAATTATTTAGTTCTTTTCTTTGCTCTATTTCTTCCTTCCTTTCTTTCCTTCTTTCCCTTTTCCCTTAAACATGTTTGGTATCTGGGTATTAGCCGGACCTGACAGACTAACAGACCGACGAGACTTTTAACTAAGAGCAAAGGTCCACCGGACCGATCTGACGAATAATGACGAATAGTATAGCAGACGATTTTGTTCATATTATTTTCAATATTTAGAAATGTATTTCTGACATACCTTTGGTCGTTTTGTTACGAGTATTCAAGTTTTACATTTTCTATGGGCCAAAAGGTTAGGAAGGGGAGTTATTCTTTAAAAATCGGTTACTTTTATTCACGCTTTAAATGCCTAAAAGTACAAATCGCTTTTATTATGAGTGTTTACACTGTTCATAATTCCAAAGTTTCTTAAACCCTTCGTCATGTTCGAAAACTCTTTAGTCACGCATTTTATTTGCAAAATACGATCAGTATTCTAAAAGTTCTCACATGTTTTTTTTACTTTCACAAATTGGATTGTGAACATTTTTTGAGATGTTGACTCAGAAAGTTAACTGATTTCGAAAAACTTAAATTGTGAAGATTTTTACTTTTTCCTTTCATATTTTTTAAATTTCTGAGACTGTTTTTATATTCTTTTCCGCAAGATAGTAATGTATCTATCGAATTTAGGAGGACGGAAAATTGTTCAAGAGCATGCAATTCTTACTAACGATTTTACAATTGTTAAGTTCCGAAGTACACTATAGATACAACTGATAGATGATAAATTTGTATCGAAACTTTTGTCGACAATCGAACGTATGTGTTATATACTTATTACACATTGATAAGATAAAAAGCTTATTATACATTTATGAAACATTTCATAAAATAAGCCGCTAAGGAAATATGAACGAGACGACGAATGAGTTTTACGAAAATTTATTTACTCCAGGAACAGCTCTATCAGAACTTAAATTTGATGGGGTAAGTAGCATTGGAAGTTATTAACGTCTACATAAGTTGAGGAATATTATTTAAATGTCTAGTTATCTTATCATTCCTATACCCGCTATTTTTTTCATATAGGACAAAACTAATCTGCAATCTATATCGATATATTTTTTAGTTCTGTGACTGGTTTGTTAGATTATCTGATGTAAGCGTGCATTGGGAATATCAACCATCATATGTTTTGTCACAATGCTCTTATCTTCTTGGAGGTTTAATCACATTCATCCATGGTAAGATTTTTTACCCACATCTAAAGCATCTGTATATGATTTTTGTTAATAAAAAAAATATGAGTTACACATCTGAAAGTTATTCTGTGGTTGGATTGCAAATCAATATCCGCATGTTCACTGGTCGCCGACACCACGGATACATAATGTATAGAATTGAAGGATATCGAGGTGGCCAAAAAAACTCAGTTATTCTACTTCAGTAAGGTATATTCACTTGTTTGCTGTGTACCTGAGTAATTTTTAGGTTCTCAATTTGAATTTAAAATTTTTATTCCGATAAATTTCAGCTTGCAATCATGGCGGTCGACTTCCGTATTTGTGGCTGACTACGATTTTGCATGGACTTGCCGTAGAAAGTATTTCTTATATCCACCCTGATATCGATAACTTTTGGCATTCGCAAACCTTTTTGATATTTCTGGGACGAAGGCTTCCATTACATATAATAGTTTTATGTAAGTAACCACAACTATCTATGTAATTCAAAAATAGTGACTTGTAATAACTTTGCTTGCAACATATTTGAAAATGATTATATCAATGGTCACACCGCTAAAAGCTGCAATTCACTAGCAATTGAATGATGGATACAAAATATAAATATGCATCGTGTATAAGATTATTCTTCATTGATAACTATTACGATTTAAAGAAAGAAAAAATACAGCATTTCCTTCAAACAAATGAACCAGGAACACTCGTGGATGTTTGTTCATATTTTTCAGATCCCGTTTTCATCTACAACAGCTCCATAGCTGCAGCGAAAGCACGACTATCAAAATGGTCCGAACCATTCGCAGTTGGACTTTTAGTCGTACTCATTGACATAGCGTACGACATAGTATCAGTAAACTTCTTGCATTGGACCTGGCATGACACTGATCCAAATATATATGACAGACACTATTGGGTACCTTGGAACTCATACTATTTCCACGCTACTTTTGCTGCTAGTTTCACATTTTGGTTCCATTTCACCAGAGAGGTTTTTTGCGAAAGTGATGGAAAATGGTTGGCAGACAAAAGGTAAGAAGTTTAAAAACGAATATTGATAAGTGTGTTTCAAAAGGTATTTCGGGATTTAAAATAGGTTCCAACGACTTGGTTTAGAACTCGAGCCTCGGGACTGAAAACACATATATTTACAAAAGACAGGATAAGTTTTAAGTGTTAGGTACATTAAACTGTATGTGTTTTCAAAATTATGTGATGCTCCAATACGCAAGAACACTCCAGAAAAATGACCTTGACCATGACCTCAAGTGATTTAGAGGTCAACTTGTATCTTTTTGACAGCACCGATGGAATGAGCTGAACATTTTACGTTCTGAAATGAGTTTGATCGTGACCTTGATCATCATCTCAAAGTGATTTAGTTGTTAACCAATGTCAAGGTCAAGGTTACATTCAAACATAAATTTGCCTGTTCTCTTAATTTGTGAACCAAAAATTATGGTTCCATCTTAGATTTTCAAGCTGGCCTCTAGATGACCTCGAAGGTCAAGGTCATGACTTCGTAATGTAAAAAGATACGGCTCCACATGAAATTTTATAGATGACGTATTAATGGCCTTGAATTACATTTTCAGGGTCGTTACCAAGATATCCATTAGACTGCTCTCAAAACCGTGTAACTTTTAAGCATGCCCTCCGACTACAGACAGCCAACCATGGACAGCTGTTTCATGCCTTTTTATGTTCAATCTCTGTATAACAACATATTTTTCAGAATAGTCCGAGAACTCCTTTCTTCATTCATAACCGCTCTCTTGGGACCAATAGGAGGAATCCTAATGTTCCTGCCTCTGTACCATCCGCTCCATGACATGTACAACATCCACAGCGAGGTAACATACTCTGTCTTATTTGTTGTTTTCCTCCTGATTGTATGGACTGGAGATCGTGGTGCAAGAAGCAAATTTGCTGGAGATTCAGCCAATCACAAAGTCAGCTGGGCGACCTGGTTGATAGTGCTGCATCTAGTGTGTCACTATGCGACATTCTTATATATCGTGAGTTTTTTTAATCCCGAGGATGAAATTTCGACAGGATTGAAGGAACCGCTTGGACCTTGTGATAAGTACGTTCCGGTACAGACTGTACTTGGAATGGTAAGTACTGCTGTGATATCTGATATTAAGGTCACATTGGACAATTTTTGGAGGGGTTGAAAATTGGGGATTGTAGGGGGTGAAGGGTTGTAAATGTTGTATCTTTGGTATCAGTGAAAAGACGTTCTCTCGCTAATACCACGCACCTGTTAGACATTGTAACGAAAACACCGCTTTTTCTATTTAAACTACAATCTATTAGTCTCAGTAATTTGTTACAATATTTCCAACTAATTTATTACAAATGTTCGACCATGTCAACTCCACTATATTTCGCATTTCCCGCTGATGGTTACTCATCGTCGACTCAATGGAATCTCTTCTCAATTCCTCCGTCAGTTTGCCCATTTATCTTCAGACCGACCAATCCAAAGTCTTCTGGACAGAGCCTTCATCGAAGTTCTCGTTACGAGGGAGTCATAACATAATGGTTACACATATATCTTACATACTAGCTATTCAAACAGAAATATGATACCCGATAATATGATTTATTCCATATAGTTTTCAGATGTGGACATGCCTAATCCAGTTTCTATTCGATTTAGGTCTTTTGAATAGACTTGAGCCATTTTTTCTTAAATTCTTAAGTGGCACTTGTATAATTGTATCAGAATAAAAAAAGGCATGGGGAATACAGTAGAGTTGACCTGCTTAACGCCATTTTTTGTTTGCTTATAGACATTGAGGAAACGAAAATACCTGTGCGCCTCAGATTACGACGAAGGCTACTTTAATTGGCACTGTCTACCAAACGAAGAACCACCCAGGGACTACTCAATATGGTACACAGCCTGCGGTACTCCACTAGAAAATCGTGTGGAATTGCTAACTGTCACAGCAACAATTTGTATCATAGCATCAGTGGTTTTCTACAACTTGCATTTTGCATCTAGTGGTGACAATGTATTCACGAAAACTAACGAAGGAGGCAGAAAGGCTACTAAGAATAAAAAGAAAATATACTGATTAAGAGCAAATAGTTTTTGTATCTCCCAAAAATAACGAATAAAAGCACTAATGGATTGATATCATTGTGGCCATTCATACTATTTTTATTCTACCCAGCCTTTTTAGTGTTGTTCGCTCCTTACTTTGAACACAAAAAGACCGTGTACGTGAAAGGTTTCACAGCCACAGATACTCCGATTGATACGATATTCGATACCAAATTAGATAGATGCGTCCCATCTCTATCAATGAAGTTTTTTTGACTTTGTGCTTTTGGCAGTGCTAACCTAAAAATGAAAAAAGTTCAAGTACAGTTGCCTAACCTCTAACCTCAAAACAAAAATGAAAACAAACTAGAATTCAAAAGGAATCGTCTGGAACGAGAGTCCATAGAGAAAGGATGCCCAATGATATTCAACATTAAGGATTCGCTAGCTCTAGTACAACGAAAGCTCAGTACTGAAAATGCACGTTCGTCTTGGAAAGTGCTGTTTTTCGGTGCAGACAAGTTCTCACTTTACAGCCTTCAAATACTGTATAAAGAATAGTAAGTTTGCTCGACAAAAAATAAGAATATTGTTAATTTACATACTCGCTTTTAGTAAAAATGGAACCTTGTTGAAGAACTTAGAAATTGTAACTACAACTAGCAAAAATGCGAATCCTGTTCAAAAATATGCTCATGAACAAAAACTGAGGATTTATTCCTGGCCAGCACTGAACTGTCCCATTAAAGCATTTGATTTAGGAGTAGTGGTTTCATTTGGACATTTAATACCAGAAAAGCTTATTGACACATTACCACTGTAAGTTATATTTAATTAGCTGATTTTTTGTCATAAGTATTAGTAAATAGTGTAAATACTTTTTAAAAGGCTTGAAGACTATAATATACGTAGTCGTGCCATAAGTTCTGTCCCATGATAATCTCATGATAAAAATGAAACAAGATAAGATATATTTATATGAAAGATATTATTTATTCGACAACATTTTTAGAATTCATAATCAAACAGTTTTATTCAAAATGTCCCCCCTTGGCCTTCACACACTGCTTCAATCTCGCGGGCCACTCATCTATCACTGCACGCGCAGCTTCCAAAGGAATAGCTGCCGCTGATCGGATCAAATCCGCTTTCAGGGACTCGATATTACGGTGGGCTTTGGAGCAGGGCAACTGCTCTAGCAGGTCCCACAACTTGTAGTCTAAAGGATTGAGGTCCGGACTCCCTGAGGACCAAACTTCCGCAGCAATGAACTCTGGCACATTGCTTTCCAGCCAGCGCTGCGTACTCTTAGCCTTGTGAGCGGGGGCGGAATCCTGCTGGTAGACCCAGTGTTGGTTGGCAAACAATGTACCACTTAAAGGCTTGACGATAGGATCCAGTATGTCGCTCTGATAGTTTGCCGCTTTTGTTTTCACGCCCTGTTTACAGAAATGGAGCTGAGCGACCCCTTCGTAGGACACCCCCCACCAAACCATGACTGACGCAGGGTGGTGGCCTCTCTCAACTCTCGGAATGATCTCCGAAGCTTCCTGTGAACTCCTTGCATACACTTTGTCATTTTGTCGGTTGAATTTTTCTTCTATGGTGAAGATTTTCTCATCCGTGAACAAAATCTTTCGGAATCCCCCAGCTGCGTACCTCTCCAAGAGCTTCTTGGATCTTGTCGCCCTGATGTGTCGCAAGGTGGCCGTAAGTCGCTGGCCCGTACGTCTCCGGTAAGCCCCTAGCCCTAGGTCTTGTTTAATGATGCGCGACATCGTCCGGACAGGAATCTTCATTTCCCTGGATAGGATCTTCTGCTTCCGGAGTGGATTCCTTTGAATCCTGGCTTTTACGGCTTTGATGGCTGCTGGAGTCCTTACTTGACGAGGTCTTCCGCTTCTTGGCCTGTCATCAACAGAGGACGTCTCATTGTACCGCTGAATGGTCCTAGACACAAATTTACGCGATATTTGAAGGCCGCGTAAGAGTTCAAAAATCTGACTAGCACTGTGATTACACTTATGTAAAGCTATCACTGCAATACGGTTCTCTGCCTTGCCCCACTCCATCGTTATGCTTCGAGAGATCAATACAAACTGAGGTATATGTAATTACCCGAAAAGCGCTTAATCAACTGACACCACAATGTAAACAATCGGACAAGTATTAACAGGTCTACACTTGTTTGAAAACGAGGGACAGAACTTATGGCATGACTACGTATATATATATATATATATATATATATATATATATCCAGGTGTGGTTTAACCAGCCTTAAGACCAAAGCAAAATTTAGGACTCTGCTTCTATGTTTACTCACTAAAGTCTATTTATCTAAGAAACACACTAAACCAAAACAGTGTGTGATCAACATGATGATATACCTATTTCAATGGTAAAAACTATTTTTTTTCTTGATTCTAGTGGGATGATAAATGTGCATGCTAGTCTCTTGCCAAGGTGGAGGGGTGCTGCACCAATCATATACTCTTTGGCAAATGGTGACCCAGAAACTGGTATCACAATAATGAGAGTAAGGCCAAAGGCATTTGATATTGGAGAGATACTTATGCAAGAAAAGATCAGTGTAAGAAGCTGTGCTTTATGTTTTTCATAATATTATTAGCTATATGAGAAACAATAGCCCTTTTCATGTTTGTTTAATATTATTACATAGTTCTTTTTAATCATGACTTTCTGACAGTCCCAAATGGTCATTTACAATGGAACTCAGTGGTTCACTGTGTAGCTAGGGAACATCATACCATTCATTTGTATGAGTGAATGTAACACTATTTTATAGTCAGAAATTTTTTGTTGGAAAAAACTTATTGTATATTGCTTTTTTGTTTTTGTTCTTAGGTGTCTAAAGATATGAAAATGCCAGAGCTGTATGATACTTTAGGAAGGCTTGGTGCTGAATGTTTATTGAAAACAATTGAGGAGCTTCCTGGTGTACTTAACAGAGCTAAAAAACAACCAAGTGAAGGAGTTTCTTATGGTAAAAACTAAGTATAGTGACACATTACACTGGTCTGCAAAACAATTTTTTTCTCCTTAATGTTCTCATGCACATTAACATCATACTCGGCGCTCTAAACACGGATTTTAACCTGCAAATAAATACAGCAAATAGATTTTGACTATAATTTCAATTTAATTAAAAATGGTATTATCAAAGTAACAACAATTACAAAAAAGTGAAAAAAGACTACAGTCCAAGTTTTACAGCAAAATATGCTAATATTACAGTCACAAGTTAAAGAAATATCAGTAAATTTATCTCAATATGATAATTTAATTCAAGTTATTTTGTAGTTTTTTCTTTTCATCGTTTCCATCGAAGTTTCTCGGCGAATCGACCAACAAAAATCAGCAAGCATTGCCTCTGACCATTTTCCATTGTACAGTCTTTCCCTATGCATAATATCCTGATGAAACCTTTCACCATGCTCATCTGATACGGCAGCGAGATTTTCCGGTTTGAAATCTACATACGAGTCCAAGAAAGGAATTTTGAGTATTTGAGCATCCTAAATCTTTATAAGCAGAAGGAAGCTCTCAAATGCTTTGTCGGTAGTTGTCAGCTTCTGTATTAGCAAGAAAATTATGACACACTTTTACAAAAGCCACCCAAGCTTTTTTTTTTCAGTTTAACTTCAAATTGAAAACTTCACCCGTCATAAGTTCTCGTATTTACGGACCTACAAAAATCCCTTCTTTCAGTTTCGCGTCACTGATTCAATTTTTTTCCTCTCCATCTTCGTTTCCTTACGTTACACCCGTATCCGGATGTGTGGGCATGTGTATCTACTTTGCGTGATGAAGCCAACCAGCAGAAATACGTATCGCTCGGGTTACCTATCCTATTTTCTGCTCGAATCCACTTTCATCCTTTTTGCGGATTTTTCCCGTTATTTTCCTACTTTTTGTTATATACTTTTCTCCGCACGATCATTTTCTCTCTCTCTATATATGTATATGTATATATATATATATATACACGAGCCCCTTCCCACTTCAGTTGGCCCACTTCAAGATTTGTACCAAAATATGCCTTTATAAACTAAACATGACGAAACTATTTACTTCTAAAACAATTTATTTTCTCAAAAACATTTTAGATACACTCTAGTCGTAAAAAATACATATTTGAAATCACTTAGACCTATAACTAATAGAACATCTGAACAAATAAACAATGTGCGAATAAATGCGCGAAGTTAACAAAGCAACAATTGAAAGATTACCATTGGGTAACATCACCTTTATTTTTTATTACGGCTGAAATTCTTTGGGGCATAGTGTTAACCAAGTTTTGGCAAAAATTTGGTGTAAAACAATCCCATATTTCTTGAAGCTTTTGTCTCAGTTCGGTGATTGTACAAGCAGGATGTTGTCGTATCGTAGAACCATTTTCATCTCGTGCCACAATGTTTCAATAGGTGACAGATCTGGACTGCTAGAAACCCATTTCAAAAGTGGTACATTATTTTCTTCCATCCATTTTATAGCCTTTTTTGAGGTATGGCACGCTGCACCATCTTGCTGAAACACAAAATCATGGCCGGATGTCAAACATTCTTCCATCACTGGTAAAAGCGATTCTTCAAAAATTGCCAAATATTTGTTTGTATCCACATTTCCATCAATAAAATGAATTTTTCCTACTCATTTTGATGATACTCTGCCCCAGACCATAATGGATGCTTAAAATTTCACTTTTCTCTCCAGACAGTCAACATGGAATGCTTCATTTTTTTTTGCGAATAACCCTACTGCGACTGTCACCAACACAAACTTCGAATCGGGCCTCGTCACTCCATTGTATTGCAGACCATTGTGGAGGTGTCCATTGTCTATGTTCTTTAGCCCATCTAAGACGGTTTTCCTTTTGCAGTGGTGTTAATAGTGGCTTTTCTTTGGCCTATAAACAAGTTGTGCAACTTTAGGGTTTTTACTTCACTTTTTTTTATAAGAAAAGAACACTCCACAGAGCACTTAATTGTAAATAATTGGCACGCCTGTTTTTCACGATTATTCTTCTTAATGCTCTTGGGTCGGCATTTGTGATATTACTTTTTTTCACATATCGTGGCTTAATATTAACTGAACCAGTTACGTTATATCTTCTAACAATATTTCTCACACTGTACCGCGATAAGTCTAACAAAGTTGCAATTTCTGAGTTTGATTTCATAGAATTAAAAAATTTAATTACCAGTAACCGAATTTTCGCACTAATAACCTTTCCTCTACTGATTTTGAAAACCTTATCTACCCAAAACTATTTTAAACGTATACTGACAGCTGTGATTAATAAAAACAATTGTCATGGCTTTTATCTTTCACAGCCACCTATGCGTTATAGACTTATTTTGCATTGAAATGAAAATAGGTTGATATGCTGTAATTGCAACATGTGTTATTTTTATGCTGCAAATTTGATTAGGGAATGATAAAGTTGGTGTTTTCTACTATATATTATCAAAATATTCATTGTTAATATTTTAAACCTATAACACTCTGCTACATTTTTTATTATTTGTGTTTGATAAGAAAAAAACTAAGATTTCAATAGTTGGGCCAACTGAAGTGGGAAGGGGCTCGTGTATATATATATATATATATAGGGTGCCCCGCGAGGTAAGGGACAAAATTTTTCTACGTGTTCCTCAGGTCAATTCAAGCGGAAAAAGTCCTATGAACATGGCTCCGCAAATGCTTCCTTATCGAGATAATGATTTTGTTATTTTTAGGGTGCTAATGGTGGGAAAACCACAATATTGTTGAAAAATTACTTTAATTTAACACAAAATTACTAGGTACAATAAAAATAACTATTCACATTAGTTGTTCAAAGTGTCCACCTTCACATTGTAAACATAGTCTAGCCTGTTTAATAATGTGACTATTGGCTTTCCCAATAACAAGACGATTACCTCTTCAGTTCAGCCCTGGTATGCGATCTCTCTGCATACACTAAAGACTTCATATCTCCCGCAAGTAATAATCTAAGGGATTTAAATCGGGCGAGCAGAGTGGCCAAGAAACTGTGCCCCTCGTCCAATCCAACGCCCAGGAAAAGTGTTATTTAAATACACAGTCCCATTTCTACCACTGAGGGGCGGAGCACCGTCATGCTGTAACCACATCAGTTGTCTTCTCTGCAGCGGAATAACCTCTAACAACACAGGCAGTTCTTCTCGTAAGAATTGAAGATAAACTTCAGATGTCAACAAATCGTCAAACAGAAAAAGGCCAACTAAGTGATCCCGTAACAAACCGCACCAGACATTAACAGAAAAACTGTGTTGGAAATTCCGTTCGATAGTTGCGTGAGGATTTTCAAGCTGCCAAGAATGGGAATTCCTCAAATTATTGACGCCGTCTCGAGTAAAAGTAGATTCGTCGGTGAACAAAACCTTTTTAACAAGATTACGATTTGCGAGGAACCAGTTACAAAACTGCAATGCAATGTAGTTAAAAGATATTAAGGAACCATGAACAAATAAGGACTATTTTGGGATTTATATCCTTCTGATATTTTTTACTCAACTTTGGCCATCTGTGGTTAAACAAAAATGCACTGGGCTATAACTGCATTATATTGAATAAAAAGATTGCTCATTGAATACAGATTTCAGGAAGGCACCACACCTACTATTTGGAATAGAAAAAAGTGATAGCTGCTTTTGTGACTGACACACACTACAATGTAATTATTGGATATAAATTTAAGTTACCGACCAATGACATGCTAAATAGTACAACACAACATTATAATGCAGTTATAGCCCAGTACATTTTTGTTTTACCACAGATGGTCAAAGTTGAGAAAAAAATATCAGAAGGTTATAAATCCCAAAATAGTCGTTATTTGATCATGGTTACTTAATATCTTTTAACTAGATTGCATTTGTATATGATAAAGCAACTATCTAGAAGTATTTTATAGAAAAAATGAAGACAGTATAACCTTATTTGTACATGCAGCTAAAGACCACAGATGAAAAGGTTCGTTTTTTTTAATTTCAGAAAAAATTCAATATCTCAAAAACGGTGACACTTTTATATAGGTAAGTTTTTGTTATTTGGGAGGTCAGTCCAAAGCCTACCCCCTCCTCAAGTTTGTCGTGGTACTTATTGGACACACACACACACACACACACACACACACACACACACACACACACACGCACACGCACACACACACACTCACACACATATATATATATATTGAGAGAGAGAGAGAGAAAGAGAGAAATGAATGCACATATGCAACTACAAAAGTAGATACACATGCTCATACATCCGGATATGGGTGTAACCTGAGGAGACAAAGATGGAGAGGAAAAAAATCACACACGAAGTCCACAACAAGAGCCAACCTACACCTTGTAGTATAAAAAGGCTAGAAGACCTCGAATTTTCAAGGCGACATCTAACCACAACCACGCGGCCGGTTATAGCCACTTGCTGTGGTACTTCAAGTCCAAAGGATCTACAAAGACAAAAATAATCATGCGGAGAAATTTATATAACAAAAAATAGGAAAATAATGGGCAAAATCCGCAAAAAGAAGGAAAGTTGATTCGAGCAAAAAATAGGATAGGTAACCCGAGCGATACGTATTTCTGCTGGTTGGCTTCATCAGGCCCGAAATGAATGCACATATGCAACTACAAAAGTAGATACACATGCTCATAAATCCGGATAAAATCACACACGAAGTTCACAACAAGATTGTGGTTAGATGTTGCCTTGAAAATTCGAGGTCTTCTAGCCACTTTATACTACAATGTGTAGGTTGGCTCTTGTTGTGGACTTCGTGCACTTTCCTTTTTTTTCTTACGACTAGCAAAAACTTATTTCGTATGTATATAGTATATACATTGTTCATAATGTTAACCTATAAAGCCAATTAAAAAAAACTGACTGATATTTCGGAAAAAAATTCATTTTGAAAAATCTAGACTTGAGGAAAAAATCAGCCACCGGGAACAGATTCAGAGCATCAAAATCTTCATATCTATGACATACTTATTTGAAGGAGGATCTTGTTGCAGACCAGTGTTATCAATGATCAGATCTACTAATGCAAGTTATATCAAAAATAATACTTTTCAGCTCCAAAAATCAAAAGCGACTTTTGCACAATAAAATGGAATACAATGACATCAACTCAAGTGTATAATCTTGAAAGAGCTGTATCTGGACAGTTGATACCTACATCTACCTGGAAAGGAACTGTTGTGAAACTTATGGATATAGAAGATTGTAATTGTTCTGTGAACATGCCCGAAGACATTGCTCAGATAAAACCTGGATATGTGTATTATGATAAAAGGACTAAGTCATTACTAGTTTTGTGTTCAACAAATACTTGGATTAGAGTGAAAAAAGTAGGGGTTTATGGAAAAAGAACAATGAGTGCTAGTGATTTTAATAACGGATTTATTAAAAACGAACCACCTAATAAAGCATTTTTTGTATAGTCGTTATTGCTTTTTCTTCTTAGATGGTGATGACAGCAGCAGATTATTATGGTATTTGCTAATACATTAGGGATGTTCACATGTGGTCTGGCTCTAAGCTATGCGTAGAACATAATTTACACTTGTAACATATTTCACATGTAACGGCACCAAAAAACTCGGAACTTTTGTCAATCGATTGATGCAATAAATTGTGAATTTGTGAAATAATCTAGCTGGAGTTCGCTCACTGGCTGCAATATGATGCAACATTGGCTGATGTAAACCGTCCACTACGACGGTTTACTCCTGTGAGTATAGTATCCTTACTGTCTTTATTAAAGATTTTTTCGCGAGATCCTGTAGTGTATGAATTTCCCCCTCCTGTTGAAGTTTTGAAACTTTCAACTTACAGCGAGAGTGGTTAGGTGGCGCAGGTTGACTCTGAAATAAAAAGACCAATCGTTTGTTGTGCAATGTATATATCAATAAAATCAACCGTTTTATATGTCAAGTGCGGTTCCTATTCCTATACAGGGTGTTTCAGTTTATTGTTGCATAACTTTAAGATTCGATAGAACTTTTAAAATTAATGCTTAAAGTCTATATAAACAAGGGTCGAAAAATGCGTGGCTTCCGAAATACAGGGTGTTTAAATTTACTTTTTAAAATGGTTTTTTTAAATATTTCGAACAATATTTGATGTATAACAGTGAAAATTGGTATCCAAGGGTTTTTTGATACGACAAAACGAACCATGGGCATAGTTTTACTGTAGCCACTAGAGGGCGCTCTCTACTGTACCTGTAGTGTATTGAAATGACTGAAAATTTTTTCTTAGTTCAATTTTTTGCTTTTTGAATAAAAAAACTGATTCTTCGCACTTTTCAACATAAAAAAGCTCTCCTGTGAGTTTTCGTTATAGTTAGTGGTTTTTAAGATATTTTGATTTTTAAGGTTCGATGCATTTTTTATTATCTATGGGAAAATAATATTTTTTTTAATTTTCGATTTGGGCATTACAAGTAATTAAGATGATCGTTTAGATTGTGTTTTTAAATACAGCAATAATTCCTAACTCCAAATAAACACAAAAAAACAATATTAATTTTCCAATATTATTTTTAACAAATTAAATTAATTATTTACAACTAAAATGCTTTGGATAGTTAGGACAAACATACAAAATCTAAAGTAGTTGCTCGAAATGTAAACCCAATTGTTCAATACACAATTCACATTTACGAATGATCTAACATGGTATAGCATTATTCAAATAAGGTCTTATTTCATCACATGCATTCCTGATTCTGTCTATTAGCATATCTCTTGTGGTTACGGGAGTCTGGTACACTTTTTCTTTTAGAAATCCCCACACAACCAAATCTAATGGAGGTCAGGGGAATCGTGGAGGCCAGGCGACTGGTCCTCCACGACCGATCCATCTTTCTGGATAATTTTCGTCCAGCCAGTTTCTAACTATTCTCGAATAATGAGCTGGACAACCATCAAGCTGGAACCAGGGCAATCTTCTTCTATTTGCATGTTCAGCCTTTAAAAATTCCAAGAAGGTCGCAGCATTTAACCTTGCAGGCAAAAGGTAGGGTCCAAATAGTCGATTACGGTAGATACCAATCCACACGTTCACACTAAATTCATGCTGAAAATTTCTTTCCCGAACTGCATGCGGATTTTCATGCGACCAAATATGTTGATTATGAAAATTGACCACTTCACGTCTAGTGAAGCATGACTCATCGGTCCATAAAACGTTACTCAAAAACTCCCTAATCCCTATTATTATCAGTTCTATCAAGAATCCACTGACAAAATGTGATTCTTCGTTCTCCGTCCCCTGGCTGTACGATGACCTCATAGTCTTCTCCCACCTCATTTAAAATCAGGCGGACGTGTTCCTCCATTTTCTTGATTTACGATTTAATAATTTAACCCTTAACCGGAAAGGTGCCGTCTGTGAGACTGCGGCGTTTCTATACCTGAGCGATCTTTTTTTATTGCACCTCTAACAGACGTAAAAACCCATCTAATCCATAAGCTATTAGTGACCATCGCCCACCCCCATTCACACGAGTCTAGCCAAAACGTGCCTTAAAATATGGACCAATTTTAGTTTGTTGCAGTCTGTCAGACGGCACGTTTCCGTTCCCGTTTGCTATTTGTGTTGCATAGGTGCGTTTGCGAGTATGGCGGGACCTTCTAAACGTGTACGATACGATGATCCGGTGTTCGAAGAAACCGTTCTAAAATGGTTTGAGGATGAAGGAAGTGACTTTAGTGATATAGACAGTGCCTCAGAAGACGAATACATGGAATCAGATCATACAAGTGATAGTGAGTTATCAGAAGACGGAGCCGAAGGAAATGAAGAGGATTTACCAGCTCAGAATTATTTCTATGGAAAAAATCGTCATAGGTGGAATATTTCGGAAGTTGTACCATCATCACGTACAAGGAAGCACAATATAGTCATTAAAGTACCAACTCTAAGAGGAAAAGCTCATGAATATGGAGAAGAAGCAGCTCCGTTGACGGTTTGGCAGCTTTTGTTCACTGACGACATGTTGGTACATATCGTTAAGTGGACCAATCACAAGCTCAAAGAAATGCGAAAGAGATACAAAAATCAAACCAGCAACCTAAACGACACTGATTTAGTCGAAATAAAGGCACTATTGGGTCTCTTAGTATATACATCGGTGTTCAACAGCAACCACGAGAACATTGAAACACTTTTTGCCACCGATGGCTCTGGAAGAGATATATTCAGAGCTGTCATGAACATAAAACGATTTGGTATTCTCCTGTCAGCCTTAAGGTTTGATAACCCAGATGACAGGAATGAAAGAAAGAAGCTAGATCCAGTAGCACCAATATCTTTCATTTTTAATAGTTTTATAAAGAACTGTCAAGATGTGTACGGAGTTGGCCAGTCTGTCACTGTCGATGAAATGCTCGTGAGTTTCAGAGGAAGATGTCGATTTAACCCTCAAGTGGCGTCGTGGGGTCTGGTGTACCCCCAGAACTTTTTAACTCCATGTAAAACTTGCAAATTCAGCATTCAAGCCTGGCCGCGCCATCTACCTTCAAGTTAGTGCACTCATAAGCCACGCCGGCGCGCACGTCAACTTTGCTTTAGTATTGCTCTGGACAGCGAGCGGTAAAGTTCATTTGGGGTCTGTGTGGCACCACGACGCTAATAGTGTATTATTTTTAAAATGGCGGGTTCTTCCAAAAGCGTGCGTTTTGGGGACTCTAAGTTTGAGGAAACTCTACGACAGTGGTATGAGGAACTTGAAAGTGAGTGTAGTGACTATGAGGACTACAAAGGCGAAGATTTTTCCCCAGAGAGTGACCATAACTCTGATTCTGAGATGGAAGATCAGGGGGACAATGCTGAACAACAGAAAAGTCATTCTAATGGTGAAGAAGAAGAGGAGATGGAAACGACGAACGGAACGTTTTATTTTGGTAAAAATCGATACAAGTGGTCTGCTGTTCCGGCCTACCCAAATTTGAATATCAGAACAAAAAAACACAATCTGGTGAAAGTTCTTCCGGGGCTGAAAGGACCTGCAAAATGTGGTGATGTCGCTGATCCGTTAAAAATATGGAGCTATCTTTTCACAGAAGACATGGAAAATGAAATAATTCTGCGGACAAATGAAAAGATATTGATATTCCAAGATAAATTTAGTAACGCTGATCGAACGGAACTGAGAGAACTAACAAAGGAAGAATTTCGAGCGTTTCTCGCTATATTGTATTACGCTGCAGTTTTCAAGTCAAATGATGAAGACTTTCAAGAAATGTTTGCAACAGATGGAACGGGACGAGACATATTCAGGTCCATTATGTCATTGAAAAGAGTATATGTGTTGCTCGCATGTCTAAGGTTTATTGACTAAGCAGTGTAAATGAATATTTTTAGACTTATCCAATTGCTTTTGTTTTAGGTTTGACAATGCAGATGATAGAGAAGCACGTAAAGCTTATGATCGAACTGCGGCAGTCTCTTGGATATTTGAGCGTTTTGTGAAAAATTGCCAAGACTGCTATACGATAGGAGAATTGTGTTGTATTGACGAAATGCTGATAGGATTTCGCGGCAGATGTAGATTACGCATGTACATACCTAATAAACCTCGGAAATATGGACTAAAAATTATGGCCTTAACAGACGCACGGACCCACTATTTCTATAATGGTTATATTTACAGTGGTAAGGATAGTGATGGTGTTTCTCTAACGAATGAGGAGAGACGTTTCATGAAACCAACACAATCTGTGTTGAGACTGTGTCGTCCGATTGCTAATTCAAACCGAAATGTCACAGCAGACAATTGGTTTTCATCCATAGAAGTCATGAATGAATTAAAAAAAAGAGGACTCACCTATGTTGGCACGCTTAAGCGAAACAAAAAGGAGATACCTGTGCAGTTCCTTCCAAATCGGAGAAGAACTGAAGGATCTTCCATTTATGGTTTTACAAACGACTTCACTATCGTCTCCTACGTCCCAAAAAAAGGGAAGGCAGTTGTGCTAATATCATCAATGCACCACACCGAATGTGAGGACAAAGAATCTGGTAAACCCGAAATAATTTCCTTCTATAATCAAACAAAAGGCGGTGTGGATGCACTAGATCAAAAATGTACCACATACTCTACAAATCGGCGAACTAGGCGATGGCCAATGACTATTTTTTTCACAATATTGAATATTGCGGGTGTCAATGCACACATTTTACATGGATGTTATAAAAACAACCAAGCGCTAGAGAGAAAAGCCTTTTACAAAATTCTTGCAAGACAACTTGCAGAACCATATCTCAATGTAAGATTATACAATTTTCGATTACCTAGGGAGCTTCGTATAGGTATCAGCAGAGTACTAAACAAGGCTTTACCTCAAGAAGAGAGGGGAGAATTAAGCAATCAGGGCCAGAAACGAAAGAGATGTGGTATTTGTGATCGGAAGAATGACAAAAAAACAAAAATGTCGTGCAGCAAATGTTCTCGACCCATGTGCGGCGACTGCAGGGCCTATGTTTGCAAGAATTGTATTTAGAAATATGTAAGTTGTAAATAGTCCACAGTTTTGTTGAAAATAATATATTTTAGTTAAAAAGTTTATTTGTTTTAGTTGTCTGTTCTGTATATAAAACGAAAAAATCAATATAAAAATAATCATTCAATTTTTATATTTTTTCTGTAAAATCTTATGTTCTTGTGTCAAAAACCCATGAAAAATACATTATGTTACACTTTTTAGCATTTTTCACTATTAATAAAAATAAATAATGGGCTTGCATGATTTTATTGCAGCTTAAATGATCACACATTGAAACAAAATAAGAACATAACATATCCTTTTTTATTTTCAAAAAAAAAATGACCAAAAAAATGGGGTCCAGTAGACCCCAGGACGCAGTTAACGATAGAATAAATCACGACACCAGTTGAGGGTTAAAATGTATATGCCTGCGAAACCTTGCAAATATGGCATAAAAATTATGGCATTGACGGATGCAAGGAATAGCTACCTCTATAACGCATATATATATATATACTGCGGTAAAGATTCCGATAGTTTCGAACTTCCTGAGGAACACAAGCGGTATTCCAAACCCACACAATCAGTTCTACGTCTCGCGAAGCCTCTGTTTGGAACTAATCGCAACATTACAGCGGACAACTGGTTTACGTCAATAGAATTAATGGATGTCCTATTGAAGCACAAACTGACCTATGTGGGTACAATGAAGAAAAATAAAAGAGAAATTCCTCCGGCATTTTTACCCAACAAATCAAGAGAAGTCGGATCAACAATGTACGGATTTCGAGAAGATCCACTATTGTGTCTCATGTAAGCAAAAAAAATAAAGCCACAATACTCATATCTTCTATGCACCACAGAAAATATTGTGATCCGGAAACACAGAAACCGGAAATAATAGCCTATTACAATGCTAATAAAGGTGGAGTTGATTCTCTTGATGAAAAATGTTCGAAGAGTACCTCAAGTCGCCGTTCGCGTAGGTGGCCACTGGTTATTTTCTACCGACTATTGGATATATCGGTAGTGAACTCGTATATTTTACACCAGTGCTATAAGAAAAATGAATTGCAGAAGGAAAAATCGGTATTTGCTAAGATGTTGGCCGCTAACCTGGTCCGTGAGCATATGGAAAAGCGACTAGAGAGTCCCCGTTTACCTCGGGATTTGCGACTTACGATAAATCGCATCCTTGGCAAATGTGAACATCCAGCAACAGAAGCTGAAAATTTGGTTTTGGAAAAAAGGAAAGCCTGCTTTTTATGTCACCGAACGACCCATCGGATGACCAAATTTTTGTGTGTACAATGTAGGAAGCCTGTATGTCTTCAATGCTCCAAACCCAAATGTATTAGCTGCATAAATATAGGCAATGTTTGAGACTTGCAGTGAATTTTGATTGCGTTCTTTTTGTATTTATTGACTATAATATACTTTCCTTGTTCATTACTTAACTAGAAAATAGAAAAATATTGAGACTTTTCCATAGTTTTAATTTAGTTTCTGAATGTTGCAACAACAGCGTTATTTTTGTATGGTTTTAGCATAGTTAATAAAAATGTTTCTTTTATGTCCTTGTATCATTTTGAAATGAGCATTTTACGTATTAAACACATAAAATAAACATCCAGTATCAGTTTCAGCGAAGTTATTGCTTGCTTTTCGCCTTACTCTAATTTTTTGAACATCTTGAAGTTCGCAGGTTGAGAGACGGCATGTTTCCTTTTGTGTTCCAAAAATTCACGTTTCCTGTTAAGGGTTAAACTCACTTATTTCGGCACTGCAAAAACCAATTTTCAAATGACATTGACATAAGATCCGGTACCCCCTGGTACCTCACCTACGTTAGGCGGTTAACCGTACCACGTGATTTTTGACATTAGGATGACCTCTCATCCGTCTTCGGCTATTCCCGTTCTTCACGGAAATTTGAGTATCAGTTCCCTGTTCTGCAGTGTGGTACACCGTGGACTCGCGAAAAAATCTTTATTGCATTTCGATTTTATGATAAACATTTTTAACCTTGTTACTTTAATTAAGCTTAAACGAGACTTTAAATAGGTACATCTTTCTAGCTGGTTTGTATTAGTTTTTCTGATGCGGTGCTGTATGATTCATCCAGTGAAAACCAAGAATAAATAAAATATGTTATTAGTTGTTTTATTTCCACAATGAGATAAATGTGACAAGAATTTCCAATGGATTGAAACGTGCGCTCTGCATTTTCCTGTGAACTAACAGTCTATCAAATAATGTTTTTGCCTTCCCTCTAAAAAAGTAAGCAGAACAGTCCAGTTCTATATATATCGAGTAACACGCGTCTTGCATCGAACAAGTTCAACTCACACTATTAACCTAACCTAACCAATAAAAATTTGTAAACAGTTTTGGTGGGAAAAATATGTAAAGAGTTTAAAATATCATTTTTCTTATGAAATAAAGCTTGATCTATATTTGTCGTACCTATAGAAGTACTAGCGGTTTTAAACGGTTAATTATGGCTGAGAAATTAGAAGATCTCACGTTACCCAACGGGTCAGTACAAAAGATCATCAAAGAAGCCCTACCAGATAATACTAACGTTGGAAAAGATGCCAGACTAGCTTTATCTAGAGCTGCGTCAGTGTTTGTTCTATATGTAACATCACAAGCATCCAACGAAGCCCAGAAAGTTAACCGGAAAACCTTGACAAAAGAAGATGTTATAAATGCCTTGAAGGACCTGGAGTTTGAGGACTTTATTGAGCCTCTACAAATTGCACTGAAAGGTTTGTGATGGCCACATTATTTAGAAATGCATCACCATTATTTTTACTAATGTATTGCTCATTAAACTCAATACATGTTTTTGAAATTATTCTTGTAAACCTACATCTCAGTAATTCTGGTCAAGTAGTGTTATTTTGACAGATTTTATGAACAGGTGGACTGCCATCATCACACAGTTATTTAACTAGATTTTTGTCTGGCTAGCTTTTTGCTACAACTGAGGCCACTTTCAGAGTTTCTCACCAAATCTTTTTGGAAGTAGATTTTGTTCAGTGGGAGTGACCTTGTGGTAAATTTTACTACATTACCATTTGCAATAAGTTTTATCAAGATGATATCATTACAAACAATACATTTTTTTGCTTTTGGTGCCTTTATTGACATAGTGTTTTAGTAGCCTTATAAGCTAGTTGAGAGATGCCTTCTTATGTTAGCATGTATCACAAAGAATATCTCAAGGATTTTACTATATTTTTTCCAGAGTTTAAAGAAGCAAAAGCCAAGAAAACTGTAAATAAGTCCATAGAAGGTACTACTCAAAATGGTACAGAACACAGTGAAGGTGAAGATGATGATGCAGATGGCAATGATGAAGCTACAGAAGATTAACAATATTGTGAAATAAGACACTAATACATAAGTAAGTTATTTATTTCATTTTTGTTTTATTTCAAACACTTGCAATATAAGGGCCAAATGCTCTATTTTCGCCAAAAGCTGTATCCAAAAAATAAAAAAGTCTACTGCTGCTAAAAGATGCAGTATCACATAAAATTTAAATCAAATCATAATGAAATGTTTTGTAATTAACCTTCAATATATCTTGCTGGATGAACTTGAGCAAAACTAGAAGTTTGGTTGAAAACAAAAACCAAGACAAATATGCAAGTTGATCCCCCATATTTCTCTAATTGAAACCACATGTGTTGAAGAAAATGTTATTTTTCTGTCTTCTAGGTGAAACTACATGTTTTTCTTCATTCTCATATTCCTAAACAGTGGGTTACTACATGTGGAAGTATGGAAGGTCCCATAACATACTTAAATTGTGCAAAGCCATCATTCCAAATTTTAAGATAGCACCAACCAAAACTAGTATAGCCCAGGACCACCTGGAAGTAGGCATTCCCACTCCTAAAAATGGAGGCCTCCAAAGTAAGGATAAGGTTAACTGTCATTTTTTTAATGTACCAGATATGTCCAGAGTCCTAAAGATGCCAAAAGCACAAAAAAAAAAACTTGAAAACCCACCCAGAATGTCACACCAGTTAATTACTATGCAATCTCCAACTAAAATGTTGCAAATGCATTGTTTATGGTTATGAAACGCGAGAAACAGTACATCAACATCTAAACATCATTTTGTTTGTCCTGTGAAAAAATAATGTAAGAAACAACAGTTTGGCCTTCAGATGTATAACAATTACAAAAGGAAGGTGAAGGAATAAGCCTATATTTAGAACACGACAGGTAGACATTTTTTGTCTTTATACAACTAATTTTTGAGTTGAAATTAGAATATCTACCATGCATTAAATATAGGTAGGCGACAAAATGGATCTATCAGATCTGTTTGTTGGCATTTAAGCTAAGGATGATATTATTTTAAGAGGTTCTATCAAAGTGTCAAAAATAAGTATTACATTCTCCATACATTACACACACATCACTGTATATACAATAAATATAACTAGAAGAACCACACCAAGCCACAAAAGTGTCAGAAAGTCAATCAAACGTTTGTATAATTCAGCCATTCACTTCTGCCTTAATTTTCTTAAATGGTTTATTTCATAAATTACCAGTACAAGCATTATATACCTATGGGCCACTGGAACTAACATGTGCCTCTTTGCTGCAACATGCTTTACAGATATCAAAGATTGTGGTTTTTGGCATGTGTTGTATATAGAATTCAACAATAATTGTATTTCTAGTTCATCTGTGTGACCCAATTTGGTTGAATATCCTTGAACGAAAGATCTAATTGATATTCTCCAACGAAACTAATGGATAATGATTTTTTTGTCCAAGTTTTTCTCATGGTTTGTTGTATGATCTCAAACGCACAGATGTTTTAATTCGCCATCTCAACGCCAATCGTATTTTCTTCACAGGGCAAACAACATAGTTTCCTTTAAATATCAAAGCACTATTTCTTGCGTTTCAGATTTGCAAAAAATGCATTTGCAATATTTTAGTCGAAGATTGCATAACAATTAATCAGTGTGTTTCGACAACAGTTCTCATGTTCATCATTTTGGAGGGCTGGTTGTCCTTTTTTGAGTGTGGGAATGCCTACCTCTAGGCGGTGCTGGGCGCTCATAGTCATTGTACTGAAGAGGGTCACTCTTGTGACCGAAACGATTACAATATAGATTTTTTCAACATGTGTATATGGTTTTGATTGGCCAGAGAAATAAGGGGGATTATCAACATGAAAATCACAGGATAAGTTTCAGATGTTACATCAAATATGCATGTATCCCAACTAAGCATATCTTAGATATATCAAGGTATAACATCACTTAACAACTTCAGATGAAAATAGTTCATGCCTCAAAACAGTATGTGTCAAAATTTCAAAGTCACAAAGAGAAATAGCAGTATAGATAAAAATGTTAATAGACTATATTCTTTAAATATTTGCATGCATTTTTATCACTTTTTCTACATCTATTCTGCAAAGTGGGCATGTTGCTATCTTTGACCCGCAATTCTGACAGCAGCAAAGATGTCCACATGGTAAAAAGATAATTTGACACTGAAAAAAAAATATTCAGTCAGATAAAAAGTCTTTTTTGAATTCATGTTTTTCTGCATTTCCAAAAAACTGAATCACCAGGGAGTTTGTAGAGATCAAATAAGTTAGAAACATTGTCATCAATCTGTTGCATTGGATTTGAAAATTAAACAGGCTTTGAAAAAACATTGTAGTTCATACTTCCAAGGAAACTGTACTGTATATTTCAAATTTACCTCCACTGCAAAAAAAACGAAACATTTAGCCAATATAGGTAGCACGCTCAATGTGCCAATGTATTCAACAAGTCCTGTCAACAAAGGACTGAACGTAATTAAAAATAAGATAAAAGAAAAATTTAAGAGTGCATGAACTCAAATTAAGAATAAGAAAGAAACTTGGCATACATAAATACAAGATATTATGAGTAATCCATGGTACAACAGAATTAGTTGTATAAGTAGGAGTCATATTACAAACATCATTGGACTGAGAATGGGACAAGGTTCGTATAAACAACATCAGTACCGGATTGATATTGTCAACAACCCGTACCGGGAATGTGGACACATTGAGGATATCAATCATATTTTCTTGAAATACCAGATCAATAAAACGAATAATATTACATATGATGAACTAAGAAGAAGTGTTATACCAACACCTTTAAACATGCAAGTATCCCTACAAAATATCACTAAGGAAAGAATGATAATAATCATCAACTTTATTAACAAATATAAATTAGCTCTATAAATCCCCATCACTTTTTATTCCTTGGTTCTACAATACCTTTCTGAGGCAACGTTTTGGGTTTGTGTGAATGCACATCTGTTGTCCAGTTGCGAGAAGAGTCTATATCTCTGTTGTGCCATTTTTTGACTAATCTGCACACTCCATTTTGAATCTATTGACTATATAATTTCAAGCACAGGTTTAAAGACAACTGGAATATACGTTGGAAAGTTTTGATCTACCCCTAGGATCACCTGGGTCACACCGAACAGGCTAACTAATTGCACTGACAGGGCAGAAGCCATTAAGAAAGAAGAAATTTACCTCCATATCTAGGCATATTACGCACTCCACTGTGGTAATTGCACTAATTTCTTCAGCAGGTGGTGCACTTGCCTCGTCTAACAATGGAGGAGCAGATGGAATGTTTGAATTGTCACTGAGATGTTTTTCTTTTTTATACATTTGAAAGGCGTCCAAGATACGTCTACGGTCGTTGCCAGAATTTAAACCTGCTTCAAACAAATCATGGTCTGTTACTTCAGACAGGTCATCTGAAACATAATACAAAAGTTTGAGCCAGCGTGAACATTTTTTGATGTGCACCTTGCTGTATTAAATAGCAAAACCAACGTGAATAGTTGTTTAATACAACTAAATTATTCATTTTAAATACCACCATTTTTGCTAACATGTTTCCTTTACCGAAAATGTTTTGTTTGTTTGTTGAAGATTTATTTAGCATTAATGCCACAATATCAATTTTGTATAATGATTTGGTCACATACTTTTCCTCAATCCATTTTCTGTAATTTTTGATTATTGTCTATTAAAATTACATCACTATGCATTTTGATTATTCATAGTGATTTTTTAATTTCACCTTAAACATTTTTAAATTCGAACACTGTTTAATATCATTGTCCAATTTATTAAATTCAAATACTCCCTTTTGAAATAAAGATTTACTAGTTATGCTACTATTACAATTTTGCAGACGAAAATCTATACTGAATCTAGTTTCATAGTTATGATAATTGTGGTGGTAATAAATGATTTTTTAATTTGAATATGAAAACGAGAACTAAATAATATATGAAAATTTTCACATTCATCCACTGTAGTTCTAACATAGACTTAATCCTAGCATATTTGTTTTTATTTAAAATGATTCTCATAGCTTTATCTTGTAGAATTTGTAATTTTGAAAATATGTTTTTATTTGCTGTAAACAAGATGGTTAAACAATAGAAAAAATGGGGAAGAATTATGGTGTTATACGCAATTTTTTTGGTACACATACTAAAATTATGGGAAACTCTATAGAAGTAATTTATTTTTTTTGATATTTTTGAAATAATGCTCGTGAAATAGTAGTTTACTATCCACACACACACACACACACACACACACACATAGGTCCTCCGTTGTGCTAGGTCCTCCGTATATGGAGGACCTATCGCAAATTCCACCAGTCGGCCTGAGAGGCTCCCCTTTGTCACCCGGCAACATTCCAGAGGGATCACCCAGGTTTTTTTTGCTAAATTTGGGTACTGTAGTTCCGGGCTTTGCCGCGCCGATTTGGTGGACTCATAGTCGCGCTGGTATTCAGCCCGTATATTTTCAATCAAGTCTACAGTGGATAGGTCATCTGCCGGGTATTCAGTATCTAGATTATGGCTTTTAGGTCCTCCTTAATATTGGCATCGCTGTATTACGCATTTATTAGAATTGTCTTGCAAGGGGATTGGCTTTTTCTTCTTCCTATATCTGCTACGGCCTAGTTCTCCGTCAAGTATTACACACAAGCCGTGACCGGGAGTATTGTAATGCAGCGATGATATTTGTTCGAATGTAATGCTCAAAACCAATATTCTATGGAATAAAATAAAAGATGTTAATTATTGTAAACAAACGAAGAAAAAATTGGTCAAACTTCGCTTTCGGATATTTCAGACATTCCTCCAAAAAAATTTTAGGGCTGTAAATTTTGGGAGGCGGGGGTTACAGGGAGCTACTATTAAACAATGACAAAACTAAAAATCGTTTAAACTATTTCTGAATATTTTAGAGCTTCCTAATCGTTTTCCGAATAATTTTTGGGGGTAGGGGGGCTGAGGGAATGGGGTGAATCTCGATTTGGCTAGGTGTTAGTTAAAGGTATTCTATTATCAATAAACCTTTGATATTCGGTATCCTCCAGAATCTTCATACATACATGAGACATCTGAATTCAAAATAGAAAATTAGGATATGGTCATTATCCGGTTTTATGTCTATAACACGACGCATTAAAGTATGGCAAATATAGATTCAAATTACTTGACACGATAAATCATTTAATTCGTTTTAATGATATGTATGTAAAATACATATATTTTGATTCGGGAACGACCAGCACGCGGTTATAGGAGCGAAGGATACACCCAAAAAATATCAGTTTAAATTTTAGTTACGAAGGTAACCACATAACTGAATATATATGTCGAAAAAATAAAACCAATAATACCAGAACAGAAGGTTTGGGATCTACCATACTAAAGATACAGAAAAATAGTGACATTCGTCATCTTTAATTTAAAATTACCTATTTTTCAAGCAACAACAGTTTTACAATGAGATGAAGGGAATTCTGTTTATAAACGTAAATTTTATCACAAAAGTATGACAATGTTCCCACTTAAAAAAATAATTGTCATTAAAATTAAAATATTCGTTGAGTCATGACATCAGCTTTTCAACCAGTAAATAACAGTTTATTCCATAATTCATCATTTTCGAATCGCTTTCCACTGAAAAATTTCTTAAAGTTTGGGAAAGTTATAAATCTGATGGTACTAGATCAGGGTTATATGGCGCATTTTTGAGTAAATGGATTAGTTCAGAATGCCATACCATACAATCCTAACAAAGCACCAATCGACATTTTTTCTTTATTTTATCTTTAACAAAAAAGTTTAACAATTCTTAGTGAAAAGCGATTCGAATGATGCATGAATATATGATGAAGCTGATTATGTTGTTGAGTAGAAAAATGGTTATACTTTGTTTGTGATATAATTTATGTTCATAATTAGCTTCTACTTTATTGAACGATATAATAATTTAGTATAAATCGCGATGAGGTCATCGCATTCAGCCCTTTTTGGGGACCTTTTAGCCTGGATGTGATTTTGAAAGTGAGCTAAGACTAAATTTCTCTGATCTTTAGTCCAAGGAACTAGAACCCTGGTATTTTTTTTCGGAAAAATCACATCCACTTGTTGAGATTCCGGACCTGGATACTGTCCTTGGATATCTTCATATTGATATAGAGGTTCTGGGTGATTATTCTCTTGCTGTGCTTCTGATATCAAATTCTCGTCCAGATGCAAATTAGCGATTTTCTTTTGTAAATGACCGGCCTCGCCCTTCTCCACCAACGTCAGATTCTTGGAGAGTCTAGCCGTTTGGTAGACGTCATCTGGTAATCGGTATGATGCACGGTGGTTACCAAGTGTATGTCCCATGAAAAATGCGAGTTGTTCCATGTCATTTGTTGACATGTTGAACAACAACTGGCTCTGACGTGTGCTAGTCAGGGCATGCGGACTTTTGCTTGGCACACTCTTGAGTACACAACAGATTTGCATACCCATGAATTCTCAGAACATAGATAAAAGATAGACATAGCTCTATCCTACTCGGGCGCACCTGATTTATGGACGGAATGTAATTCAAGTGATCGGGAGACCGATATAACGCCGTTCAGTTAATTCGGGTATTGTGGAGGCTTTGCGTATATACGAGTATTCTGCATGGGATACTGCGATCTCACAGTTTTTAGTAAATTCGAGTATTTTGGGAGACAGTTCTGTTTTTTTGTGAATCGGAGGGTATTTTGATGGGCGATGTATCATACGGCTTTTGGTTGCCGTGTCTATATGGTCAATTCTGAGCTATTAGAAGAAATCAAAATCAAGTAAAGCTTGATTTCCTTATCCAAAAATAACGTCACATGATTGCAAGTGAAGAGGGAAGTAATTCGAGTATTTTCGGAGACTCAATGCTGCGAACCGCAGGTTAGCGGAGTATTTCAATTGCAAATATTCCAAGTTTGAAAGTACGTTTTTAAGGCTTTATATTTACATCACAAAAAGCCATGTTTTCATTTCCGTCGGTCTGTCTGTTGGCGATTTTATTAGCGCATAATCCCAGTAGCATCTGCGCCGATTTCAATAGAAATTGGAGTGATGAGATTTAAACACGTGATAGGAAATAATAGATTCTTTTTTATGTTTGTTGGGGGTCTCCGATCATTTTCTGTCATGTTCAGTTTTTCTTTATGGTGCATTGAAAAATTTTTGAAGCTCAAAAACTTTGTTTTTTGGTTTTTGCTTTTTATCAACCCAACCAGTCGTAAACGGCACCGTTTATCATCGTTAGGATGTCGTCGATATATTCAGTATTTCTGGTAGGTGACTTATTGCTGGTTTATGAAAGGATGACCTATCCACGTGGAGATGTATATATATATATATATATATATATATATATATATATATATATATGCTTCAATAAAGCTAGATGCGTATTCTCGGTATACACCTCATATAAGTCATTACATTTCTTCCCCTTCAAATAACGCCACGTAATACACGATTTCCTAGACGTTTTGCACGTACTACTCGCCAGCGGGTATTTAAGTGGGTCATTTCAAAAACAGTGGCATATATCCCACCCTTTCTGAAGGAGACAAAAGACCATCAAAATCAAGGAGGCTTAAAGGCGTCCTACAAAATTGTAGGAACGACTGACGATACGGCCCTAAGAGTTTTCTTGTTTCCTACCAAAATCCTCCTGATTTATATAATTGAGAAGATTCTTTAAATATAAATAGATATTGTAAAGTTCGTAAACATAGTATAAATATGGAATTACACGCACAACATATATCTTGCAACGTCAAATTTTTGTTGAAAAAATAAATGTTGATGCCTGGTAGTCATATAAGCAAGTGGGTTCTTCTACAATAGATTGTCGATCATTGAGGAAAGTTGAACGAATAAATCTATGTATATTTTTACGAAGATTGATTCATGATTTGGATGTAAAACTCAAATACAACATTCAGCACAAACAGTACTTTAACACTATTTATTTGTCAGTGACACTGTTTTTATTGTCCCCAAATCAAGAGGTTTTTGCACTGACTGATTCAACTGCTTTACTAGCATTTATAGGTTCCTATCATGAACAGGCTATGGTATCTTTTCTTGAATCTGTCATCTAGTATGAATATTCTACTTCTACTGTTTTTACAACCTAACTGAAATAGCTTTTGAAGTTATCACAAACGGTATTTCTAGGTTCCTAATATACAGACTATAGTGCAACTTACATTGACTTTGAGTGAGTTTAGCGAGAAATGGCAAACAGTGAATGACTCCATTGACTAGCAAAGCATGAGCTAAAGAAGGATCTATGTTCTTTTGAGCTTGAGAGAGACCTTCTGGCAATCTGGAAATAAAATGGAAATTGAACTGATAACTGAACAAAGAAAACATAATTCATATTTTTATTCATGTAAAATTTGAAACATATTCTATGGTTTTCATGTTGATTGTCCCCCATGTTCGTCTGCCCAATCAAAACTAGACAAACATGGGGGATTATATTTTTATTCCTCAAATACCATAAAACGCATTGATCTAAATATTCCAGAGATCACAAGGCAGATTATAATCCAAGGGTATTTAATTCAAGAGAAGACAGTTCGTGGAATCTCTTTATAAACCGCTGGTCGGGGCCATTGACCTTAGGAGTATTCTGCATTATAGTAGGAACGCCGACCGCAAAGGTTTGGTTACATCATCGTTTTTAAAATATCATATCAGCGATGTAATCAAAACTTTGCGGTCGGCTCTTGAACTATCATTGGTTTAAAAAAATGAAACAGCGATCTGTGAGCGGACTGTCGTTTATTTACGATTCGTTTATAGATGGCTGGGTATTTTGCCAAGGATCCGCGTGTTTCGCTCGGCATTTACCGATGCGATGTTTCCAGGTTGACAAAATGTTTAGAAAATGCTACATTTATGAGCTGAATGGAACTCTGCAATTCACGGGTTTAGGTGGTTATACCCTATTTCACGAGTATCCATCACGGGACAATGACAGCTAGCTATCTAGTAATATATCAAAATCCCCCATATCGGCACAGGACACATAATTAATTCCGAGGAATCGGTGAACTCCAGGTAGACAGACCGGTATTTTGTTGTGGTTCTTTGTAGGCTCCAAAGGCGTATTATTGAAAATCGTCAGCAATTCATTATAAACCGGGTTCGGTCTGATGAGGATTGTACAGATAGTTGTTTTAGTGACTAGCGTAGTGGGATTGCGTCTAATGTGTGTACTAGCTCCACAATTACTTTGGAATGACTGTGAAAGGACTCGTGTGTGTAACTATTTAATTTGCAGGTTGATGTAATTTCCTTAAAAGCAAAAAATTAGACTCCATCTTCTATTTAAAGAAAATAGTTTTTCTTTCTTAAACATATAACCTGGGACAAGTCAGAGAGGTCGCAATGCTATCACTTGAAGCTTGTGTTCAACAGATATATAATTGTAAGTGCGTGGGAATCTTCTGATGGAATAAGTCAATCAATGACTGAACTTACTGATCAAGTAGTCTTTGGTACTGCTTCAACCAGAAATCGTCAATATCATTGCTACTTTCTTCCATACCTTGCAATGTTGATATCAGTTGTAATTGCCTTTCCTTTTGTTGATCAATCAAACTGATTAGTAGGCAAGATAGTCCTATTCTTTGGTCACATAAATTGTTCTAGAGAAAACAAGAAAGTAGTGAAAGGCAACAGGCTTCAGTTTTTATGGCTCTATGGAGGCTACTCTTATTTCTACTCTTAATAGTGAAGTCTGAGGTGTTATTTCTTTTTAGCAAACAGAAATTGAAAATACCTATGAAGAATTCTTTGTAAATATGAGTCAAGGATGAAAACTACTAAGAAATATATTGAAATCTACCAGGTGTTGATTCATCTGCAGTTTCTTCCTGTCCATCTCTATATTTGTCAATCTAGCTAGCTGTGACTCAACCAGTCGAATTTGTTGTAACAATCCCCAACTTCTAGCATCACCTCTCTCTAATAGTGTGGCAACAGCAGCTTTTTGTAAATCAGTATCTTCATTCAAGTCATTTACTAGCTTTGCTTTGCACTCCTCTTGATCCCTGAGAACATCTGCTAGTTTTCCATCTAATTCTGATTGTCTGAAAAAAGGAAATGAGGAATACAAACTTTTGTAAACAATAAACATACAAATGCTAGTGGCCAAACAATAAAAAGCAAAATCTGATAAAAAATACATACTGTTCTAAAATGCTTTTAGAAGTGACCATGCGGTCTTCATCTACTTGTTTCAACATTGCTGTCTCTTGCTCTAAAATATTCTGCATAGCTTTTAAAATATCATCTTTCCTTAGTGATTCATCATACTCATTCAACATGGCCAATAGCTTTTCTGTTTCTTTTTCTTCTTGTTCAATCAGCTGTTCCAGTGGTGTGTTGTCAAGGCTTAGTAGTTCGTTTATGATCATATGTGCGTTATTTTCTTCTAAAATTGTAATCATGTAAGCAATATATTTCTCTGTAATTAGATTAATTTAGATACTTGGCGACCTCAAAAATCATAATTTTTAGTCTAGTATTTAAGCAATGAATCTATGCCATGGTAACCCAAATCAAATTTGTCTAATAATTTTTTTTTGTTCCATCAGGTTTTTTTCATGTTTTTTGGAATGAAAAGGCCTCCAGTAACTTTTCTCTCAGAATGACCTTTTTTCAGTATAAATATGTCTAAACAGTTTTTGAAAATTGGGAATTGAAACAAATTACCTTCTTGTAATCTTTCTATCAATCTAAACCTTTCAGTCTCCTTCTGCCGATGGATTTTATTCAGTTTTTCATCAAGGATGACTTGCTCCTCTGTTAACATTGCCAGTAACTAGAAGAAAAGTATGATAAACTCAAACATTTACACATTTAAGAATATATATTGACCTTATCTCTATCAGTCTTTGAAGCATTTGCAAGTTCTAGTTCATGCCTCTGCATGAGTTCATTGTACCTTTCGATTTCTAGAAAATGTTTCATTTTTTGTTGCTAAAAGTATATATGTCATAAATACATTTTATCAGTTTACAGCACATAAGTCAACATGATTGTAACACTTCTGAAGTGTATGTATGAATCGTATAAATTAAGTTAATATAAAGCTTAGTAGGCTAAGTAAACATGCTGTCAATGTCAAAAAGCAGATGGATGATAAGAAGAACATGTATTCCATGAAGCATTTTGATGAGAGTAATGAAGGGTAGGGTTCTTGATGATGTTGAGATAGAAACATATGATGTTTCTCTACCAAAAACTCTTAAGTTACTTTTTGTATGTTTGGCACCCAGCAAGCATTTTTCCTCCAGTTTGACCCAAAATTCTTTCATATTTGGTGAATAACATAATGTTAATGATACATATTTTACAACATGAGAATATTGAAAGAGATGGCATTTATTGTAAATTTAATATAAATAATGTAAATTATGTTAAACACCAAAAATGTAAGCAAATAAAAATATAAAAGATCAAATATTAAATAAAGTAACATGCCTTTAGTTGTTCTAGTTCCCATATTTTCGCCTAAAAAATAAATATATCAATGAAGTATGCACATCTATATGATTCGATTAGCCACAATGAGATTGCCAGTTATTGAAAACAATTCTGTACCTGAACCAAATCAACCTCATCATTAATTTTTGTTTCTGAATCTTGGTCTTCATGTTGAGGCTCTATAGATTCATAATTGACTCCAATATCTACAAAATTGATACAAGATAGTCAGTGTTCTAGATAGGATAACAACCAACTTTTCTTAGATTTGGTGAAACATTTTTATATTAGGATATAAGCTTAATTTGAACAAACTGTAAAGACATGCTTTACTGAAAGATCTGATGTTTTTTATTTTTTAATTAGTTCCAAAAAAATGCTTACCATCACAAATAAACCTTCTTATAGGATCTATCCCATCCTCTACAACTTCTTTCGGAGGATAACAAAAACAATCGGCATCTAAGTTTAAAGCCTTAAGTCTATGCAGTCTGTAAAAACTCTTTGGTAAATATCTTAGCTTTTTGTTTTCTGTAATATCTAACTTCTTCAACTGCTTCAATTCCCCAATATCAACAGGTAAAGCTTTCAATAAATTGTGTGAAACATCTAAAACCTGAAGGTTGCTTAACTTACAAATACTATCACACATTTGCCTTAACTGGTTGTGGCTCAAATATAATTCCTAAAAAGGAATGGTTATATGTAGAAATTATCAAATCCAGCATTACAAGAATGAAGGATTCTACACAATTTTATATAGTAGCATTAAGCTTAAGGAACTGACCTGTAAGCTTTTTAAAATATGGATATCATCAGGCAGATGACTAAACTGGTTATTGCTTATATTTAGAACCTTCAATAATTGCAAATCATTCAATTCTCCACCTCCAGAAAGAGATGATAGACAATTGTTGTTGAGTAGAAGTGATTCCTTCAGAAACACTCTACATAATGAGTATATGCCAGAAGGTACTTCATGTAGAGAACAATCTGATATATCAAATACTGGTTCTGGCGTTTCTCGTGCCTAAAATTAACGATTCAATGAATGTTAAATTGATCTTTAGCCAAAATTATCTTACCAAGTATAGTTTGTGCTCTAGTTTCGCCTTATCATGATGTTTTCTTCCAAACATTATAGACAATATGGAGTAGTATCACATAATTGAAAAGGCACCTCTTAATATACAACTAAAAATATATATATTTTCGAGTTTTGAACACACATTAAAATTTATCAGGCACTATCGACTTTTTAAATACAAAAAACAAGACAATTTTAATTTGACGTTCCTGTCACTGTCAAAAAATATCAATGCTGTCAACAGTGTTGCCAGGTGTAGTCTGGTTATGGTAGATTTGTGGGAAATTTTAGCTTCCGGTAGACATTAAACTAAAAAGCAAAAAGCTTGTCGGTGATTAAATATTGAAGAGGGGCGACTTGCTTAAGCTCCATTCGATTTTGAAAATTGGACAGTAGAAATCAGAATTATATTAGAAATATTTATATGTGTATATATAATATATGTGAAATATACTACACTATCAATGAATTTGAGAAATTATTCGGTAGATTTCACAACAAAGTCGGTAGATAGATAGATAGATAGATATATTTATTGTCTTGTAGATCATAAAAAATGACATAAGACTCGTCCTAAGAGGGAGGTACATAGTACACATAATTAAAAATAAAAACGAAACAAACATAAGTATTTACAAAGTACAAACAGGGACAACTTAATGCGTACAGACATTCACATATAAATAAAATTGGTACATCTGCAGAAAAATCGGTAGACCGGCTGTCAAAGTAGAATTTCTACCTACAGCGGGGTAAGACAAGATCAAATTCAAGCGGATAACCAAATGGAAATGGTATTTACCATTTTGGATTGGTATTTACCGATCCGTTCAAGCGAGTGTGGTTATCAGTTTGGTTATAAGATCCGTGACGTCATGAATCAGCTGTTAAATGTCATAGTTATCACCGCAAAATTGTGGTATTTACCCAACTCCGGAGTAGTTTTATATTTCTGGTTATTATTTGACATGTGACATGTTAGAATTTTGCCGGGTATTGGATATTTTGATTGTACTTCAGCTTCATTTTTGGGAAAGTTGATACAGGCTGACTTCAGTTTTAGCATAAGAGAGCAGCTTATTATTTATAATCATCACTGTTGTTGGGGACACTTTAAATCTAGTTCCTACACTTAACAAAGTATCCTGTATAGCCATATACCACAAGAATATTAAAATATGGCCGTATAAACTCACTGGATGATGTCCACCTGTATACGGTTTTGTTAATATCTTTTTTCATCGCTTTAACATCATTTCTGCTAAATCAATAAATATTTTCTTTGTCATGCGAAAAAGTTTAGAGAATTGAAAGTTATCATAGCTACAAAGCCATGGTTCCATCAGTAAAAATTTTTCTTTTTTTCAACTTTCCATACCCCGTTGTAGACGAAAAAGCACCGATTATTAAGTGATAATAAAAATAATCAGAAATTATATACGCGCTTTTCTAAAATAAACAACTTGCAACAAACCGCGGTTAAAACCAACGCGTTCAAGCGATTCAAGTAACTGACGTCACCATCCCGTGTGTCATCTTGAACCATATTATAACCGCGGTACATAATACGGAAATTTTGGTTATCCGCTTGGATTTGATTAAGTTGTTTTTATAATCTGCTACATTGTTGCCATACCGCTTCATTTGTAAGGCGTTATGGTTAGATCAACGAGAAGAAAACCTTTATTAGCTTACTAATTTCTTTATTTTAAATAATGTTTCTAACAATATTGTCTGAACATATCCTAACTGTATGAGTATCAATGTAATTGTTACTTTCATTTCTATCTATCTTTGGGAATTCCAGCGACTACTCCACTTTCAATACCAACGTGATCTTTTCCTCTCAGAATCTTGAAGGTGCCGTTGTCGCCCCAATCTGAGTTCCAGGAGTTTGCTACGATCCAGTAGGGTGTATCGTTTTGGACGCCCCATCCAAAGATTCTTATGGCGTGCCCTCCTAAGAAATGACCTGTGGTGTGGACGTACACTCCTATAAAAGAAACGGGAATCATAAGGCGACTGTCACATGAACAGTATTTACTATGATCGGTCAGTATTTAACATGGAATTTATCATTTATTAGCTTTATTCTGCCCCAAGGTTTTAACCGCGGCCAAGGAACGTGTAGGTGATGCAGTGGCATTAGTGCACGAGGCAACTCAATTTCCCTAGCATCCAAGTTGACTGTCAGTTTTACTAAAATCATGAAAGATACAAAACGTGATCGGAAGTTCATAGCATTAATTAAAAAGCCATGTTTTACGTTAGTAACAATTTCAAGCGTACGAAATCGCGGACAACAGCAAATGCAAGATGAAGCGCTTGACGGTCACAGGTTGAGTGGGGCGATGGCAGGCCGCGTGGTTGTCGGCCTAACGGTAACGGTAGAAATTATGGTACTTTCTGAGACAGTTGCATATTGTCAAGATCAACGATGATTTCGCGGATAAAATCATTCTTATAACCTTCCTCGGATATCAATGAGCAAGTATAAAAATGTTTATGTCTATCAAAATTATGGTTCAGATGTGATGCTAACAATTCACATTTATATACTAAGCGGCAGAGAAAAGAACGCGCAGTAATAATGACTTTGTTACAAAGATTTTTGTAGGTATACTTTTATTTATGTTAGGGCAAAGAACGTACAGCCCTTCAACCACATCGATAAAGTGGTTTTTGTGGTTTTTACGAAAAAGTAAGTAAGCTATAGTTGTGTTTTGTAGTTACAATTGGCATTTGATCATCGTTGTGAAGATCTTATGCTCAGAGAGGCAAGACCAGAACATTTTCAACAGATTAGCAAGTTTGTTTGATAGCTTGTCAGGCTGCTTCTTTAGGGAAATAACCACCAGGGTGCATAGAAGTCTGAATAAGGTGGTGGTTTGTTGTCGGGCTTGGCATCAGGAAGGCCGTTCACTGAGAGTTAGAGGTGTAGGGTGTGTCAGTTTGAGGCAACACACCAAGATCGTCGAGCTTTTGTCTCTACGCGACCACTCTCGTCTCAATTTCAATTGCAGACCAATGGTTTGGAGACCATAGAAATCCTATTACAATACGAATTGTTTATCGCAAGATCAACAGTGTTCTGAAGGATAAAAAACAACAACCACAATGGTAGATTAGGAATGAGACACGCTCAGCTTGGCTAACCTTGCTCGTTTGAATCAAGGAAACAGGGCAGTCTTGCAACTGTGTGTGGTTGGATGCAGACAAAACAATGTCTTGCAACTCCATGAACTTGCATTCAATGAACTTGCGGACTGTACAACAGATCGAAAATGAATGTTACATAGGTGCTGCACGCTTCTATCTCTCGTACACATTGAAAGCTAGGACAGAAAGTTCATAAATTGCACTGTATCACCCGACCTAAGACATTTGAGGCCGCAGCCAGTTTTTTTTAAAAGCGGTGGGATGACGCAGTATAATCACTGTAAAAGCAAAGAACCTTTATTGGATCGTCTATGACAAAAATATTTATGTATAAATCGCAGCACCTGGCAACCCTTGGGCTAATGGACCTGTTCATAGAGAAGATACCTACCGCTTTTATAATTGACAAAGTCTGAGTAGACAGAGAAAGCTCCTTCGACAGGTCCATTTTTCATGATCTCAGCCTGTATCTGCTTGGGGTCGCTGGAAACAGAGTATGCGTTGGCACCGTAATGCTTGTCTTTGTCATATTGGACGTCATAGCCTTCTTCGCATTTCTTGTTGCATCTGGGTGTTTTGCCTCCGTCACCTTCGCAGGGTGGACGACTGCCGTTCACGTGGTGTTCGCAAGGAGCAATTTCGTAGGGGCGGCAACCCTACAATGGAACAAATTTAAAAATCTTCGAAACCATTGAAAATACAGACATTTTTTTAGCTCACGGTACTTTTTGGAATATTCGGAATTTTCTGTATTTTCAGAATTTTCGGAATTTATCGAATATTCGGATTTTCGCAATTAATGGAATCATTCAAATCATGTAAATTTTTTAGCATTTCTGAAATTTTTGAAATAACAAAGATTTTTGAGGTTTTAGAAATCCCTTGAAAATTTTTGAATGCCTGTTATATTTTAGAAACTTCTGATAGTTGAAAATTTTGCAATACTTGAACTTCTTGAAGTTTCAAGTTCCTCTGATATACTTACAATTGGCAAAATTGGCGGTTTTAGTGATTGTGACTTTCGTAATTTTTGAAAAGGAACTAAATATACATCTTACAATGTGAGATCCATATGGTCCTCCAGACACAAGTCCCTTTCTGACCCAGTAGTGCCAGGCAGCCCCTGGATAACCTCCATTGCATCCCATTCCACAGGTCCAGCAGCAGGAAATCAAGTCGTCAGAAGAGAATCTGAAGTTCACTTTGCCTTTGGAGTGGATGCATACCCTGTCTGACATTGCTTCCACTGCACCAAAAGCCTACGATCAAAATTATTTGGACCGCGTTATGCATAACTTGACCAAGCGCCATTTGATAAATTTCCGGATTTTGCTGCCATATGATGCACAGTAGTTCAACTTATATATAAAAAATGCAGGCAGTATAGAGACCTGAGGTTCAAAAGCAAAAACATTTTTTACTAAGCGCCAAACGTAATATTTGTTGTTATTTATTTTGCAACAGATGACCGAACGACCAGATTTTGTGTAGAGTCGGCATTTGCTCTACTAAAGTTTTGCATAAAGTGACCAACATTGAGAAAATACCATCGAATGCTTCGATTCAAGCATTGCTTAGTAAACCCCTCGAAAAACTGTGGCCAAATGGGAAATCTATAGCAGAAAAGAAGCTAGGAAGATGTAGATGGGTTCAATGGTCAACCAGATTTCGAGCTTGAGGATGAATAATAAAAATTTTCGATTCAGGTTCTTGATTCATTTCGAAAATGTGTGGTTACTTCTTGCTTCATTTTATTTTTGAATCAGTAAATAATCGAGTTTATTATAACATTTGTCATTCAAGCAACTTCTTATGTGGTTTCGGCAATCTTTTAATTTGTGTAGTTTTAATTTTTCAATGAATTTGATGCTAATTACTAAAATACAAAAATAAAGAATCTTTCTGCAATGCGTTCCTTATTTTGCATAGCATGACCAAGTAACATTTTTGTGTTGAAAAATGAGCATTCATTTTGAAAGCAATATTTGACCAAGCGCCATTTCATTTCATTAAGTTTCAGGTATAAGAGTTTTTGAAAAAATAATTGCATACATAAATTTTTAATATCATTTTCTATTCACAGAACAAAAGCATTCACCAAAATCATAGCATGGATTTTTAATGAATTCTTAAAGTTTATTCATCTTCCTGAAAAACCGAGATTTGTTGCTTGATCAATTCATGCATAACGCGGTCCATTTCTTGCTCCGTTCAAGAAAAATAAAGCAGCGCAAAATGTCATCTGTTACCAGAATCGACCACTTCGAAAGTGAATACAGCAAGCTGCCTCTGATTCTGGTGCTACAGTAAACAAGGTCTACTCGCTATTGTGGAAACTTGTAATATACGAGGGGTACTAGAAAAGAAGTTGACCTAGCCATGAACAAAAGACGTGTGATTTCTTTGATAATTTTATTTTTCAATATAATTCTGAATACATCAATGCGTTGCACCATATCCCCTTATCCCCTTATATAGAAATGTTTCCTCTTGACTTTTAAAAAAGTCGCCGACGGTTGCTCTTAGGCCATCATCTGAGTCAAAACGGCGTCATCGAAGACTTTTCTTTAGTAATCTAAAGCGATATTAGTCATACGGAGCCAAGTCCGGACTATAGGATCTCAACGAATCAGCATTCCTGCATTATTGGTCTAATTTTGCGGTATAAACACTTTTCAATTGAAAAAATCGGGACTTTTCTGGTTGGGTTTTTCAGCGTGTTCGCATAGACGTCCGCATTTACTATTGTCCCTTTTGGCATATATTCAATGAGAAAAGTGCCCCTTATGCCCTGAGACAATTTTCCAGCAGAGGGTTGCGTCCATGCCTTTTTTTGGTGTGTGTGTGAGGGAGGGGGGCTAGAGATGACGATCGTCGAGAAGCATGGCTTAAACTTTTTGAGTCATTTTAACATTTGTTGCTGTTTTGCGTCTTCCACTTCTGGGATCGTCTTATATGGATTCACGCCCCCACCCGAAACTGTTTCGACCAAAACTTTATTGTGTAATATGATAGTGCATATCTCCATAGGCAAGCATTCTCTCAATTTTTTGACACTGCGATACTCTAATTTTAAGTTGCCCATTTTTGCTCACAATTCACTTTATAAATTGAAAACTAATTGTATATATTAACTCAATTATTGCAAGCAGGTTATGCCACTATTTGCCATATTATGCTTGAGCATTTCAATTGTTTTTTCATGGCTAGGTAGATTACTTTTCTAGTGTCACCCGTAGATTCCGTTCGTCCGGCCAGAGACGGCCAACCATGTGCAGTTGTTTCGCGCTATTTGGCAATTCCTCAGCATGGTGTAGGCTTGGTCTCAGATAGGACAACGAACGAAAGCTCAGCAACTATCCTCTATCCAGGTCTATCGAAATAGACCGTATCTATGATAGCTCCAGAATCGGCGGCATATAGCGGCCACAGTGGTGACCCGCTGACAATGCGAATTGGGATACAGCTCCAACAGACAACTTGCTGTTTTCGCTTTCGCAGTGGTCGATTCTGGTAACAGATGGCACTTTGTGCTTTCTTATTTGGGTAGACCTTATACTCTCGATATACGATAGTTGCTCAGCTTTCCTTCGTTGTCCTACTTGAGACCATGCTGAGGAGTTGCCGAATAGGAGGAAGCAGCTGTCCATGGTTGGCCGTCTTTGGTCGGACGAACGAAAGCTGTATTACTAGTTTAAAACTAAAGGTATTTAGAAATTAGAGTTTGATTATCGGGCTTCTTACCATTCATGATATATCATGATCTTGCATAACTCGACACGTATAAGAGCCCTTATACATGTCAGTTCTTGACTTATTCTCTCTTAACTCAGTATACGAAAACATCCCAAAAATTAGGAAAGAATTATTCCTGAATTCAGTTCGATACGGTAGATATGTGCCGATAAGATGCTGAAATAAATCTGGGATTCTTCTCAAATCCTTTGGGGCAGAAGGGCAGATCCAGGGGGTCAGAGGGTCATGACCTCCGCTGGGCGAATCGAGATTGATCACTAACATGTTCCGGCTCTTGGTGGTATCTTTGTCCTTTTCAATTGTATAACAAGTGCATTTGTTTTCAGAATCACCGATGCAGCTGCTGCCACCCCCCACTCTCTTCAAATTCTAATCGCCTATGACCGCCCCCCGCTTTTCAAATTTCAATCGCCGATGACGCCCCCGCCTTGACTCAAAGGCTAGATCCGGAATTGTTGGGACAACTTTTGGCATATCAACCAAATTAAGCAAGACTTACTGGGCAATTTACGTGTGTTGTGGCTCTAATACATATGTATTATTATATCAAGAATATCTTGATACTTGCATATTAAACGCAAAATATTTGTGTACTGGGAACAAACTAGGTGATTGTAAGCATATCAGTGAAATGAATCAATATGTTTTCAAAACAAATTATGATTAATAGTATTATTCATATTGGCTAGCTATAGAATAGGAGCTATCAGAGGATGACTAATACAGATTTATTGCATTTACTAACGTTATTCATTGTTTTTGGTTTCAAACGCGTAACCCGGTCCCCTTTCAGTTAATTTACTATAAATCATTTTTTAATACCCTTTTATGATCCGAGAAGGGTATCAAAAAACTACTAGAAGGAAATGGAGTGCTTCTAAAGGTATTCATACCTTTCGGAATAAAAAGATGGGATAGAAGAAGACAGCGAGCACAAAAAGAAGTGCACGTTTGCAATTTCTACTTCCCATGCCTACTGACGGGGAATTTTTTGGATATATAATATTTACATTCCGAAAAACCATGCAACTCATTTTCTTCGATCTCGCTATCTGTCTGTCGGACTGTTGGACTGTCGGTCTGTCGGTCTGCCTATCTGTCGATCTGTCGGTCTGTCGCTTTGTTGGTCTATCTGTTGTCGGTCTATCCTTCAGTCCTTGGCTCGCCTATACCTTAGAAAGTACTGCTCAGATTTGGGCGAAATTTTCACACTTCACTATGTTAACAACGTAAAACCTTCACAGTTCGTGGAACCCGATCCATGTAGGCGGAGAAAAAGGCCAACAATAAAAAAATAGCGCTTAAACTTCGGTTTTGGCGTTTCAGAGAATCCTGATCATTTTTGAAAAAGTTTTCAGGGGCATCGCGATTTTTTGGTAGCAGTATACTAAAAAGCTTACAACAAAACTATAGCATATTTCACGCATGTATTACTTCCTTGAGACAATGATAGAAATAATTTGTTTAAAAAGTGCACTAGCCGCTGATAGCTCTCGAGCGAAGATCCACTCGACAACATTCTTACCGAAACAGCTGAGAAGTGCGACAACAATACGGCTGGTGTTATTAAAGCCTGAAATAATGAATAGACGTTCATGATTTGTTTGCGAATATGGAGATATTTTGTGGAATGAACAGCATCATCTATTTTTAGTACTTTTTATTTAATACCAGTTGTCCTCGGTTATTGAAAAAATAGTAAATAAACTCATAACTCTTTTCCTCCAATCATATTCATTTTACTAGATAACTAGGTGTTCCATAGCCGACCAATAGTAAACGTAGCAGAACGTAAGATAGTGGATTCAGATACATCATGCGTATCCAAAGCCCATAATTTCAGTTTTTTTCAAATCAACAATGCTTTTTTTCACTGATATTTGCTCTAATCTACGGCCTTGGATCCAGACACTATACTTGTACATATATACAAATTGAAGCATATATAGTTGAAGCTATTTTTGACGCTAATTATTTGATGATTGCCAATTTTATAAGCGGTCTGGTTTTGGCAAACCCAAATCACGGGTCGGTAAAGATTTAGAAAATTATATTTTAATAATAATTTCCAACGATAACTTACACGCTTTTAAAACCGACTTATACTTTCCATATATTGTTTTTTAATCAACAAGAAATTTTGGGCCCCGCTTACAGTAGCAATTCAATTTAATACTTATGATACTACGTATTTTCTGCGACTTGTGTATGACCAATATTTACGAAACAGTTTTGCACCAAATACTAAAATACTAACGCAATATAGCTGTTGATAACTTACCCAACATGACCCACATGACCCCTGGTCTCTGATTTCGCGTATCGTGGGACAATGAGGCCATTGTTCCCTGGAATCAAACGAATCCGCTATCTCTATATCATCCAATTGATGTTCCTGGATCTCAGAAGGCATGTAGTTTTTATAGTTTGGGAGCACACCCATCAGTTTCCTGAGAAGAAAATCAAACGACATAGTAGTTTCGTGTTTGCGATAAGACATATAAGTGGTCTAATTCCAAAAACCACTTTGGAACATTTTTTAGGAAATGCGAAACTTTGTTATTGGCCACAAAATAAGTAAACTAGGGTTCTTAAATATGCAGAAATCGGTTTGAGATTTTGTTTGCGAGAAAATCTCAATTCAATAGTTTCTTGAAAATTTCGTCGACTTGGCCGTTTTTGAAAATCATTTCAGATTTTGGGGGGTCTTGCTTCAAACTTTACAAGTGCTTGCAAGGTTCACCGTCCGACGGCATTAGTCTGGAAGGTAAAAATAAGATGCAAGTGTAGTGTGCTTCTGTATTATTTATTTTGATTCTTAAAAAACACATTTAACGTTATTAGCTTCCTTAACGTCACTGATCCCACATAGCCCTTCCACGACATTTTTCCCACCATTGCTAACATCTTCTTTCACCACCTTTCCAAATCTTGCGACAATATCTTTGTAGTACATAAGATTTTCCTTTTCAGAAATTTTTGGTCAGTCGATTCCAAATATTTGCACAACAGTTCATTCACATTTTTACCGTTTCACAAAAAATTGTATTTTAATAATGCATTCCGTGATTGGGTGAATTGACAGCCAAATTTAGTTGAATTTATTATTGTTTATATCTCAAGTATGCAGGATTACATCCAAATATTATTGGATATAAGTAGGTTTTGTTACTAAATGCATTTATGGATTTAGGGGATTTTGATACTAACCCGATAAATAAACAACGCGCTTGAAGGTTATTTACACTTTCTGCGGAAGCCTCAACTTAACTGTGGTGACCTTAATATCCAGGTGACCAGTTGTTTTTTTGATCCTTCTTCATTTTAGGAATCTAATAGCAGTGACTGATACTCATTTTCAGTCTATAAAATGGACTGAAGATCTAAATTCAAATCTCATTTATTCTACGTCAAAACAAATTCCGGCGCCCGACATTCAATTTCGCATATATAAATAGGGTAGAAATTATAAAAAACGTCACTGGTAGTTACCGGATTCTAGGTAAACACAAAAAATAACTACCTAATAGTGAATGGGATGTAACTCGACAACACAATACGAAATTCTCTCAAAAAAAAATCAATACATTTCGATCCCCAAAGTATGTTGATTCTATAATGCTTACTTAATATAAGAAACGTCGGTGTTTTCATGAAAGTTTCTGCCAGCTGTCCAAGTTGATTGTGCCTTGTTGATAGAATCAATGAACTCATCAGTGAGAAAATAATTTTCATTTTGAGAAGTTGATGAGTGGGCGACAACTATGACGCTTAGAAAAACTGAGTAAAGCTGCCACATTCTTGATCCTGAAAGAAAAGATACTGAGTTCAAAATGAAACCACCTCTAGGGACATGGAATCATGGTGAACTTTTTGAATAGCATTATTACAACCCAAAACACATCCTTTCCAATATCAAAATGTTCCTTAATTATTTTTGTGGAGTTTGTATTTACAAAGGATCTATTATATACCCGGAGAGCGTCTTGACGAAGATGGAATTAGTTTCCCACAATATTTTCCTTTGACGTTGAATACAGCTGATAATGATATCACATAATGTTCAATGTATTCAGTGAAGACCTTTGACGATATTGATACTGTGTTCAAAGTAGGACGGTATACTACCATTTTGCATTGTTTGTTTATATTGTAGTGAGTAATTCCAGTTTGTCATAATAATAGTTCAAATGGTCTATAATATCGCATCTAATCACTAGTAATATAAATTATAAAGCACACTGACCTTAATAAACCGGAAATATGCAAAATTGAAGCACTGTAATAGCATCCAAATAGAGCAAGTGTAAGTTTGTGCTTTGGAATTAACAGCTCAACATTCAACACAAAGACTGACGACTGACGAGAAAGATAATCAAAGCTAACTGAACTGTTTTGTCGGCAATGAAATTATATTGTTAAGTAAACCGCAAGCAAGTCTGATTCGTTTTGTTTTTCCTTGAATCCCTGGACAGGTCCGTATTCACTACTACATACGTAGCTTTTATGAAAATATTTTGTCAGAAAAACGTATCTGACCACTTTAACTTCAAGGGGTGATTCCTTCCTTCAAGATGAAAGGTGTTAAGATATTTTTCGAAATATCGAACTTCCGAAAAAATGCAAAGACGTTGGAAACCTAAAACAATTCAAATAAAAAAGGTGTGTCAATAAAACGCAAACCCCAAGAGAAAAAATGAAGGATTTAATTCCGACTAGCCATGATCATTTGTGGTCTTGATATGGCGTTTTCCCTAATATATTCTATTTAAAATCCGTGCTTTATTCCGATTTACAAGAGTTTTTCGACAAAGTTTGACAACCTAGACATGAAGAAAAACCGGACCCATGGTTACAATAATTGTTTATAATTATTATAAACTTTCCTTCTTGGAACCATTTAAGAAATTACCTCTTGAACTTTGACCAGGTAAATGCTTTATGATATGCAGCTGAGAAGGTCGACTCAATATCTCTTCTGTAATACAATCCCTCTGGTGGCTGAAATGCTACCTGCCATTTGGATGCGATTAGCCATTCATTACGTGAGGTAATAGACCAGGAAGTATATTCGCATCTGCTCGGAAACATATTCTGATTACGTTTTTTTCACAACCTTAATAAAACGAAAAACAATTTTTGGCGCAATTTTAGGTATGGCAACATGCAGATTCAATAAAAGGGGTATTTTTTTAATAAAATTATGCGAAAAGGCAATCAAAATATGTTTCTAAGCAGATGCGAAACACTTCCTGTAATACCCAGATAATCGGCCAGCATCCCACCCCGTCGGAAGTGAATCGCGTGGTTGTTGAATGTGTACAGGCGATTCACTAGGACAAGTTGGTGCTACATGCCTGGATGCCAAATACAGCAGGGAAATGGTATCCCTATGTTTAGTTGCCTTGCTAATGATTTTAGGCAAGTATCGTTATTCCAGCATATTAGGAATCTGTTTTTCCATACAGGGGCTCAGGTCGAGGTGAAATTCACGAAATACATCCATCCAAAATTTATGTTTGATTCATAAATGTAACAGTGTCAAAAATGTGATGCGTAGCTTTACTTCTAATTCCCTAAATAACCCATGATCAATTTGGAGGCTTGATAGTGCCTTTTTGGAGCTTCGTTGAATATTTTACGGAATTGGAGGAAATCTTTGCAAATAACTTTTATATAAGTCAACCGGGATACAGTCACTACGACGGCAAATAAAGATAATCCTAAATTGAGAACATTAAGTCATCTATAGATTTATCGAAACAAGACAGAGCAAAGTGCCATCTGTGATCAGAATCGACCACTGCGAAAGTAAAGACAATTCGCAGTGGTCGAATCAGATAACAGTTGACACTTTTTGCTGTCTTATTTCGATATACCTTATATCTACTATATACAGGGTGTTCCATAATTATTGCGACAAAATGATAGGGGTTGTAGAGGGCATCAAAATGAACAATTTTGCCTTATAAACCCCTGTTCGGAAATATGCCGTTTGGGCTGCAGCAAAAAAAAAAGATCAGTTTCTTGAAACAGCTTACCTACAGTAATTGCTCAAAGTGTCCTCCACCTTGCTCAATACACAGCTGTGCACGATTGTTCAATGATCGGCGAACTCTGTGGCATACCCCCGGTATGTCCTGAACATGTGCGGACGCGACCATCACTCTTCCCAGTAGGTCTTGTTGGTTGGGAACAGGAGTTTCGTACACTAAAGCTTTCAGATGGCCCCAGAGAAAATAATCCAGTGGGGTCAGGTCGGGTGACCGCGCAGGCCAAGGCACAGGGCCACCTCGGCCTATCCACCTATTTGTCGTCCAAATACTGCCGCACTTGTAAAGAAAAGTGGGCTGGAGCGCCATCGTGTTGAAACCACGTGTTGGCTCTTATGTTCAGTGTCACATTTTCTAATAGTTCCGGTAGCACATGCTGTAAGAGTCGACCATAAGCATGCCCATCCAAACGTGGTGGAAGCAAATATGGCCCGATGATATGCTCGTCCACAATGCCGCACCAGATGTTAATTGAAAACTATGTTGGTCTCTATGGATGGCTATGGCATGAGGGTTTTCTTCATCCCAAATGTGACTGTGCTATTAAAATAACCGTCCTTTGTGAAACAGGACTCGTCAGTGAACAAAACGTAGCGACCAAAGTTTGGTTACCTCAACTCCTGCTGCAGCCACCAACGACAAAAACGTCGACGCGGCAGATAGTTTTCTGGACCCATGGCTTGGACTTTTAAAAGGTGGTATGGGTGTAGTTGCTGGTCATGGAGAACCCGCCAAGCAGTAGTTTGAGACGCTCCCATTTCATGTGCAATAGCACGCACGCTTGTACGCGGATTGGCCTCTACATGATGCAGAATCGCTGACACGAAGACGTCCATGAATCCTTGCAAAAATGGCGTGATGCGGATGAGGACGTTCTGGAAACCGTTGGGCGTAGATTCACGAGGCTCGTCTTCCGTTACCACCAGCTTCTCCGTAAATTAAATGCATATCCGCAAGTTCCGCATACGAATAACGCTGCATTTTAACACTAAGGTACTGTTATTTACTATCTAGTTTGACGCACCACTCAGATAAATTAAATGAATCGGTGTGGAGAATTTACGATAACAAAAATGTAAACACAGCAGGCATTTTTTTACAAATCGGCGAGACCATCAAATGTGCTAGACGAACATTTTGCAGCTGTTGAATTTTTTGTTTCTCCTATGAGCTCTTAAAGTAAAATTAGCGGTAGTGCTCAAACGGCATATTTACGAACAGGGGTTTATAAGGCAAAATTGCATATTTTTATGCCCTCTACAACCCCTATCATTTTGTCGCAATAATTATGGAACACCCTGTATATATGATAATTTGTTCAGCTTTCGTTCATTGTCCTACCTGAGACCAAGCTTTCACCATGCTAAGGAGTTGCCAAATAGCACGAAACATGCATGGTTGGCCGGATGAAAGCTAGATTACTAGTTTGATCTATATCTCCTGCAGTGGCATTCATACCATATTCTTTGTAGTTTATGGAAGACTCATTTTATTTCTTTCACGTTATTTTTCATGTTTTATTGCAGTTCTTCACCTAACGACAGATAAGACAATTTAAAAAACACTTATTTTTCACACGGCGCACTTATATCCATTTTCAAATTTATGACCATATATATTCCAAGTTTTGACAAAATCGGCACAGCAGTTACTGAGGTTATGTAATGTCATAGAAGACAGTACTCGTACGACTGGTAAAGCATTGCTAATCAGTGACGTACGGGCTAAAAACTAATTTTAGACCCGCATTTCCGTACATTCGCCCAAGCACGACAGCACTACCCTGTATGAAAGAATAAAAAGGTCCGAGACCTCATCAAGTGAGGCATCTAAAATAAAAAGGATCCGAGTTTTCAGAAAAATGTCGGCATCTTTAGAAGTCAGAAGATTAAAGGCTTTTCCGCGAGTTGCCCTTTTACTGGTAACTTTGTATTCTTTGCTTAACCCATGAGAATTTCTTAGAGAATTTTCTCATTAGAACTCTTCAAGCCATATCGGAATAAAAAGTAAAGCTTTTTATTCTCAGTTCTGCGAATGAGAGTTTCAAACGAATTTGTTTCGGTACGGGACTGTCAACCTTTAGAATTTCTCAACCCATGAAGATGAGATAAAGCTTTGCTAACAATAAACCATAACAACCAAAAGTAAACATTTTGGATAGATACGGATGTTTTCGAAGCGCTGCATTTAGTCTTTAATTTGTCTCCGATTAGATAGACTTATATCGTTGTAATGGCAGTTGCTGATTTTGTCGTTTAGTTAATCAGGGGACTAGTAATGGAGAAAGGTAGCCAACAACTACTTTCTTGGTGATAACTTGTTACAGTTAGGTATTAAAAATTAAGGTTTTGGTCCAGTACAGCATCAATTTAGGATCGGTCTGTACTAGTAAGTAAGCAACGGACAAGATACCCATTCGGTTTAGAGCCAGATAAAAAATGACGCCAAGTAGGTAGACTCTGCACTTCCTACTCAACGCTGTCATTATTGCATAAAGGATTATGTTTGGCAGAAGTCTGAAGAACAAGTGAGCTACGAACATGTATATCCAAAAATTATATGCATCGAGTTAGTCAAACAAGTCCATTCAAATTATTCAATATTGTCCACCCATTCGATAACCCTGCGATCTAGAAATCCTTCCACTGCCCTACCGACATTATTGACCATCTGGCAACATTGATTAATCACGCCAGTCAGCCAACGGTCTGCGCCAGTAGTGAGCAGTGAGAAGCAGGCAATTACCGGGGCTGTAAGCGTATACATGTACAGGCTGCGACAGCAAAACTTTTTTCAAACCTTATCCAAAAACCCATTGTATGAAAAAGAACAGTCAACAGTCTTATCTGTTTTTCATAATGTTTCTTCCTTGACGTTGGTCTTCAAATGTTCTAGGGTCATTGGACGCTTCACATAGACACGAAATTAAAAAAAACCCTTTGAAAAAACCACAAGGTTCTAAATCGGGGGATCGGCACGGATATTACATATTGAAAAGTGACATTATGTCGATTTTTTTTACATAGTATTGGTTTTTCATGACACTGTGTAGGTTTTTCTACAACTTAGCACAAGCTGATGGACACGTTGTGAACTCCTTTTGTAGTTGTACGTGTTGCCTAAACGTCATGAGGCTTCAGTTATCAATGTTTGGCTCTGATGTGATGTAAAATCTGCTTCAGAGATGGCATTACTGGAGGTCTAAGCTGTGAGTTGTATACTATAGCTAGAAGGAAACGGCAATGCATAGGTGCATAGTGAGGATTTGTGTGCTAATAGTATGTGCTGATGATAATTCCATTGGATTCCTGTCTCAAATGCACTTACTTGAGGTTCAACTTTTCTCACAAAGTGAATATCACTGATTTTATACATATGTAGACCAATACACAT